GCGAAGATATAGCGAGAAATGGGAAAAAATCATCATTATAGGTTTCCGAGGCGTACGCTGTAAAAACGGTTCAAGACACTCAAAAAATATGAAAGACTTATTCCTCTTTAAATGATCTAAAAAAAAGTCTCCGACGTTAAATGTCTATCCTTTAACATTAACATGCCAGAACCGCGGAAACCAAACGATGGGTCGCGAGCGACGTGACGCGACCGATGTCGTGGGCAGTTTAAATATGTAAAGGTTTGCAAAAACAAATTTGGATGCCCAAACAACTATTCTACGCGGACGAAGTCGCCGACACAGCTAGTTTCTTATAAAATTACATATTTTTATTAACTCATAAATATAGAAATCGTCACACAAATAACAATTGAGGTATATATAGGGGAGCGGAAGGCTCACCTCATGTCACCTACGCCCGTGAACATTTGCGGCACGGAGGCACCGGAAACTACGGTTGAAAGTAATGGGTACCTACATAATTATTCGGAAATACCTTACCATATTTCAGGTACCTTATAACGTACATGCAGTTGAAGCGAAATAAAAGACGCTAAATTTACAGTCTCAATGTAATGTCGGCGATTCCTTGGCAAATAGCCTTATCGCGCGGTGACGTCGGCCGCTTATCGCCGATAACGAACGCACGATCACCTGTGCGCGATCGTTCATAGCTCCGCTTCGCCCATCGATAACGATTAATACTAGGGTTATTCTGCAATTTCTTTGCATTGTCAAAACCTAATCCCGCATTAATAGTAAAGGATCTAATTCTAAACGTTTTGTTTCGAAAATCGTTAATAGTATATAATTATTATTCGTCCGAGTTGTCCGCTCGAATCGGACAAGATAATTAGATATACAATTGTGCGCTCGCTCTCCTCGCTCCAAATATTAGTTACGCGTACGCGCACGAGCAAAACGCAGATTTATTTCATATCGGAGCTATCGGGTTTCAGTCGGCAGGTGTCGCAATGGATCTTTCGAATATCTACATTGACATTGCGAAAAATCGTCGCTCCATATGCGTGTTATTAGCTATGCTTTTGTGTGCGAACACGAAACATATCTTCCCCTATTAAAAATACCGTTGACAAGAATATACAAATTCAATGAAATAATATTTAATCTCCCATACCGCACGTTACGTGTTAAAGTAACACCAAACGCTTCTAAACGAATAATACGGTGATAAATAAAATAGGTTATAAGTGGCGCTATTACTTTAAACGCTATAAAGTACTACTTAACAAGGAACTGAATATTATATTGGCGTATCAGCTCAGGGTTAATTGCCCAGAACTCGCGACCTCTTCATTTGGTTAAACGGAGTCGCCCTGACTTGTTAGTGTCAAGGTCACAGAAATAAACCACTTTTAGTTTAAAGTTAAGCTTTACAATGTGGTGGCTCATTTTAGATGTTTTTTTATTAGAAATCGCCATAATTGTCGAATGTTAACTATGCGTCATGTGCAAGGGTGTGTGCTTGAACTAAGCAAAGAATAAAGCAACAATGCTGTGGCACTCTGTAATATCGCAATCAAAATACTTGTAGATAACGTTCGCAATTAATGCGACCGTTCTTATCGATCCGATTAGATTTAAACCTCTATGAAATCATTTACCGAGACCGCTATCTGGAACAAAAACTAAAATATGTATAAATGAAAATAGTGGATTTCATTCGTTGATAATTTATTATATGTAATCGTAATATTCAGTGATGTTATTTATTATTTCTGAATTACGATCGTTTTTCTTGTGGCAGTAGGAACGACAATACAATGACAAGAGGACAGTGCGGTCGATAAAAAGCGGGAGCCAAGTAACTATACTTAAGTAGGACGAAATGTTGACTGATTGTTTGAATGCGACTATAATGCAGATTCAGTAGGTGTAAAGGTCTACGTCGTTCCTTACCTTATAAACGGAATCCATACACAAAAACAAGACACGGTACAAAAATGGTATGACTCGAAGAAATGTAAAGAAGCGTTATGTATTGTCTGTAAGGTTGCATCAGCCGCATCACATAATCGCGGCCTCCGTCACGGCCAACGGGCCGTCTGCCTCTGCGCATACTAAATTGCGCGCCCTCGTCAAGTCAACGTGTTAAGGTCGTTGCGAAGATCTCGCTTTTGCCTCTTTACCATTTCCTTTCTTTCATACTCCTGACACACCTCTGTGTCCGTTTTATTTAAATAATTTATATTACTTTGTGTATTTACCACAGTACTTGCGGCTTGAGCGCAAGTCTTACTCTAAAAATACGTTGAATAGCAATAATAAGAAAAAAAGATAATTGACTTGAATTGTATTATTCCACTTGGCCTTACTTTGCTTCGGCGACATTAATTACTTCTTCATACTGGTAATGTTCCTAGCGCTTAGTTGTTATTAATCACTAGGTATTTTGCATTCGAGCGTCGCAAACGCAAAATTCTTGATATATATAATATGATTGGCCAAAAAAAGGCCTGATATACTTTGGAACGACCTCTCCATGGAAGCTATACGACGTTGCCATTAAAAGAATTTCAAAATAAAATAAAACGATTTTCTGACTTTCGAGTGGATACAGAATCACTCGTGTATAATATGCCTAAAACATATCTACGGTAAGGTCAGGATGGTATTGCGTCAATCTATTGGAAACACAATGCACTCTCTAAACGCGAACCTATTATATTTTCCAACGGATTTTCATAATTATTGTATTTTAATTAGGCAATTGCTGATTGTGCAAGTAAACCAATGCGGAAGTTTTTGTAAGGTTATTTTTAGTTATCTATGCCAATGTATACAACAGATTTTGCAAAAGGTTCGTCGTAACTTCATTTTAATCGTAAATTCGGTGGGGCACTTGTATACCTAATTACATAGAACTTTAGATATTTAGTTACGGTACAAGTGGTTTGGTCTTTGCACTATTAATATAGCTTTTAAATAAGTAATAATACATAACTCAATAGTATTTTTCATTACGGAACATTAAATGTGGAATGAATGGTGCCTTTTTAGATTTTACTGTGGGTTGAGTGTTGTTAGAAAATTAGATATACAAAGAATGCTTCGCGCCCGTTGAACTCTTATCTAGGCCAGATAGCGCCGCCTCTTATCTCTTTAGCTTCCACTTAATACACCTTGACATAAAATTGTTGCATCTTTTTACGTCGTCGTGATATTAATTCTGTTTGATTTAATGTTTTTTTTTTCAAATATTGTGATGTGTAAACGAGAATTTAATTACCTAAGTGACACAAATCTTAAAAATAGTGATTATGTGTTTTCTATTTCATGAAATACTATGGAAATATCAAAAAATTGTGAAAAGTGACTTTTTGTAATTGCATGTTGTTCTATTTCTGCATATAGGTATACAATTCTCTTTGTGTCGTCAACTAACAATTGACAGTTAGTGTTTAGCTACTCGTACACGTAAAAAATCTTTAAGGGATAGAATATTCTGTTCGTTATTATGTTTACAATGGAGGACGCGTCGCCCGAAGAATTAGCGTACAATAGTCGAGCTAATTAGGCACATTATGTTAGTTGCGTTAATAGGTTCATTGTGATGCCGGCCTCGTCTTCCAATGTCCTCAGTCACTCCACTACAACATAAACAATGCACTCGACAATATCGCACTCTTCAATGCCTGCGATACATTTACGTGGAAAGTCCGTACGCGCCTAGTTAACAAAATGTCTGAAAGGCAGTGAGAAAACCAAATTCATACTCATAACGGCTTTATTTCAATAACCCCTAGACATTAAAATAGCAATATAGTTATATGTCATTGGAAATTTTGTAAATATGAAATTTATAAACTTTTTGGAAACAATTTTACGGAAGTACATATTTGTTAAGGCATTTTATCACATCACAAAAATAATTTTAAACGTTCAACAGATTATGTTATGAATATCTTTAGAAAAACGGTGAAAGGAGCGCTTTGTAGTAGTGACAAATTAATAATAGACTATCTATGAGGCACTTGCATAAAGAGGATTTTTAAAATTTTGTGAGCAAGGCATAGGCCAAGAGTCGCAAAGAAATTAGTACTATATTATAACATCATCTGTTTAACGAACATATTATTATCAGAATTATAAATATGTAACTTTTAAGTACATCACTAAGACAATAACGATATTTTTTCAGCTATTAGTATCAACTATCAAATATAAATAATTTAATTAATTCATTACCATAATATACAATATACAAAAACACGTAAAATCATTGACGATTGACGATTCACTACAAAACATAAATTGTCATTATAAAAAACGGAAAGCTTAATTCTACGCAATATAAGGCACTAGTTAACGATCAACGTCAGTTCTTTATGTTCATTCTACAAGTACTAGAGGAATGTTAAAAAAATGAATTATATCACTTGTTCCCATGACGCAAGGGCCATCTGCATCGGTACTCGCAAACAGTCGACTGAGGCGATCGAGTTATTTTGGGTTTAGACGAAATAAACACGCGTCATACATGTGCAGGCGAACGGCGGTTCATTAAACAGTTCTCTCGAGAAATGATTCACAAATGAGCTTTCACTTCGCATCGGTGATGAGTGATCACTATGCGCACTCGATCATCGAAATCGTTAAGCGCTTTTCACGATTCACACAAAACGGTTTGCGAGTATAGTTGACGCGTCGCGTGCGGGCCTCGACGAGATGCGGCGGGAAAGCGAACAAAAAGCGCCCAACAATGGGATGAAACTATCCCACGAGCGACACCGCACCGCGCTCGACGCGTATCGGCTTTCCACCTTTCCAGCGGTTTAATTATCGCCGCGGATCACCGTCGCTCGCATTGTTCGCGGTGAAATTAATCGTTCGCAATCGATTGGCCGAAAAAATAAGAAATCAAACCGTTTCTCTCGGGCGGGCACCGTTAGGTTGAAGTTTAACGATCGCGAGATACTCGCCCCGTCACGCTGCACATGTGACGTGCGCCCGCCGCTCGATACGCTCGGGGGCGCCTAAGCGGCGCCCGCCTCTTGCTTCTGCTGAATGATGGACTCCCACTGAGCTATCAGCCTGGTGGAACTTGGCGCGAGGAACTCCTGTCCCGGACTGAGCTCGCACAGCTCGGCCAACGACTTAGCGGGCTTCAGGCTCCCGAGGGAATCGTGGCCGGAACTATTCCTGGGTGAGGGCGACCTTAAGTCGTCGTTCAAGGCTTCGTACAGTTCACCTATCGATTTAGTCGCCTTCAGTTTCCCCGGCGGAGGAATCTCCTCGTCCTCCGATTCCGAAGTGGCTTCGTCGTCGCTCAGTTCGAGATCGAAGGGTTTCTGTTTCTTCCTCATCTTCTTCAATTCGTGTTCTCTGTCTTTCATCTCCTGTAGTTCCTTTTGTATTTTCTCCTCTACGGGGACGTATCCTTTCCTGACGGGTTTGCCTTCGGGGGTGCGAGTGATGACGGCCGATGCGACGACCGTGGCTATAGGAACCGAGGGCGTCGTCGGGAACGCGACGGGCGAAACGAGGTGCGTCGGCGAAGTGGGTCCCACCGGCGAGGTGACCGGCAGCTTACCCTTGTTCGCGATAAACCTCTGCATTAAACCCTTCGTTCCATTCTGAGGTGTGAATCTGCGCGTATATCCATTCGTGCTCAACACCGTCGGCGTGGTGGGGGGTGAAGGGGCTATAGGCCCTAAAAGATGGGACGTCGAAACGGCCCTGCTTAATGTCTTTTGTGGTCTGTCGATACCGTTACCGTTGACATAGCCGTTCTGGTGGGCTACATCGATTGTCGACTCCGACATGAGCCTATTGATTCTAAAATGGCCTTCTTTGAATTCCCTCTCCCTCTCCGTAACCTCGTATATCTCCCTCTGGATCCTCGAAAGGGGATCCTCCTTCAACAGTGACTGAAAAAAAAGAATCGTTTTAAAACTCTTACGACTAAAATTGCTCGAAAAAATTACAGTACGGCGCAGTTAAGTAATACGACGGGCGTGTGATTTTTTAGCCTAGTAAGGTAAGTGTATACTTGGTGAGTCGGTATGTATCACGTTTGCCGCGAGCGCTATGCGCTGTCCGAGTTGACCTTACGTTTATGGCACAGATCTGCAAAACGTGACTATTTTGTGCAGTTTTAATGCGTTTCTTAACAACTGCTACGCTATCTTTTTTATGTCGTAAATAGTCAGAGATAATAATATAATCGAAGGCAATGAGATCTGATAAGAAAATAATGTAATAATAAATTATTCGTAATGATTCATTGCTATTGACTCGTAATAAGTAAATTAAATTTTAATATGCTTTCTAGAACAGGTGTTCTGCGTTTGATTGCACAGCCTTCGACTATCTCGGATTGAGCACCAATTTTTATGTCCGAAATGAGATCGTAACGATTCGACATCGACGTTTATATCATATTAAGTTATATAATAATATTATTATATGTCAAGAATTACATTTTTTCGTCACTGATTCTGGTGAATGTTATTGTTATATTTGAATATGTATGATGTGCAGTAGTGAAGGTACTTGGTATTTTATTATGTTTTCACAGTCGTGGGCATCTAATATGGGAACAAATTAACTGTGAAAATACAGTTTTTGCGAACAATGCGAATCCGTTCCACCTTTTAGGCGTCTGCGATAAATAAAAGCGATCGATATTCGATATTATTAAAATGTAGATAAGACAATGCCCACTCATTTGTTATTGCGGGAACGTTCGAGGGCAATAAAATCGACTTAGATATTGTATCGCGGCTGTTATCGCACGTATAACAGTACTCGAATCTCGTTCGTCCCGTGAAAGCTCCGTTCGGCCCCACGGACATTCCAAAAGTTATTCAGCACGTAATTATAGCACAAACGCGAGTACGCGCCGCGGCAGACCATCCCGAGCGTCGACCCGCGCAGGATCCGCCGGGCGCCAAATACAGCCAACGGTACTCACTTCACCCATGCTTGGACAATCCGTAAACAGGAAGCGAAACGGGCACAAACTTCACTCCACACACATCACGGTTCCGATTGAATCGTGCCACGATCGAAGTTCCGCGACCACACGATGGCGTCCGCCGCAGGCTAACGTCCTCCGACGACTGGCCAATGCCGAGTCGCCGACCGACGCACCGACTAATTGGCGCGAGGGAGAGGACTCGCTTACCTGTGCGAGAGGGACAGGTGCCCAATATCGCTATAATCCGTGGCAGTGGAGCATGCGGCGACTTCCCGACTGCGCAACGAGGATTATGTTGCCGGCAGAACATGCTTCGCTTTAAACTCAAACAAACATACACTTTGAGGATCTGTGCGCGATGTGATTCTCTTTGGATTACATAAATATTAAAAATTCTCTCTTCCCGAATAATTTACCAAAATATAAAGACACACTCAAAAGCTTCGGTTTTGTTTGATTAAATACAAACAAATCTTAAATACCTATCTACGTTGAAAATTTGTAAAATAAGTAAAATAAAATTTTCGACGTGCTTTATTCAGGAGATGGAGCTATTGTTTTACCGACATTTTGAAATTTAAAACGCGGATTTCCACGCCACTGATTTGAGTAGGGAGTGCTCGGGGTGTGAGCACGATCTGTCTGCGGGATCCGATGTCCGACAAGGAAAAGGAATCCTCGGAAAAAACGAATTACTGCTTACAACATTAATTTATACAATTTTCTACGTAAGCGTGTTCGCTAGGAAAAATCTTAATAAGTTTCTACGGTCACTTGTGATAATCTAATCTTTAAAAGCGCCTGCTGCAAAATTAACAAAACATTCAATTTGCAGTTACTAACAATCAACGAGAATTTAATTATTTTTATTTTGAAATGATATCGGAATTTATCTTCTATCTATATATTCTATGTTATTCGCCGCCAAAGATTATTGCTAGTCATTCCTACAAAACATACCTATTTGTTGGAAAATATTAAGGGAGTAACCCAAGTCATACAAAAGAAAACAGATTCACTTTCAAAATATTATAATACACACAGAATAGTAGCAATTATATCCATATACATGTATAATACTCTAATTCAAGTGAAACTCGCATTAAATAGTTAACAATTAATATAATATAAAAATTGTTAGTATATTTCATGTTTTTTATCTACACAGTGCACACACTATTGCAAATAACAATATTTTTATTCTAAGTTACCAACTTACATATTGAAGAACAGTAAATGTAATTCTAAATCAGTCTTAACTAGGGGTAGGTTGCGCAGAGAACACATTATTTGTAAGGGATTTTGCAGAACTCTTAACATCGATGTCCATGTGACTGTTTTTGAGATGTCTCGTGAGATCACTTGGGCGGTAGAAGCCTTTAGAGCAATAGTGGCATATGTATGGTGTGTACTTAGAATGCTGTTTTAGTAAGTGAAATTCTAAAATGGGTGCAGTGGGAAACGTCTTCATGCAATCACCAATAGTGCACTTGAACTTGTTACTGTTCTCATGCTTGAAGAACATATGGTACTTCAAGGCACCTTTCAAAGCAAATGACATGTTGCATAAAGGACATACAAACGGTCTTTCACCGGTATGTTTCCGCATGTGAACTTCCAGATTAGAAAATGTTTTCATACAGATATTACACTGCCCAGATTTCTCTGAATGCACTCTACGAATGTGGGTTTGTAAATTACCCTTCATAGAGAATGTCATGCCACAAAAGTTGCATATATTCCTCTTTTCATTTTTGTGAAGACTCATGTGGACACGGAGACTGGATTTAGTCTTGAGTGACTTATTACATAGTAAACAGGTGAATTTCCTCTCATCGCTGTGCACACTTTGGTGCTTCACGACAAGGTTGCGATGGGCAAACTTTTTATTGCAAACAGAACAAGAGTATGGTTTTAATCCTGTGTGAATTGTTTGGTGGCGATTCCTAGAAGTCAGCTGCTTAAACCTTTTAGGACAATAGGTACAGGCAAAGGGCATTTCGTTTGTATGGACTCGGATATGGGTTATTATGTCATTTTTACTAAAAAAACTATTTCCACATTTCTCACAAGTGAACTTGCGCTCGCGGACAGAATGGTACACGTCTATGTGGCGTTTTAGGTTACCTTTGGATGGAAATTTTGCATTGCAAGTGTCACAGCTAAAGGGTTTCTCCCCAGTGTGGACACGCATGTGTATTTCTAGAGCAGAATTACTCTTTGTCACCAGTCCACACAACACACATTGGGCTGGGCCAATGCTGCTCTGCTTCTTACGTGATTTTCCTCTTTCATTGTGTCCTTCCTTTTTTACCTCTTCTTTAATGTCGTCAAATGAGTCTGACAGAAGTCTAATGTCCAGGTCGTCTTCGATACAGTTTACTTCGGAGTCTAACTTTGCGTGCTCGTTTTTTACATCCAGCGTAACACTTTTTGAATCACAGTTTGTGTATATATCCACCGGGGTGAGACATCGCAGCGCCTTCTCGGAAGCTTCGCACTTCCGTACAAACTTAAAGGCTAAATTAAGCTCAGCGACACATTCTTCACAAATGTTTGTAGGTAATCCGTCCCCTTCACAAATAGGTACATTTATAAGACGCGTTATTTTTTTACAGTATTGTATTTCATTTAACTCTGCACTAAAAACCGAAATAGTTCCCGCCTTGTCAAGGCAAATTCTACAAATAAATTCCATAACAACTTCGGCTTAACACCATTTACCATTTAAGTCTTATTGGACAATATTGTAAGGTATTAGAATAGTAAATGACGACGATGTAAATGATAAATTATACGTTAAATCAGAAAACAATATGTATTACATTAAAATAGAAATAAAATGTTTTCTTTAAAAATTATTCAAATCTTAAGCAAAATTGTAAATAAACAAATTTAATTGTGACATGAAGCGTATTTGACGTTAAACCAGTTTAGTTTTTTCAATAATATTTTATGGCCCGGTAACAGGACCTTTAAGCCAAATTGTATTCACTCTTATTGTTTTAAAGGGACATGATTGTGTTAAACGTTCAAATGCATGAAATACTTTTATGTTACAAACTTGCCATAGTACATAGATTTTTTTAAATACTTTATGGCCTGGTAACGGAACCTTTTAGCCACGTATATAGAATAATAAAGACCACAGACTACAATTACCCAATAAGGTTCTTTTTATTTTATAAATTCAAGAACAATTATTAAAATGTTTAGCCAAGACACACGAGTTTTAGAATTTAAGATAAGTGGAAAATAAATGAACACCTATTATATAAGTAACGAATTAATATTTATATTAAAAAAATAAATACAATAAAACCCTGTTAATATATTAAATTAATAGAAATGTGGAGGAAAAAAGTTGCATACTTTTCTAGCTTATTACTTATTAGACTACTGTCTCATCTTGCAGGTATTGCTTATGTGTGCCACTTTTGTGGCGATGATAATCTGATTTGCGATAGAAACCGCGCGGACAAATACCACATTTATAAGGTGTTCCATTGCCGTGCACTTTAAGGATATGATAATTTAGCATCCGCATTGATGGAAAGGCTAAACTGCAACTATCCTTTTCACATTTATAGTGGTCAGTTTTAGTATGCTTTAAATTAATATGGTAATGCAAACCTCTTTTATCTAAAAAAGTTTTTGGACATGATTCACAGTCAAACGGTCTATCTCCTCTATGCTTCTTCATGTGTTCTTCAAATTGACTAACATTCATTGAACAAGTTTTGCAAAAACCTGAGTTGGAGGTGTGCATCCGAGAAATATGTTTTGCCAAGTTAGCCTTGTAAGTAAACTCAAAATCGCAGTGGTCACAAATGAAAACTCTTCTTTTATTTCTATGTCTCCTCTGGTGTTGATATAAGTTTCCTTTGGCCCTGAACAACCTGTTGCAAGTTGTGCAGTTGTATTTCTTTTCTACATTATGTGTGTCGCTATGTGCTCTCAACTCATTCCGTGTTACAAAACCTTTACTACATTTATTACATTGATAGGGTTTTTCATGAGTGTGATGTCTGAGAGTGTGTATTTTCATCTGTCCTCTTTGAGAAAAACTTGAAAAGCAAAAAGAACATTTAAAAGGTGTTTCTCCTGTATGTATGCGCATGTGTATCATAAGACTTTGTTTGGAGCAACATGCCTTGCCACAATAATCACACATATATTTCTTTATGCTTAAGTGTGTGTCTTTATGCTTTTTTAAGCCTAATGGGTTTTTAAACATCTTACTACATTGGGGACAATCATAAAGGCTTTCATTTGGGTGAGTTTTATCAATGTGTTTTATCAGCAGTGACATGTTTAAAAAAGACTTATGGCATGCGAGACATTTATTTAGTTTTTTCTTACTTTCCTGTTTACTAATTTGTGTCTCATGCCTTTCTTTCTCTTTGATATGTTTAATTTGTTTACAAATGTTTAATGATTTTTTGTTAACTATACATTTAGGCTTGTATCCATTTAATTGTTCCTTCACATGTTTTTTCTCTACATCTTTAATAGAAATACTTTCTTCTTCTGAGAGTATTGTGTCTTCTTGTAAGTTATACTCGGGATTATTTTTTTCCTCTCGAAGAGTTTTCTCGGTGTTTGCGCATTTCACCAAAAAAGCATAACAACTTGACAGCTCGTTATCACAATTTAAACAGATAAATTTTGGTAAGTCCTCTTCCTCGTCAAAAGAAATTAAAGACTTGTCACAGAAATATGTTATTTTTTGATAGGGGCTTAAACCATTTGTATTAAAATTGTCAAATATAAAAATAACTCCCTTATGAAGTCCACAAAGCCGACAGATATTTTCAAACATTGTATTTACGAAAGCCTTTATTTGTTTTCTTATAATACTAAAATGCTAAAAAGATTGTATATCTATTTACGTAGTTTCGATACGTGGTACGTACATAATATCAATATATTATTCTATAAGTCTGTTTACTGAATATAAAACTAAATCACTTGTATTTATTGAATACCTATATGGAGATGTGTTTTTTGTTATATAAATGTCATTATCAGATGTTATACATCCTTTTTTTTATTGCATGAACATGGATGCTAGTCTTTTAGCAGAACAAACATCAACTTTTTCAGTATTACAAAATAAAGGAAAAACTTTGTAAAGTATAAGGTATTTTTTCTTATTTGGCATTTTTGGTAAACAAACACGATTTACATAAAATCGTGATTTTCTCACAGGTTTTACATTGATATACACTAAAACACTTTGAGACATTAGAGATTATATATTAAACCGATAAACTACCTTAAATTCACTTAGTAATGATCTCAATTCTAATATTAATAAGAATCCTGAAAATTAGTTTACATAAATACACGTCAAACGAAATAAACACTGAAAAAAAAACACTGGCAAATAGTTAAATATTCTTGCCACAAATGAAAAAAATAATAATCTCGTTTGACGTTTACAAAAGCATGGGATGCAAGAAAAGGCAACGACAATAGAAGGTCCCACTCATGAACGATCGTTACAAACGTCGAGTTCAATAATAAGGTCGTCAAAAAGTCATTACAGTTAACTAGCATATTAGGCCGTTTGATCTATTTATAACGGATATTTCTTTAACCCAATATCATCTGTGGCAATGAGGTAGACATATCTCTTCAAAGGGGCATTACTAAATCGCTATAGTTTTAAATCGGCCATATTTGTTGTCTTTTGCCAAGGTAGAGAAAATACACTATACGTCTTGATTTTAGTATTCTCTGCAGAACTTGACTCACCTTATAAGCAAAAATACAAGTTGGATATTTATGATGTAACCATTAGAGTGAAATAAGAAGCTTTTTTGATATTAATTTATTTAATAGTTCAATAATTTGTGTTTATCACAGTCCCAGAAAAAAGTAAAGCCAACAGAGTTCTAACAGGGATAGATAGATCATGAAATTTTAACAGAGAAACAAAGTAAAGAAATAATCCATAGAATAATCAACACTCACTGTTTACAAAAAACCGTAATATAATTTCATTATTATTAAAAATAAATTGCACGCGACTATACAATCAAAATAATTTTGATCCAGTCAAAACATCCTACAAGATTGCGAATAACATTAAAAATAAAAATTCACGATGTAGAGTTATAAATTATGCAATCAGTCAACGATTCACTTAAATAAGTTAACATCCATCTTGTTAACCGGTCTCGTCAAAACATAAAGGCTGCGCGACGACTGCCCTGGCCTAGGACGACCGAATGGAGGCCGCTTAGACTACAATCGTTGCTGCAAATTAATTTAGCTAGCGCGCGGTCCGTTCAGTGTTAATCAAGATGCAGCACAGTCGATAGTCTAAAATTATGCTAAGCGTGTGGAGCGAACTTGCAATGGAGCCGTCGCCCATTTTTTCGCTGACGTACCATTCACACACAACAGATGAAATACGTCCATAGCCGAGCCCCAGCGGGGAATACTTAACAAGATCCACCGCTTCGTAAGTCTACAGTGCATTTTCCGCTCGGCCCGAGCCCCTAGCCTAGGATAAGCTCTGCGGCGGGCAGTGCTCGTGATGCCTAAATCTAGATACTAGTGACTAACCCAAAAACGAATGTTGCAAATTAGCACCGAACAAATTGAGGTCGTGCCGCGGCCCGCACCCGTCCTCTTACAACTAAGTGAAATATCACCGCCCTTCGTCGATGTCTGCGTCGTGTGTATACATTTTCGAAAACGTCCAAACGCCGTCGCGAATAAACAACCGAAACGATCTATACGTCTAAGCGTCCCATACACAAAGAAACGTGAATAACTTACGCCGTGCAAAAATATAAAAATCAATATTGTCATATCCTTATTAGCTACGCTAGCGCATTCCGCTCTATAAATATACCCGATTTCGTCCCGCTCCGTCGTCTCGACACTTACACAAGTAAATAACGCTTCGTACACCGATTAGACTAAGGTTACGAATATAAACCTTCACCGGAACAATAGTATTTGGAACGACGACCTAAGCGTCGATCAGTTGATGGCTTGTTCCGTCATCTGCAGACAGAGGGCGTCGAGGCTCGAGTAGTCGTCGTGCGCGGGCGCAGCGGGCCTAAAGACGCTCGCCAGCGGGGGGAAAGGCGGATACGAGTTGGACTTGCCGCGAGGCGGGGGCGGCGCCCACGAGCGACGCCCGCGACTACTAGGACTTACTCGCCATCTGGAAATCACATTATTTAAAATTAAACAAGATAATAATAAAACAAAGGAAAAAAAGAATACTCCGTGCGGTTTTTATATATATATATCGGAATCATTGTGCAAAAGACACACTAATGTAGTCTGATCACAATAATAGTTCTGGAAAAAATATACCTGGGTTTATTCCTCCTGAGTGCAGGCATGTCGCTGACATGCTGGAAAAACTGGCGCGGAGGGAGACGATGCCGGAGTCGTCTCAACGCCTCTTGGAGACCACTGCATCGAAACGATTCATGGTGCAGAGCCTGTCAAATAAATATTTACATTATTTTTTCAGATTCAAGCCTAACTGAAGGCATACATAGAAACATATATATGGTTTCATACCTTTTCCACAAGCCAGCAATGAAGTGACATGGGATCCATTAGATCTTCGCTGTCCGCACTCAAGGCGTTGTTGCTTGCACTTGTGAGGCATTTTGATGCTGCAAAAAAGAATAACAAAAGAAATTAAAAACAAGAAAATCATTGAAGATTCTTGTTATGACTGAAATCACCTGTTTAAATGGAAATAATAATAGCCAATGTACTTACCCAAGTCCAAAGCAGCTACCAAAGCTACGGGCAGGTCTGACCCAGGAGGCATGGGAGACAATAACACACCCCTCACCTTCTCCAGTGCTCTCACCATCGCGCTCGCTCCGCCACCAGAAGACAGCTCGGTGCGCACGGACTCCAGGATAGCTGATCTTTCATTGAGTTTCTTTATGGAGAGGAGAATCTTGTGGCGGGCTCCCTTCGTTACACCTGGAAAGTATGCTTTTTCTAATACCAAAATGTTTCTGGCTTTAGCCAAAATTTTATTTGAGGAGGAATAGGTGTCTTTGTCTATTTCTCATATCAGAGATTCTAATAAAATGAATTAATTTTTAGTAACATGATTTATGTTTTTAATTTGAGGTTAAAACTCATTTACGTTTTTAAGCTAGCATAATACTCACCCAATTTTTCTAAATACTTCTCGTCCATTGCCATCATCTGCTCATAAGTTATGTTAGTAAAGAGCCACACGTACTTATGTAACCGCAAACTCTTCAGCCACTGTGCTACAGTGGACATGCCAGGATGCTCTGTGTAATTGTTTAATCTCAATTCGTCCAACCTCGTCTCACTGCCCGTCGTTCCATACATTATAATCGGCCTTAACTGCCCCAAACTATGTTCACTCGATAGAGAGAAACTTCTTGGTTTCTGGAAAGGTTCATCACTAAGATTCTCTGCCGAAGAAGAGATTTGTAGAAAATTTGTTGATGGAGGTGTCAGGCTATTAGATCTTTGGGATTTTGGCTGGGTGATAGCCAGGTCAAATAGATCCCCTTCTATACTAATGTCAACATCTCTTCCGTTCTTAGAAAATGATTCCTGTAAGTCTGTGTACGGTGGGTGGTCCACTGAGTCTAGTATTGCTCTAAATTCTACATTCTTTCCGATTGTACGTCTAAAAGTGCTATTGGTATTCCAAATGTTTGTTTCAGGCATGAGGGGGTCTATTCGTTGCTGCCAGACTGATTCCGAGTTTCTGTTGCCAGAGATATGATTTTCTAGGTAACGCAGCCATTGTGTCACTGTTCTGTAAAATAAATGATGTAGGACAACAAATGATAATTGCTTTAAGATTTTTGTCTGTATTATTATAATGAGTAAAACATTCCTAAGAAATGAAAGTAGCAGCATAGATATGGATTTTAAAGAGTAAAATTGTTAATCGCTAGAAATCACATAAAATTGTTAAGAAAAAACACAAGATTGAGAAAAGATAAATTTGCAGTAAAAAACAATTCACTTTCTACTTAATTATGCATGAGGCTTTATGAATGTTGCATAATTAACATAATTCACATATAATTATGTGTCTCATTAGCAACAGCTCTTTCTGAAGGTACTGTTTTGTGATAATTTTTCACATTTAAAATGAGGGTAGTCATATTTTTGATTATTTGTAAAACTGTTACTAAGTGTGATCAAAGTGCTAACTCACCTCTGATCGTGAAGGCTTAAGGCTGGATGTACTAACAAGTACGATAAAAGTTGTCGACATAAATCTGAAGCAATTGTTATTCTCGGTGCATCCACACATCGCTGCACTAGAGCTGGGGCAGCACCCACATATACATTTTTTGCATGTTCATTATCTGTTCTCAATAGGGGTAGCAGTGTCAACAGCCGACGAAGGCGTTCTCCATCTGAAAAACATAATTATACACTGTTTTTATGTTTAATTATAAAAGTATTAACAATCATAATTAATAAAATTGCATTTTAAATGTTGTTTTCTCTTTATTATATGTGAAATTATGCATGCAACAGTTATCACTATTGAGCAAGATAGTGTTGGCTCTTTTCAATAGTTGGTCAATATGACAATTTTTATTATCATTTATATTTACAGTATACAAAATGTATATAATTGTAAAGTGATGAAAAAGACCGCTACCAGAGATTCCTTAACTATAATACATAAATGACATTGTTATTTTGATTGTTGATTAATATACTAAAGAAACATACTAACTGGTTAATAATTATAATTGTTGCTGGAAGGTACCCTCTACCTTACCTTCATCTTCGTCCTCGTTAGCCCTCGCCGCCAATAAGCTGGCCAAGAGCGTTTCGTCATTCGCGTCTCTCTCGAGACGTTCGTCTTCCACATGGTTCTGCAAAGCCGCTTCCACTGTACGCTGCACCAGGCGCAGACCTGGCCAGGGCACCCTCCGTGCCAGCGTACACGCCATCACGGTTCGCTCGCACGTGCCCCACTGTTCGAAAACCCCAGCCACACCCCCGAGCTGCTCGTAAAACGTGCCGTTCATCTTCCCACCAGCATATCCACCCGAAAATACTTCTGTTTGTGCCTAAAACACGTCAGATGTGTGACAGCTGATCCCTGCACGACGCTCCTTTCGCTAATTTGCAAACGTCGTCGGTGCCACTAGCGGAAGGGCGACGGGTATGACGTAGTAGACCGCGAATAATTTGTACTATAATTGCAGGTAGAACTAAAACATAACATTTGATGCGATTCGACGATCAGACAATTTATTAAATTAACCAAAATGGCCGAGTACAGAGTATAGAACGAACCCAAATTGTAAATATAAACTGCCACAGAGCAAACATACGAGCATTTTTTTTAAACCTACTTGGTTCCTAAATATTTTTGCTTGAATAAATATTGATTCAGACTTAATAAATATAATGTTATTTAAATTAATTGTTAATATTTTTTATAATTATTATAGCATCTTTTTTTTAAAGGGTAACATTAATTGCAATGGTTTTTCTACTGGACACTAGATGGCAGCATAGTTTGTAGTTTCTATTTTAGTAACATTTTTACTGAAATATAGTTAAGATGTCATTTTTTTACAGGTAAAACACCAACAGTTTAATTTACAATCAAAACGGGTTTAAATAAATTTATTCAGTGTATATAAATTCTTTTGCTACTAAGTTACATGTAAAGGTAGGTAGGAGAACATTAAGTATTGTTTTAGTATCATCCACCCACAATCATAGTAAAATGTGTGTCAAACCGTAATTATATACTTAGTGTTGTGTTGGTATTATTTGTGTGATGGAGTGTTCGTTGCGAGATGGACAACCAGATATTGCCGGTAGACTCCTGTCACCCTCCGCTCGAGATGAAAAGGAAAAGATACATTGATTATTTAGCATGCTATTTCTACCGATAACGCATTGTGACCGCGATGGAATTTTTATGAAGTTACCTTTCTTTCTACTTACTTTAAACTGGGTTCGCCTTTATAGTTTTAATAATCCAAGAGTGCATCTAGGAAACAAACTAAACATGCATAATGACAGGTATGAGTATCCGCTATCGGCATATACCGGATATTCGAGAATAAAAAACACAAACTAATCCCTTAAACTAATTTACAAAAAACTCATGAAAATGTGGACTGTTAAGAAAGTTATCGCCTGATAAGCGGCTGTCTTTATTATTATTTCGGCCTTATTTCGGCTTTATATATATATGCAAGGGGTACGACACTATGTACATATACCAGATCGGGCGCATCAGCGCGCAGGAATAGCAGTATTTTAAGGCCCTCGCCTTCCTTTGAAACTTAACGGTCTGTCGGGGCCGTCAGTCAGTGCCTGTTATTTGTAGACGTCAAGATATTCGGAAATTTGCGGGGGTGTATCGGTGCATCACAAATGTAGTAGAATTAAGTCTGATAAAAATGCTTCATTGTAACAAAGCGCCGGCGTTGTGCAGCGCTAGTGTTACTTTGGTTTACACATAAAATAGGTTGATATTTTAAATTTCAATTTGCTTGCAGTTAACATTTTTATATTATATACATATTTGTAATTTGTATGAATTTATATCTCTATTTCTTCTAACAAAACATTTTAGGAAATCTTTTTAACTATCCTACGGATTTTGCGTTTCTGAACTTTATTTTACGATTGCATTATTTTTGTTTAAATATAAGAAAACGAACGATCGTGTGACGGTTGGCATTTTCGTTTAATTTGGTTTTTTAAAAGTTGGTGAGAAAAAGTCATCGTTGAATTACCATTTATTTAATGTGTTTTGAGCAGTCTAGATTTCTTAAAGGAAGGAAAGGGTAGGAAGCACCACATTATGCCTCGTAAGGTGTCAGTTAAGGATAGTAATATTGGTGTGATTTTATCTATGCCAGAGTAATAAACTAACCTAGCCAAGCATGACTATAAGCTACAGTACAGTAAACAATAAACGAACTACGAGTTAGAAATTGAACTAGACATAATTGTTACTTAGAATTCGTCGCGCTACAACAGGATTTCTTTAAATTGGTCTAATTGTTGTGACAACGACTCAACCCTTTGTTAACTCAGTGAAAACAAGTAGACAATGAAATTATACAATTTGCATGCGAAAACATTGGCGCAATGAAAATTTTGTTACCTCTGCTTAGGGTTGTTTATGGATTTCAAATCTTTAGAAATTATTTATCTATTTGTTATTTTTTAATCTTTTTTCTGTAACATACATTTTTGGAATGCTAGCAATGTATTGCTAATAATTAAAAGATCGTGGGTTCGATCTCCACTGAGCCAACATTTTTCTCATGAATTTATAATTTTTGAGACATGTTGCACGTCGTCTTAATCTGGATATTGAATGGGCGGTAGGAATATCGCAATTCCGTTCCGTTCGGCTTACGAACCACCATTCACATGATCACCATGAAAAAGACGTGAAATTTAATCGCGTCCGGTGTTAGTCTGTGGATTTCCGAATATCCGAAGCCAAAAAAGGTCGACAGCACATCTTGTTTAGATGTTATATGGCTACGATATTCTCCATCAAGTAAACCCTACATCATAAAAGAAAACCAAAGAACTTACTTTACCACTTATCACTACAATTAACTTTACTAAACAATGAAATCGATCTATGGCTTATTATAATTATACATGACTAATTGTATCATATACTAGCTGTGTCGGCGACTTCGTTCGCGTAGAATAGTTGTTTTGGGCGTCCAAATTTGTTTTTGCAAGTTAATCTTAAAAGATTGACATATAGTGTCGCGAACATTTTTTTCAGATTATTAAAACAGGAATCATTCTTACATTCATATTTTCTGGGTATCGTGAATCGCATTGTACACATCAGAAACCCACAGAGATTAAAAATTTCCTTCGTTGTGTTCACATTTCCCGCTCTATCTTCGCTTGTATTAGTCACAGGGCAACGTTTTATATCCTGCCTACTACCTACCTACGTAACTAACAGAAAAATTAAATAATTTTTCAATTCGAATCAGTAGTTCTTGAGGTTAGCGCGTTTAAACAAACAAACAAACTCTCCAGCTTTATATATTAGTATAAATGATGTAAATTATGACAATATAAAACCGTGTATGTATTTTTCCCTGACACTTCTGATTTAAATACTTAAGAATTCAACGCCCTAATGAAAATATTAGCTCAAAGGAAACCCTTTACGGAACTGCGGTCGAAGCGTTTTGTATCGTTGACACATTAAAAGATTGATAGCTATTGGATGCGAGTTCGCTTTAATTCTAGTTTGATACCCATTTTATGTTTCCGTTAATGCTTTATATTCGTGGGAAGAAAAAACTTCTGAATAGGTGACAGTAAATACAGTTGTGTGTACGTCTCAATGTGGCATAGATTGAGGGTTTCTGTGGCATTCACCTTGACAGACCTTTAGCGAAGTTAAGCGAGTTGTTTGGCCGGTATGGTTGAAAGAGAGTTAGAGTACCTCACAGACTCTATACGAAATATCAGTCGTAGCTCACTTAGCTGAAACCTATATTCTAGCAAGTCCTAAAACGTTTTTAGGAAAGTCTACAACAGCATATCTTATACTAGCTGTGCTGTGTGTGTGTGTGTGTGTGTGTGTGTGTGTGTGTGTGTGTGCTGTGTTCTGTGTGTGGGGAATAGTTATTTTCATATTATTTATTACGTCCACAAATTATAGCTGTCACCTACCACGTCATCACGTCTCGTCGATCTTACAAGTTAATATAATAATCTTTTGATACTGTCGCGAACATTTTATTAGATAATTTAAAAAGTACATTCTTCTATACATATTTATTGGTTTGGATTTTTTTAATGATACATTAAATTGTTCAGGATGGTACAATTTATACATTCTAAGCTCTGAGCGGGCTAGATAAACATTGTCAAAGACATCAAGTCGTATGCGTGTGGTAGGTACCTTACAGTAAATTATGAAATGCAAGACTTTCACACTTTCTATTATAAGACAAAAACCTTATGTTGTTAAATGAAATTTTAAAATCATGTCTATGACGTTTTGTATTCAACGAAAGCACATTACAATCGTTTGTCGAGGCATAATTGCGTGTCCAGCACAATGTATCAAGTCCATCGGAGCGTCAGCTAGGAAGCAACTGTGACATCCACATTTGCGCGTATTGTGCGGGGATCGCTTCCGGTCGCCATTTTGTCACGAAGTCCGGCGGTGGTCTCGCCATTGTGCGCGCGACAGCAAAGGGTTGCTCGAAAGCATTTTAAGTGGGACCGATGCCACTATTGCGAGTGATCTTCGAGACGATTCAATAATGTGCATCGATTGTTCACGGTTGACCATAGCAGATAATAGTAGGTCGATGGGACCGTTCCATTTAACGGTTTAAACTTGCAGAATGACGAATAGAAACGCACGGTGCATAAACACCACCGTCCTAATTGATTAAGGAACTTCTACAAAATCGTATAATTTTTGTCTATTTAGACATTTAATTTCTAATCCTTTTACAATTTACAATAATTTAATGCAGGTATACAATATACAATACCACCAATAAAATATTGCAGAATTATATTCTTGGCGTCGTGATTTCGGTTCGCAAAGATTGTTTTAATCCACAGTTCTTAGTGTTCGTAATAAAATAGACTCGGATGTCTGGATTTAAAACCTCTCAATAACTCGCTATTCAACGTTACAGAGAAGTGACAGTTAATCCACATTTATTGCACAGATAATGAAATATGGGGGTATTGTTTACGGGCGGGGATTACCGGCGGCCCGCGAAGCCTCGCCGGATTAATTTAGTCTAGCAGCTTTTCAACGGTATTATTATTTCTCACAGCGTTTCGAGACTCATTCAAACATTAAAAAAGTTTAATGTGTTGGCTCGTATTTTAGTATCGTACTTAAAAACGATGAACGGATTCAAGGCCACATCTACAATTTATCTTATTAACTTATGTAACTTATAATATTCACAGTTAGACAAAATGACAATGCACTAAATTGAAATTCAGAAGGGTTTCCCAAAGGACAGGCGCGTGTCGGACCGCTATATCCACACGGAAAGGATTATAGGCCTTTTGACGTATCAATAAGGTTTACATTCCTTTCAAAGCAACGTACAGCTGCAAGTAACCCTACACCTAGTGGATATGAGAGCTACTAAATAAAGGTTTAAAATAAATATCCGTGTTTACCTTCAACATTAGTTGAGAAAATTATGTGAGACTTTATTACGATTAAGATTATTATTAGATATTAATAAAATATAACCATGCGACATGTTATTTGTCTGACGATTGTAATGTGTTACTGAGATCGATGTACTTATTTGTAATTGAATTTAATAATTTTAAAATTTCGTTCAGCCCACGTCTACCTTCCACGAAAGCCGTGATGTTTAACGGGTGTCGGTTGAAGTATATGAATTTTCGATATCCAAAACCAAAAAAGATGGACAGCGCATCTTGTTGGGATGTCATAACGCTAGGCTATTTCACATTCTCTTTCTATGATAAAAGAAATGCGAATATCTGAATATATTTATTGCATTATAATATATTTCTACCAAAAGACAAAATGTTCTATTATTAGCTCTAAAAAATAATAATTTAAAGATGTTACTATAGACCACTATGCCTGTTACATTGTTTAAGAGATCATATAAAATTTAAACTTTGAAACTTTTAAGTATTGTATGCAGTTAACGCGAATAAAACCCGTTTATGTATATAACTAATATATTTGGCGTTTTGAAACTTTTATTTTTTATTTATAAACTGTTATCGCGACAATCTCAAATCACATTTGCATAAAATCGTGATCATCATTAACTGTTTCTTTACAAAACAGTTGCAGCAATTCCGTATAACAAACGCGCAAAGTGTCGTCAGTTGTCCCGTTAGGGGATCGACCCAACCACTCGGAAGCCCCGCCCCTGTTCGGCAGGCCATTCATCAAAACGCTCTAAACGTTACGGGGAGGCGCACGTTCAAGATGGCTCTGTGGACCCCTTACGCGGAGGAAGCCTTGGACTTGACCAAGGACATAAAGCGGAGACAGTGCCACCACATAGACAGCAATTACTACAACTACGTGGAACCTTATCGCGTGCCGCCTTCGCAGATATCCCCCGAGTCGGTGAAGAGTTGGAGTCAGGACTTCTACGATGCGGAATCGCTCTCCGAAGACCTGGAATACCAGGCGTTCGAAAGGGACGCCCTTCAAGCGATGGCCGAGCGAAACGGAGGAACTCTCCTCGGGAACAACCCCAGAATGAAGCGCGCAGTTCAAAGTACCCAAGCAGAGGACGACATGTACAGAAAGCAGAGGGAGAGGAACAATTTCGCAGCGAAGCAGAGCAGAGATAGGCGAAAGTTAAGAGAAGTTCGTTTGGCCTTTCAAGTGACGTTCCTGAAGAAGAAGTTGGCAGACTTACGAGCAAGGATAGAAGACTCAGTGTGCGCAAGGTGCCAACAGAAATGTCGCTGTTGATTCGCAGATTTCGATAATGGATTTCGACTATTATAACTACGCGAGGGCGCTTGAGGAAGAGATTGTAAATATAAGTTTCTTTAGCCATCAAACATTTTTTTATAAAACTATATAGATTTAAGTTTAAAAGTGTACCAAAAATTTTTTAGATGTAAGAAAATAAATACAATTTTAATGACTACATTTCCTTTTTAATAAGTAAATGAATTTATTTAGAAATTAAGTCGTAATAAGGATTTGTTACCTTTTCAAATAAAGAACTAAAAACATAATCTGTCTTATTTATACCTAATTATTCGACAGTAGATCCGAGCCAGAGGTGGGTACTAGGCACTCCTACGTCCTTAAAAAAAGAAAACAGCGAGTTAGTTCGAAGTGAACGTCCATTTAATCATAATGTTATAAATCTGTGGTCATTGCTCGATTTTAGTATCTCATTTTACTACTTTAGAGCATCAGCATGGAACGCTGACGATGCCGGTTCAAGTCCTGCCCGAGTCGAAATTTTTTTCAATTTATTTTCGATTTTTAAATTATCTCAATTTACTCTCAAATAAGATGTATTTCTATTAAAAATAAGCGACTCTATCTCTTTCACTTAATTATAAATAATGAGCCTCTCAGTACGTGTATAGATTTTTTACATAACGTAGACGCGTAGCACACGTTCTACGAACGCGTGGGCGTGGCTTGCGCTTGCGCAATATATATATCTTGGGACCAATAATATCTTGTGGAATTGAATCCTCCATGTGAAAAGATCTTCATAACTTTTCTAATCTTGTTTGTAATCTGTGTCTGTAATTAAATAGATTCCCGCTTGAATTGCGTATAATGTAGGGTAAATTAAGCTAGTATCGAGTTCCGAGGGTAAATAAGAAATGAGCAGTACACTGTAGGTATTTAACACATTAAAATATGTGTTTGCGAAATTTTCAGACAACCCGGTGTGCTGTCTCGTGGCACGAAACCGGTGTAGATAAATAGATAATGTTTTCACACCTTTCGTTCGCGTGGCTTTGTCACAGCTTTAAGTTATTCGAGATGTTTGATGGCGATTAGTGATCAATGGCTACCTACAACCGAAAACAACTAAGTATAATAGAAAGATTGGAAAAATCTATCGCATTAACTATAATTGACCGAACAAGCAAAATAATCAAAAAATATGATGTTCTTTACACTTAAGTGAAGAATAACTGTACGTTCTCGAAAGTTCCTTTAATTAAATGTAAACAATTATTCAAAGGAAAAGGATAGTCGTACGAAATAAACTTAACTATATCAAATTTAAAAAAGGTTGTTACTTCGAACAAACTTATAGTACGTAAACGTAGTATAATTTACTAAATAAAATACTTTAACGATTTAAAACGCGATGTATGTTAGTTAAACTTATTTGTACTTGAAGTATGTTATTTAATTATAATGTTTAATGTGTAAAACGCGAGTAAACTACAGAGAGCATAAATGTCATAATTTATTTTATAAATATCCCTACCTATATAGATACCTACAATTATTTTAATGCCTTAACTGAAAATATAGAAAATTCCACTAAATTCCCACATTATCACGAATCCCATTGCTATCGTGTATGCCATAGGTGGATCGATATTGCAGTATATAGCGCAAAGCAGGGGTTGTGTAATGTGGGGCGCTTCCCCTATTTATTTCGAAGACCCTTCTCGCGTTAACAGTTACGTTGACGCCCTGCGCAACCCCTGAGTGATTTATTTAGTTAGTAGGTTCGGCGATAATGGAAAAACACACGACTTTTTAGACTACACTTTTACCTAAGTGCTCGTACTTAGTAAATGATAAAAATATTACGTAATTTAGCCCAATATTCAATATTTTTGTGCTTTTTACGTAGAGACAAGTTTTGCCCGCATTATCGGATCCCCAGGGATATACTTTTGAGAAAGCAAACAGTTCGGGCCCGTTAGCATTAGACGATCTTCTCGGAATGTTTGCGATGGAGCCCAAAAGACACCCTTTTATCTCACATTTTAATCCCCCGGGAACAAAACAATTTGCACATTGTACAGTTACTTTGACTAATTTTGTCTTTCTTGTCGTGTATGGGACGAGGCAGCACAATCTGAATCGTAATTTGAGTTTGCCTTGGTAGAAGCCAGAAAAACATTGAAGGAGTCCGTGAGACTCGTCACTGCTACACACGATAGGCCACTACTTCACTCGGCATTAGTCTAGTAACTACAGAGATAGACTAAATATTTATAAATTAAAATAGTTCTCGACAACTACCTGTTTTTTTATTGTAACATTTATTTTATCATACTACTTAATTAAATTGAGTTTCCTTTTTAGTTTTTCACTTATTTAAGGAAAGCCCAATTACGCAATAAGCAGAAAGTAATATCTACTCTCTATGAATTCTTACTTTAGTTTGTAGCATCTTCGTTTATTTATAGTTTTACGATTTGAAGTTTTCGAAAGTTTAACGAAACAGTAGAACCAACAAAACAATTTATTTAATCCCTTTTTAGAATTTTTATTGATTACCTACCATAAAACAAAAAAAAAATATTAAAAGACTGTCACCCAATTTTTACCGACATAATCTGCAGGTAAGCCATTAACTAACGTAATCTGTGGACAGGACGCGTGCCGACACAAAACGAGGAACAAATACTTTTTGACTGATCATTTGAATAGATTAAACTAACTGTTGGTTTTCAGTGTCCAAAAAAAGATTTTCATATTAAATCAAATATATATTATACTAGTACTGAGAAATTTGTCAAAAATTTGTTGTACGAAAAAATTATTGTTTAAATTACATTTACATACAGTTCGAAATCAAAAACGGATACTACTAAACTATCTAAACAATAAGAACGTTTGCAAGATTAATATTATTATGGTGATATAACTCTGGCAAATAGTTGGTTATCATTTCGACCAAATTTGATTACCTAAAAATGTTTTTTACGAGTTATTCTTAAAAGAAAGAGATATACTGTCGTTACATCACTAATAGTATAAAACAAAGTCGCTTTTTCTGATTCTATGTCCCTATGTGTGGTTAAATCTTTAAAACTACGCAACGGACTTTGATGCGTTTTTTTAAATAGATTTTTCTTGAAAGAAATTGATTCAAGATAAAGGTTTATATTATATCAAATATAACATCTATTAAGTGGTAGGGAAATAATGTTATTTTTTAGGTCTTTAATGTTATGTCGTAAATAATTAAAATTTTCTGCTTAATTGCAAACGCAGGCTGAACCCTACAATATTTATCAAATCAATGTATTATTTATTTAATTCTATATTGCAACACACACACACACACACACAAAGTATATATAAGTATTGTACACATTAAAAAGGTCTACACAAAGTCCGTTCTTATGGATATCCCATAATATTTTTTTTTGTCATCTACTTCTTACTACAAATAATGGCTAATTGTCGAAGCGACTTTGACTAATGCAGCATTACCCCTTATCCAATTTAAAACCTTAAATACACTGTTGACCTATATGGCCATTTACAGCATATAATTTAAATGAATATTTTCTATAAGAGATATAATAGATTTAAAAAGTGCGGTACGTACCGTTTGCGGTGGTACCATCCGGACCAAAGCCGGAGCGGGCCGCTATATTTTTATATACAACGGTCACAGTTTCTGTATTGTATTTAGTATCAGCATTTCATTCGGGCGAAGCCGGGGCGGGTCGCTAGTACATAATATTCTTAACCATTTTTGCAGCACGCGCAACAAAACCTCTTAAAGCGAATAATTACCCCTGTTTTGGCTCATTATCACCTTTTCTTCTCCTTTTAGTCGCGGCGTGATGTTAAATAGCTCAAAGTCTTCATCGTGAAACGATTTTTCATTTCGAAGTTATCGGTTTTTGAGATGAACGCATTTAAACAAACGAACTCTCTAGCTTTATATTAGTATAGATTTAAATGTGACACTGTGTTATTTCAGAATAAGAGCTTACACTGACACCATCACATGCTACTACTACCCTAGGTACTACTGATACATTCTTAAATGTACTAATACTACTATAATACTAGCTACATTGTAATTACTGTAGTTTGATTGTACACTCTCTTTTGCGTATTTCGCGAGAAACTGCCGAACAATATGTGTGCGGCAGCCGGAAGTATAGGGAAGTTAACGACAGTTGGCCATTTTGACGCTTCAATGAATTACAATGATCTGCGATCTGACCACATGCCACCAGAACGTATTAAGATTTCATTTCCCATGTCATACTGGTAAGCCAATAATAATCTTCGACTAGATGCGCTTCGTGTAATAAAGACAACGTCGTGTTTTTATCGAAATTCGTCACTAGTCCCACGGAATATTCTGATAAATAGATATTGTTAATTATACGGCGGGTACATACTAAAAACAACAAAATGATTTATAGCATTCGTCTAGAGAGTAAATATTGCTTATAAAGTACGCAAACACAACAATTAAAACAAGTTGGTTAACGTCTTAATACATTTAACATAACTCAGATGTTTTGTACAAATTCTAATTGAATTTCGTAAACAACTAACAGATTACTTAACGACTCCATATCTGGAATGCAAAACATGTTTATTGAATTCGTAAACCTACATATAATTAGCAGGACAAATGATAAACAAACACTTTTATAAGGGATTATCTTCGAGGAATTACGACTTTACATCAGTGGTACTTAAAAAATAAATCACTTCAAATAACAGCTGTCTCATAGTGTCTAAAGTATGTACTATGTTAAGAAAAAAATACACATTTTTGAAATAAAACCGGCGAGAATGGTTTAAAACGCGAAAACGATTATCTATGACTTTGACATTGGGAAAGCATCCAAAGCGACGTAGAATAACTAATAAATTTCACGTTTTAACCCTTTAAGTATTTTATTTAAACGTTATAATCTGTCTAAACTTAAATATTTACCTAAGGCAACGGAATCGTTTTATGTAACATATTAAAAAATATAGGTTTTATTGAAAATTAAATTCGCACTAAATTTGTTCTATGGTAACACGTGATTAGTGTTGTTAAAAATTAATGGCAAATATGAATTAATTAAATAAGAGTACAAAGTAATGTCATAAATATACCTATAGTGTCTGAAAAACTAATATCGGTAAGGAGTTTTCTTTATCTCTACGATAGGCCTTTTGTTCTATACTATACGCATACTTTATTAAGTAGCAAAATGTAGTGTAACAACAATAACGAGAACAAAACAACGCAATCAGTCGCAATAAACAGAATGTCACGCGCCGGTCCCGTTAGTCCCTTCGCAGGCAACCCTTTCGAGGGGCTCAACCCCGCCTAAGCCCCGCCCTCTCGCATACAAAAAGCGCCGGAGCATCCCCCGACGCATTAGTCAATTATAGATTTTCAACACGACACCACGATGGCCCTCTGGACACCCTACGCCGAGGAGACCGCGCTAGACCTCACCACCAAGTACAAAAGTGATTACGTGTATTATTCGCCCTACAACTACCAAACCTTTGTGCCAGTGCCCGAGACGTCTCCGTCCAGCTGTTCCAGCTTCGCCCCGCCGAGCCCTCAACCGCGCACCGGAATGATATCGCCCCCAGACTCCCCCTCGTCGGCGCCCGAGAGGAAACGGCCTGCCTTCATGATGGACGTGGACTCGCTCTCGGACGATCCCGACTTCCAGGCCTTCGAGCGCGACGCGCTGAGGGCCATGGCCGAGAAGAACGGCGGAACCCTCTTGGGAAACAACCCAAGAATGCGTCGCGCCGTACAAACCACCCAGGCCGCAGACGACTCGTACAGAAAGCAACGCGAAAGGAATAACTTTGCAGCGAAGCAGAGCAGGGACCGGAGGAAGCTGAGGGAGATCCATCTAGCGCTTAAGGTCACCTACCTGAAGAATGAAGTTGCCAAATTGAAAAGTCAACTGGCCTTGAAGAGCTGCAGTCGGTGCCAGAAGCCCTGCGTCTGCTAGATTCGAATAGCTTTAGCTTAGGTTAAAATGCGTGCAATCTCATTTGTAAGATTTATTTATTTTGAAACTAGAATTAAGCGACTGTATATACTTTATTATAGTGATATTCTTGTAAAAACATTTTTTATTCACTATCATTCTTCCTCCCTAATATAAGAAAAATATCACCCCGCAAAAATACTACCTACTCGTATTTCGCAGTCGAAAAAGTAAAATATAATTATTAAAGAATAAATATAATGAAATAAATAAAAAACCCATCACATCCATGTTATTAATTATTTGCAAAGAAAAATTATTAATAATAAAAACTCTTTATTGCACAAACATAGACTTAAGAACATGGATACTTAGAATTACTTTCGTAGGTAATAAGTATATTTACAATACATTCTCATGTAGGCTATGAAACATTGATTTATTTATTTTAACTTTGAGCTTTTATAGAAATAGACCTAAAGGATAGTGCCTATATATTTATTTTCGTATTTGTAACAGGAGAATCGGAGATTAGTCGAGAAATAACACACAGATTATTATCTCTTCTAATACTTATTAGCTGCTTAACTTAATTCTAAATTTAAGTCTAACAACAATAAAGTTATTAAACCATAAAACATTGGTTCTTCTAGGCAAGTAATGAACGGGAGCAATAAAAGCTTCAAGTCCACGAGAAGAAAAAAGGGCGATTATCTTTTGCGACGCTAATCCTACGGTGACGCAACAATAGTGCGGAGCCTTCGCGGCGGTAGATAGGGGACTCTTCGAGTTAAGTCTAGCAGAAACTAAACCTATTACTTATGATTAGTCAACGCGGTTCCTAGTTCTTGTATCAGGACTACGGTCTCGTCGTGGCGACCACCCATGACAATACGAGAGTTTTTTCAGAAAATAAACGCGAGGAAGTTTTTTTTAAGAGACTACATGATACATCCACTTATATTATAAATGCTTTCCTAAGATTATTTTACTTTTTAACTTTAGAATTTTTAAAGCCTAGGTTATAGATAAATCATTAAATCGAACTTTATCTTTAAGTCTTGTAAACTTCCCATTAGCCTTTGAATAAAAAAGTTGATAATCAAAAAAAGTAAATTTTCACAATTTCGTGTGGGCGTTTCTACAATTATTACAAGCGTTCTCTTTTATATAACTTCTATTGTATATCGGAGTATCTACCAGCATTTTAAAGTGTGTGTAGGTATAAACGACCCTCAATGTTTGCACAATGACTGGGCGCGGCTTGCGCAAGCGTCGTATTTCCGTCAGCCAATCAGGTTAGAGGTCAATAAATACCCGTTCGTTGACAATGGTCTCGTACACAGATTTTTTGTTTTTAATCCTTTTGTCCCTAACTGTACTCGGCAAATATCAAGAAAACGTGCAACCAAATCCCTTTTTTATTATTAATAAAAATAAAATATGGTAGATAATTTGTGTCTACCATTAACGTTAATAGGTGTTAGAAATAAAAATCAATGTACTTAGTCTAGATTTAATTAATAATTATCTACAGAACCCTACATATAATAATGAGTGAATCACACTTTTTGTTTGATGACATGAGCTAAATCATACTTTCCTCGGACGCACTTCAGTTTCACCCCGGGGCAGTCTTTGACCCTGAAAGTAGAGCGATTAGTCACAATCGTAATGAGAGACGAAAGGTAGGCACCGGCAATAGTTACCTTCCGACTCTCACGAGGACGATGTTGTGTTCCTGCAGGTTATGTCCGATGCCGGGCACATACGAGACCATCTCTTTTCCATTCGACAGCCTCACCAGCACGCACTTGCGGTTGGCGGAGTTCGGCTTTTTGGGTTTCTTGATTAAAGTCTTCAGAACAACGCCCTGTTAAAGAGAATATTCACAAATCAATAGACAATACACAAGATAACGTCGACCTATTTTGGCTTTAAATATTAAAAAAAATCTGTTACTACAATGAACCGTTCGAGATCAAGAGCTGCTCTAATTGTTTTCTTTCGTAAAATATATTCGTATATTATAAAATAGTAAGTATACCTTAGCGAAGGGATTTCCATTGAGTGGATTCCTCGACTTCCGAACTTTCTTGTGTGGCCCGTTTCTGTGCATCTGCTGCAGCGACGAAGCGGCCCTCGCGATCAGACCTTGGTTCTGAGCAAGTGCTGGAAACATACTCGTTGGCGTGGGGCCTAAAATAGAAATGTAACATGTAACAAATAAATAATTATTTGCTTTCATTTCTGCCTATAGTTAGTCGATAAGATGTTTTGCATTAAATTCACGCGTTAGATTAGTACCTACGAGGCCACAAACTACCGTTACAGACATATCTTGCAAAGCAGGTGCTAAAATAAACGCCATTTCACGGATTATCCCGAGTCTCTTGTATTCGATTCAGGCGGATATATGATTAGTTACCTTGGCATAAAGTCGAAAACGCTCTAAACCCGCCACCTACAGTTATTGTATTGTCAGTTGTATCGAAGGCGTTCTGCCAATTGTGTCAATTGTAGACGGATTAGAGTTTAAATGAAAGGGTTTTATCCTCGACACAAAAGTGGACAATTTCCAGGCAGCAAAATGTGCCTTTTGGTACATTGAATATTATCTCTACACAAAAATTAATACAAGGAAAATATATACACTCGATTTTAGGTTTGAATATTGACATTATTAAGCAACTTTTTAAGTTCAAAGCTTTAATTCGAAGAATTTGAGAACTTAGAGCAACAGCATGGAACACTGAGGTTGTCGGTGCCCGTGTCATATTTTATATTATCTATAATCGATTTTTAATTTATACAGTGTCTAATAAAAATATTAATGTTTCAGTCTGTATTATTGTTTTTGCGTTATAAAACCAGTGGTCTAAATAATTGTGTTGGGAGGGGAAGGCTCGAGTTCTACTTTTAGTAGACTAAGCACGTTCGTTTTAGTATTCTCTTTAATGCTTATAATATTGTACTCGAAAATACTGTTATTCGCGCCATCCAAACTGCCAAATATGTCAATGCGATAGCGGTAGTGTGGGACCGTGTCAGATTACCCACCGAATGTGATCGACGAGGTGCAAAGGTGGTGGAGCACCTTGTTCAAGACATTGTTGTGAGGCAAATATTACAGCTTAATCCTAAAATTTTAGTGGAAAAATCTTATACTTATGTTAATTTTACAAAATTCACCTGTCTTTATCCTATCTTATTATGATTGTTATTGTAATATAAACCCACTTTTGTTATTTGAGTGAAATTAACCAAAGTAAAGAGCTACTCCGGACTTCGTAGCAGACGCAGAGATATCTACGACCGCGAGAAACATAAAAACATTGGATCTACGGCGTAGCAACGATACGAATTTTTACAACTTAAGTTTTAGACTTTATCACACTCAAGTATTTCTATGGTTTAAAGTATAACTAAACATTTTTATTAATAAACTATATCGATCCTATTACGATCAAATCGTCATCATCATCGCCATCGTTACATTCTTTCGCTTTTGCGATATTCTTTGCAGTGCTAAAATAATTGTAATATATAGAAACATAAAAGTTTGTATTGTTTTGGATGTTGATTATCTGGCTCCTAGCGGATATGCCATTTCATGAGATTTTAATGTTCTTTTAATTATCCTATTCTGAATGCGTCTTACTCGATGGAAGCTAAAATACACAGCTTCAGCTTATCATTCGTCTCGAGCACGTTTCGAGAATCGTGTTTGAGCAACATCTAAAACAACAAACGACAGTGGTTCAGTGGTGAGCGGTGGGACGGCGCACCAGTGTCCGGTCACGTCACAATGTTATTGTTTGCGATAATCTCCGCTGTCCTCTGGGATTGACAACTTTGCATCTGCCTAGCGCAAATATTTTAGCGTGGCGCAATCGACGAGCTTTCGCGAATTTGTTCCACGGGCGTCGGTCACTTTATTTAATTTAAACATTAATTTGTGGTGTAAACAACAGGGATTTTTTATGTTTTTTATTGTATTAATTAAATTTGAGGAACGATTTAGAAATTTCCGTACGAAGACCTGAAGGGAGCTAAACGCTTCAGCTTATAAATAACACCGCTCGCCGCTAGTACCTGCTCTTTTTGCGGATTATAATCCGTTAATAGTGGGCATTGTCCACAGATGACGGACACAGTTTTGAAATTATCTTCTGTCACACTTAGGGCTGTCTATATTTATATATTTGGCCTTCAAACGGTTTTAATGTCTGTTTTGTATTATTTAACTAGCGATGTCTCACAGCTCACTGCTGTGTGTGATATTTGTGGCTTTTGAAATTCACGAGTAAATATATGATATAATGCCATATTCACATTAAGTTTGTTTACATTAAACCGCGATTACTTAATATTTTAAGACCTTGTCGTAATTATTCAAATAAAAGTTAATTTTTTATAGCACATTTAGAATCGTTCACACTATATGGAACTCAAGTAAATATAGACAACGAGAGCGATCGCCAACCCTAGTCTCGGCCAGCATGACTCTTACTTCGGTCGCACAAAAGCCACGCGAATAAAAAATAATAAGCAAGAGTTGAGACGGGAGCATTGTGTCTTCCCAGAACGCTGTAAATCATATTTGTAGAAGTAAATAGCTCTAGAGACGGCTCTATCAGATAATGGCAGATCTTTTTCGCAATTGTCAGCGAAAAAAACAGCTCATTCACCGGGGCAGCGCTTAATCCCCGACTGGACGGGACTTTCCGGGAAAGAGTCGAAGCAAAGGATTGGACTGAATATGCACAATGGTCGAATGTGGTCGTATTCACGATTATAATTTAAATCGATTGCTATTTATGCAAGTGCGAATATCGTTTGCGATATACGCACTTGGTCTAGGTCTCGCTTGACCAAAAGGCGATCATGTCGTGAGGAATTTGTAATGTAACTCAGAGTGAATTGTATTAAGTACCTCTTGCATACTCCTAAACTTGTAACAATCTACCTTTCGATTCCTTATATATGAGTTATCTAATATACCTATATCGAGTTTAAACTGATAATTACTATACATTGATAATAATATTCTATTTTATTTTTAATGATCACATTGAAACAATAGGAGTAAAACTCCAGAAGTCAGTTCGGTTATAACTAATTATTGCGCGTAGATCTAGACTAAAAGGAGATCAAATCTTCACAGTAGGACGAGTTGTGTGTGAAGACCGTGTATGCCATTTACCGTACGTAAGCTACTAGCGCTCTAGCCGTGCTTCCTTATAGCCATCACAAAGGACACATGAGAAAGTTTGATGCGCGATTGTCCCACGCCTTCAACGCGGGGCACACAAACAACTCTTCGCCTCGATGCCGTTCTCTGTGTGTTCTGCACCCACTTTACAGTTACAAACAGTGGCGTGTGTGGCTGTTATTTTACCTTTAGCAAATTGCCATTTCCAAATATTCACTATTAATACGCTATTCATACAGAGTATCCTCTTTGTAGATGTCGGTTTTCACAGAATACTAAATTCAATATTTCCGCGGGTAAGTATTAACGTTTCATAAAAAACCGTTTCTTTTTCGAAAAAAATAACTTTAACGCTTTTAGATATTTAAATAAAACACTTTTATGGGTTTAGCATTCGAAATTTTAGCTTTAGTTAAAATAAAAATACTTTTTTACGTAATTGAATGTTCACTACTCAGGTGAATTGTTTTTTTCGATTCTTATCTTTTAATTTAATTAATTTTTGTTTATAGTTATATGCGCTATTTCTCTCAATTCGGCTGCGAGAGGCAATATTGTGTTACTCGGCTAGGTGTAGAAGTAGAGTGAGTATCGCTTTCAATTACGGGGAAGTTGGTCCTCGCAAGGAATTGCTTTGTACCATTCGGAGGTGCTTTGAGCGTGGTCGTAGCCTCGAAGCTCAAATCACTTTTACGCGCAGGGCTCGCGCACTTCGCTCCGTTTTTACTTTTAGATTGAAATAATTTTTACGACGCGGGCAGGACTTGAAGCGGCGTCCACTGCGTTCCGTACTGTTGCTCTAACCAATTTATTCCATGTATGTTTATTCATTGAAAATCATTTGTGTTATGTGAAGTTCGTTTCTATAGCAAATCTGAATATCAATTCTTTATAAACTCAAGTATAAAATTGCAAAGGAAACGCCTCTGCGGAATGGCACAATATGTAGAGCGCTAGGTGTGAATGGCGATGAGATTACGCTGGACATTGCGGTCACTTGCTGACTCATGCCTCCCTTGTGACATTTGCAACCCTTATTTATCGGTACCGATGGCAAAAGTACTTTAGCCTATTCTAAAAGAAGGAAATGATAAAGTGGACGCGTTCGACTGTCAAAGGTAGCTATTATAGGTATAACTCTTTTAAGTTAGTCTCGGTCACACGAAGCGGTGGGTTTATTTAACGATTTTCAAATATAATAATGTGTAGTTATGATGGTCAAATTTGTATTTAACGGGTTTCTACTTGCGTTTCCTTTTTTTCTAAATCAGTAAAGTAAAAATCACAAAATTTGCTATATGATCTATCTATTCCTATTGTGTTCTAATTAAATCTTGATTTAGTTTTTTTTTGCTGACTGTACGCACAAGTTTGGTCATAAGCCCGGTCCACGCGGAAGGGTTTTCTAAAGACAGGCGCGACTGAAATCCCCGAAAATATGTTTGATTTGGGAATATGGACTCTGTTGTGAGGAAATCTATGAACAAATTATGTGGTGTGGGACAGCTGCGCTTGAGTCAGATGTCGACAATAGTTCTATATATCATTTCTATTCTTAAACATTTATTTTATCACACTCACTAGCGTGAATGTAATTTGGAAGATTTCATTGATTATCAAATTTGTTAAGGAGAGGTATATAAAGTGAACATACAAACTGAAAATCCAAAAGTATCGTAATAAGTAGAGGGCATATTTAAAGGAAAGAAATTATGATTTACGATCAAAAAAATGTTTTTTTTCCCTAATCTCTATTTAATCTTATCACAGATTACTCATTTATTTTATTCCGTTTCGGAGACACCGTTAGAAGACCGTGTGATCGGTCCTCATTGTCTGTTGACCATTTCACCCATTCCTGTTTTGCACCTTAGCGGTGGAAACTAGACTTAGTTAATTAATGCATGGATGTAAGCTTAAAAGTAGCTACAAAATGGTTCCTTAGACCTAGGAATAAATAACTTCTTTTTGCTTTTCTTTATATTTGATCTTTTACCCTTTAAAGATTATAAATGGTATAGCCATATCATAAGTTTCAAATATCATTATCACAAACAGTTATCAAGTATACTTTAATAAAATTTCACACAGGATATGCAAATAATTATGGTTTACTAGCATAATTCTAACAACACTACTACTGTCTTAGGTATTTTCATACAAGGGAAGTTTTCGTACCTACAGTTAAATTTTAATATATTTTCCTATATCGTAATGTCCAGTTTCAAGATACCAAATTAATCTGCATTTCACATTTATAAAACAGAGGTCATGGAATACAGATTATAATCTATTTGTATTTAAAAGTAACCCGTTTAGTATTTAGTCATAATTATTTTAATAATTTCCAAGTTCATATAAGAACTATGTAAAGTATTTTACTTGAACTGTAATAGGAATTACAAACTTACAGTTACGAAGATAAGGTGTTATTTGTGTTCTGACTCCAAGAGATAAAAGAGATATGCCTTTTCTTAGTAGATTCATCTGAAATAAACAAACAGAGAGGTTACGTTCTTTCGAACAAAAATATGAAAACTATAGAGATATTATGTCCAAATGTTTTTGTACATTTTGTTTAGACGATCTGTTCACAATTATTTGTTTATTTTTACCTTTATGTAGATTATACGTATAATTTAGCCAATATGAAATTTAATTAAATTGGGATTTCTAATTCAAAATATAACCTAATATTTTAAGTTGACATTGACAATTTACAAATGTTAGTATCGTTACATTACGTTTGACTTTTAATTATAGTATTGCCAGTATATATGACTTACGCTACTCACCGCTAGGTGGCGCTTATAATAATAGCGGCAACGAAACATGTTTTGCTGCTTAAAAAAAACAAGCAAATTAATGAAATGGGGAGGTGGCATTTGTTATTGAAATAATATATATTATAATATTTGACATTCTTAAACCGATTTATCTTATTTGTTAAGTCGACAGTCTTGCAAAACCTCAAAACTCTTCTGTGACAAAAACTTCTCCGCATTAAAAAGAATTAAAAAGTTGAGACCAAATCTGTTAAAGTTTTATTGGCTGGTTTCGGTCCGTTTTACCATTTTTATGGGAGTTTAGCATAATTTGTAACTGAGTTGGCGAATTAAATCTTTTACTTCTTATTATTAGCTCAGCCAGAGTTCGTTCCGTTTTATTCACTTGTTAGGTGATAGCCCGCCTTTATTTTGTTTTCAATTGAGGGAAAAGTTGCTTTTTTAAATAAACAACAAACGTTAAGTTAGTTTTTATTCTTCAGATCAATTTGACAGATGTAAGGTTGTCTCTTGTGACACCAGTAGTCGCGCAGGCCCGGGTTGGCGGCGTCTATTGCAGCACAGTGTGGTTCTTCGGGCGCATCACTGCTCAAACAAAATAACAAAAGAGTCTCACAATCAAGGTTTCAATTATAGAAATTCAGGTTTTAGTAAAAAAATGTAAAGTTCTGTACTTTTTCAAATTAAATTTTACGCTGCTTTAAAACCATTATCCTCTTTATTGCGCAGGATTAGAGTGGTTCTAGGTGTAAAGTTGCATTACTTTAAATACTATATATAACATTAATTACTAGCGTTAAAATTTGTGAACATGATAGTGTTAATCGATAGGGGCATAGGTTAGAACTTTTGCCACTCGAGCCCAGCGCTTTGAGCCTACTTTTGAATAGTAATAACAATTGGTATTCAATTGTTATTACTATTCAGAAGATGCAAATGCAAACGAACAACTTCACTTTAAGGCAAAATACTTTAGCTCTCGCAATTTATTTTTATAACTCGTAACTACTTTGTTATTCAGAACTAAGTCCCGCTCTACGAAATGGCGAACAAACTTGAGTTGTGACTTCCAAAGTCATACAGTATTGCGATACAAGTCAAACACTCCGGAGCGGCGTGTCGCGAAACACATTTTTATTACGAACTTTATCCTGGGATAAGAGCCCGGGTTACAATATTGTCCCTCATCTACTGGGACTTCTTTCATTTTCTTTCATTAGTATTGGCATGTGTGGGTGTACTATATTTACCTGTAGCCTTGACCGTTGTTTCCCGCCCAAGTGTAGAAGCCTGTATCTTTAATGTCTTCACCTGAAATAAATTCTTCAAATTAGAAAAAAAATTTACGTTCTGCACGCCAATTTGTTCAAATTGTTTTTCCTCGTGACTTCATGAATTCGTAATGGGTCTAGAATATTTACGTAGGCCCAAACTAGATATTTAATGAATTCCTTCATAACATACATTGAATTTTCAAAGCTCAGCTGATAAAGTAAATATTGTTGAGTCAAATAGTTTTGTGCGGGTAATTTCTGTACCTTAAAAATAGCATAGCATTGAATCGGCATTAATTACTCGTATTATTGGAGTTAATTAAGCGGCGTTAAATGTGAACTGAGTGAAGCGTGAAAAATAAATCAAATTACTATATTTAATGTAAGCTTCATTTCAATTGGCACATGACATCTGCAACGCGGTGTTTTCTATTACGTTCGTACTGCACTCTATTTTTGTATAATTACATACTAGCACCACCGCTTTGCTTCAATCCTAGTGTTTATTTATCTTTATTGCTTATTGCCAAAAATTTAATAAAATTTAACTACGAGGCTCAACAGATGTCGCCTTAAGCCACGAAAGAGGCTTCACTCTGGAGAATGAGCTATACCTACATTTGCTAAGTCTTTTCAGTGTTTAGATAAGACAATAGTTTTACACTACATACGCTTTCCTCCTCAAAAAGAGTCGGCTTCGTTAAATATAATATAATACCATAAATATTTTTCCAAACAGTGTAATCCTGTAGGTTGTTGATGCCGAGCCACACCACCAGTTTGTTGTCTGTACCGGAAATACTGGGATAGTACATGCCACGCACCAACTTTTGGATAAACTTGAATTCCTCCTGAAAGGTATATATTATAGTTTCTTCTCATACAGAAAATAAGCCTTTATCGACAGTCCGTCCAGACAGTGAGACAGACAGACAGACAGACTGGTCCGTCTGTCTCTACATAGACCCACCTCCGATCTAGGTACCGCCAAGTGTGCCCCGAGTTCCTTGCAGGCGTCTCTAGCAATGGGCCAGGTCTCGGATTGGTACATTATCTTGTACGCTTTGTATGTGGCCTTGTTCTGGACAAACCCTGCGGAAATATTCAATTAACCCTTAAAATTACATTTGTGGAGATATCTGGCTCAATTAAACTTCCTGGTACTTTATTAGTTTCTGGTTCGCTTTGTTACGGTTCCTAATTAATTCTGAACCCAAGTCTACACAATATTTAAAGCAGACATGCAAAGCCAACATTTTCAATCATTTAAAAAGGTTGCGTAAGAACGAAAGTGCAAAAGGGCCAGGTTTGAATCTTGGGATAGTTTTAAGTTGCTTCTACAAATTATTTTGGCACAAAAGTACGTAAATATCCACTTTATGCATGTTAGTAAATCAGATTCGATAAAGGCGTTTCTCATACCGGTGGTACTTAAAGTACGGGGTTCGAATTCCATCTGTATTTCTCATATTATTGATTATTTTGTAAAACGTCTTATTTATTAACGTACCATTAGGTAATCCACAGAGAACAGTTCCCAAGAAAACAGAAAATATAGGTAATGCCCTGAAAATATTTTAAAATTAATAGCCTGACCAATGTAGTAATGTAAACTTACGTCATAAATATCCAGCTGATATTTAATGCATATTATATCGTGATTTGAATTATTTCTAGTGTCATTATTCATTTCAATTAATGATTCTTAGTGGAGTTACGACACAAAACTTATCACTAAGTCGTATGTTACAGTATGTTGTATTTAAATAAAGCACTTACGGTTTAAAATGCGATCTATTAGTTAAACTTATTTGAAAACGATTTTTTAAATTCGCCCGACGTTTCGGATGCTTTGCAGCAGCCGTTTGCAGTTGCCACGGTTAAAGTGTTTTATTTAAATGTGTACTACTCGCATAAACTATAGACAACATATGTAATGAAATATATAACAAGTTTATTACGATACAAATAATTATGAAAAATTACGTACTCCAAATCAAAATTGGTTTTAAATGGTATTCAAATTAATTACGGTAACATAAAAACAGGCTTCTAAATATCTTCAACGTTTTAAAACCCTTAAACCATTCTTATCTAGTAACTTATGCGATCACAAAAAAAGAAAACAAAAGTAAAAAACAATATGATTTGCGCGTGTTTCTAAAGAAAACATTCTACTTGTTTTTTTTGGCATTACATAAATTTCTCACCTCATTTTGATGGTTAGTTTAACCACGTATCACCACAACCACCACCACCTAATAAAACAGAAAAACTAATTGAAACATAAACACGAACGTCTCGTATCGCAACTTTCCCTCCTCTAAATGAGCTCGATTGCAATGAAACTTGTCTACTTTGTGTTTTAAGAGATGTGCGGGTCACTGTGCTGGATTGACCTTGTCTCATTGCGATAATGGGTGTCAAATAACAGCCCGCATTGTACGGGCTCACCCAACATATGAACGAATACGAATAAATAGCCAATAATCCATAACATACAATGGTAACGCGTGAAATACTATAGGACCTACTTTCTGCCTTTAACGATTATATATCATAGCGTGAAATATTTCAAAAAGATAAACAAACACTGAATTCAAAAACAAAGTTACCTATCTTCAAGAGATGAGATAGATAAACAAACGAAATCCTTACCGTAGGTTTTTTTACGCTTATGTTCGCGTTGATCTTGCCTTTTCATGTATAGTGAAAAAACGCGTTCTATCGCAAAATAAGAAAGCGTGTATTTAAACAACGCGTTCGATGCCCGGTCTTCGTGTCTGGTAACGTAATCTTCAGTGCCTCGTTTAATCACCCTTATATCAGATCCCACCTGTTTAGTTCCTAATGTAGGTCCCACAGTTAAGACCGCGTTAAGACTCCAGTTAGCGTGCAGAGCTTAACTGGCTTTGTCACTCGCAAACTATGATAACTTTGTTACTGAGTGAAGCTTAGCTGAGCAGGAATTCGACATTGTAACTCAATGTTTGGAAGGTGGAAGGGGGCATCAATATAATCTATTAGCGTTAAGCACATTAGTCGCTAAAGATATTTGTTTTAATCTCACTCGTAGTCGAAAATAATTTTAATTATACCAAACAATAATAGGTTTAAATAGGATGGATTGAACGCGTACAAATTTTACCTATTTTCTGGAAGTTCCTGTATAAAAGTAGGTACACCTACACTACGGTACGGTACGGTCGCAATATACATATCATATTTATGTTTACAGTTTAATTTGATAATACTAGCGTTTATCAACATTTCACTAAAAAGCGATTGACAATATGTAAACAATGTATATGTCGGATAACCTTTAACCGAGATGATGTGATCGTCTGAGAGCAATATTAATCGCTTACCTCGCGCGACTTCTGCGTCTCTACGTAAACAAAACGAATTAAATTTCGTTGCGTGCGTTGCTCTCGGGCCCAAACAATGAATTGGTGCCTGCATACAGTTATGAACCGGAGAAATAACGGTGAAACCGAGTTGCCATGTTCGTGTCTACGCGATGACAAATATTAAATGCTTCGCATAAAGTAATAAGTATTTTGATTGTAGTGAAATAGTCCAGTCGTAAATAATCTAAATATGCGCCCAATCTATGTGTCGCCATCTGGTAATTTTGGTTTTGGATATTTAGAAAACTTTAAAACGAGGGTGTCCCTTTTTTGAATTGCTGAAAAATGACTGATACTTGTGAAAAAAAATTGAAAAAAATTCGACTCGCGCAGGACTTGAACCGGCATCGTCAGGAGAGCAATAGCACGGCACGCTGACGATGCCGGTTCAAGTCCTGCCCGAGTCGAATGTTTTATCAATTTATATTCGATTTTTAAATTATATAGTGCTTTCATGTGCAATAACATGTAAGAAATAATAAAGTTTTCAAGCATAATCTTTATATTACAAAAACGTTTATTGTCAAGTGAAAATAATAAATAAACTACTACCGAGTGCAGTGAAAAGAATTGTAAAATTGTACAAAGACAAAGTCAAGCGGCAGGTTTGAGTCTCGTCCTCGTCTAAGACAACCGATTAATTTTTGGTAATTCATGTGATAATCGCGACTATCCAAAACTATAATGAAATCCATGACCAGCGCCATGTCCGCCGAATCTCCAGCCGACCCCGTACCCCCCTATGGGGTTTCTGAACCTGTCGTCGTTCCTGTATTGGTGCATCGCGGCGTCCTCGACTCGCTGGACCGGTAGGACAGATAACCGGTCGACAGGCACGAGTTCGTGAATCGGCACCAGATTGTGAACTGGGACCAAGATTTGCGCGTGTCGGGTGACGTTGTGATGCTCGTGCCAAGGACTTCCGTGTATCGGTATAACGTGGAGCGGCACCAAAATTTGGTGGTAGCTAGGGAACGGATAATTTGGGGACTTTTTCTGTCGTCTCTCCTTTATTGTGTCCGTGGACGACGGGGCCGGTGCCACTTGGGGCGCGCAAGCGATGATGATTAGAGTTGAAATGCTCAAATGCATCTGAAATAAACATATAGTATTAAGAAGTGTGAACTATTTTATATTTAACATGCCACTGCAGACTTAGTGATCGATGCTAGTTATTATTGAAATAAAGAAAAATCGTTCACTAATTATATTATGTTACGATCTTTTTCTAGATTATTTGATTGTTCATTAAAATGTAATAACAGCTATTGGATGAATATTAGAAAACTTGAAATATTTACTATTTCTGAGTAAACTGACGGGCTCGTCGAAGTACTGGTAGCAATCTATGGCTGACAATGAACGGGTAGGGGGTTCGATCTCCGCTGGGCCCTCGTCTTTCTCATCAATTCATATTTTTTCTGAATATCAAATTAAAATATCAAAATTTAGTCCGGGTAAACCGCGGCCCACAGATAAAGAAAGCCGTGAAGTGTAATCGCGTTACGATTTTAGGCTGTGGATTTCCGAATATCCAAGGCCAAAATGATAAGACAGCACATCTTGTGGAAATGTATAGGGCTGGGGTATGACCCCAATGGTCGGTCCTTTCTTCTCATAAATAAATAATTTAAAAGGCAAGCGTTTACATCTAACGATCAAAGCGTATCCTCATCATCAGTCGTCACTGAACTATGTCGGGCGCCACTGAGCGAAAAGGTACATCCCTTGAAAGAATTTACTCTCGACCGACTCATGCGGTAAGTCAATGGAAGTGAACATTTGACGAGCAAATTGTTCTCAAGTCGAAGCAATAACGCGGGCAAAGGAATGCTTATTGAGTCCCGGCGAGACGGCTGTCACGCGTGGGGTGACACGTTGTCACGTCAGATCGAAGTGAATAATCGTCGCGGTTCAAATTATATTTGTTTAGGCCAGAATAGGCTTCGTCGCTCATTTTATACGAGCTGATCCTGATTTAAACTAAAATGGTCTTATGTAATTTAGAAAAAGAAAATAAATTGAAAAAATTTTCGACTCAGGCAGGACTTGAACCGGCATCGTCAGCTTTCCGTCCTGTTGCTCTACCAATTGAGCTACCGAGTCCGAGCAATTTTTTTCAATTTATTTTCGATTTTTAAATTATATAGTGCCTTCATGTACAATAACATCTGAAAAATATTAATGTTTTTGAATTTAAAATGGTCTTCATGGCGCACGTAACGGAGACCCTCAAAGATTAATAATTCTCCCCATTTTACTACATTTCCAAAGTGTAACTTTTTTAATTTCAATACCTCTTTACTTTCATATTGGCTTAACATTATCCAAAGTCATTGTCACCGAAAGTTTTGGCCTATATCTCTCAAGGTTCCACGATTGAGCATAGTGTACGATCGGGTCTAAGAAGTGCGCAATCGTATATAATTAATTATATCAGCTATCAGGTTAGGACAGAAAAACAACATTTTGTCTTTTGTTTTATATTAAACTTGCCTTTATGTTGTCAGCTTCTCTTGATATAACTTAATATACATATAATATATAATTTTATTTACAACGCACAAAACACATTTTAAATAATTTTCAAAAATCAATTCCAGTTCTGTAAGCAATTGTCGCGCCAATACTACTAATATAATTTTGTGTTTAGTTTATATATATTTTTTGGCTAAGCTCTGTGCAAGGTGATCATATTATACGCGTTGGCCACGAAATGGGCGTATTAAAAAATATCGATTGCAAAAAGATAAGTTTTACATGTTGCTCTTATTACATGAAATCTTCAGTCAACTCACATTTTAGGTAGATCGCTTCGTTGGTATTTATGATAGCTGTTTCCGAACACTTGAATCGATAATTACAACAAACCATATTAATCGTATTCACAGCGATATTTGTCACGGCTAAAATTTTCTGCTAAAATTCGGAATTCAAGCTTCATCACCATTAATCATACTTCACTCAACGAAATAGTGAATCTGTAGGAATCGTTTAATGGCTCCATGGGAATGTATTCACCGGTGACAATAATTAATTTCATCGTGTTTTTATCAAAAATCTCTTAGGATTCGGTGTAAATGCATTATTATAGGTGACAGATAAAAATGTTTCGTCTAAATCACCGTTAATGAGTAGGCGCAGATTGTGGGCGAAAAGGAATTGTGGTATCTGACTCCAATTGATATACATATATAATATTAAGAATCACAACAGTCTAAATGAGACTTTTCTCTCGTGATCCAATAGTACATCACAATAATGGCAGTTTTTGACGTGGTCGTCGGTGTAAAATGCATGGCTGACGTAAAGTAATTCGATCCCCACCGGGTTCAACCTCTTACTTATCAATTCTTCTAAATAATTTTTCTGAACCATGTGGTTGATAGAATTAACGATATTTCGTCTGGATCATGGACCACTGTCCGAGGTCCGTGATGTATAATCGCGTTTCGGTTTTTGCCTGTGGATTTCCGAATATCCAAAATCAAAATAGGTCAAACACTCATCTTCTAGATATGATTTGGCTGAATATTTCACTTTCCATCGAGTGAACCCAACACTTGTCTGTCTACTTCAATCAAAGTCAAAAATAACAAAACAAAAAATACTCATAACAATATCTCAACAAGTTATTGTTAGGAAAAGGCTTTTTTTTCGAAAATTATTTATGTTTGTAGGACATTTGATTAAAGAAATATTAATAATTTGGTTGTGATTTATTAAATTGCTTAGAAACAAAGAATCTTATCAGCGAGGATATGACAGGCACAATGTCAACGGTAGAGCTGAGGCGAGGAAAGGAAAGGCTTCGCCCGCGACCCCTGGGTCACCTCATTTGCATGAAGGTTCGCTATGGGACGGTGAATTATTAAACAGCTGTGCTTTACCGTTCTCTAAAACATTTTTATACTTTCAAACAGTTTCGCCCTCTTGGGTCAGTGGACGCATGACTGGCATGGCGTCTGACTTGGCATCAGTTACGTATTTAGGAAATGTATTAAATATAATTAGGTAGTCACTTGAGATATTGGCGTCTATTTTTAAAGTAGTTTCATCGCTATCTACGAAAATTTTGGTTATTCATTTTAACTGTGTTTGTCGCTGTAGTGCAATTTTGGCATAAAACGTTTGGCAGCACGTAGAATAATATTTATATCTTTAATTTGTTATGAATGAATAAATGGAACACATTCAACAATCGGTATGACTACACGCTGTAAGACTCAGGAGCTCGGAATTAGTTCGCAAATGATATCGTAAAAGATCCATCGTGCCGAGGGTCCTCTACAATTAGCATCAAAATTATATTTTCATCCTCGCGTTCTTGTGCTTCCTTTAAGGCGAAGACAACTTTACCTTTACACTTTACAGTTACTAGCTCAATGTCGTGTTAAACTTTTTCCCTAATCAAAGTGTAATTATTGTATCGAATCGACAACAGTAACAGTCAAAGGCCTTAAATATTCATGACACAGTTCAGTTTCTCGAACACTCTCAAATTAGTAGTAAAAAGAAGTCTAGTAGTATAATAAAATCATTTTCATATGATTTTCCGCACCTATATTCTGTACAAAGGAGTTAGCTCCAGTTTTTATCGTATGTTACTAGTTCAAGAACGTGCCAGTGTAAAGGAGGCATTAGTTAACCCTAATAAAAAGGGCTACGAGGACTCTTGTTGTGCCTTTCATCCCGGAAGGGTGTTAAATTTATTTGAAAAAGGTTCAACAACCATTACCCTAGGAAGAAAACGTTTATAAGCATGGTCAAATTAAACGCAGTAGTAACTTAATTTAATTTATTTACACATTAATACAAACGCACTACGGATTCTTAATTATAATCAAACGCCAATAACTGACAATAAATACTGATTCAGATAAACGAAACTTGAACTGCGGCTGTTATTCTGGATTCCAGGTTATACAAATCATTATTATAACGGAAAAAAAACCAATGTGTGCAATATGCCCTCATCTGTCATCTTTCTATTATTTGTTTATGTTTAATAAAATATTTTTGGCATTTCATCGAAGCAATATCTCGCAAATGACTTTGCTAATCTACTGCTGGCCGAAGATCGAATGTGCATATTTCCCAAAATACTGCACCGGGGGGAAGGTAGGCAGAGCGACGTGCCCGGCATATCCCAAATGCTGTGTCGGTGCCTGAGAGTACTCTTTAGGTTGCGGTTGTATCTGCTGTATCACGGCGGGCTGCTGTAACTGTTTGAAGTAAATCTGCTTCTCGGTCTGTTTAGACTTCACGTATTGAGGCTGATACTGCTGGATCTGAAGCGACGGAAGTTGCGGCTGGTAGTGAACCTTCGATTCGCTCTGTTGTTGGTACTGTTGATATGGCTGTTGTTGAAATTGAAACTGCGGTGCCTCGTACTGTATGTGGTACTGAGGTTGCGCCTGAAATTGTTGAGGTTGTATCTGATACTGTTGTTGTTGTTCTGGATACTGAATTGGGATCGGTTGAGGTTGTGACTGAATTTGAGTGTGAGTTTGGGGTTGATATTGTATGGGTTGGTGCTGAAGTTGATACTTGATAAGTTGTTGTGCTTGCGCTTGAACCTGTGACTTTTGTTGTTTCTGTGACTCTTCATGTTGGTTTTGAGCAAAGGACGCGTAGCTTATGCCACCTTGGGCAGGTTGTTGCGCGTATGCCTGAAATTTGAAAAATAAAAATGAAATCATTATACTTTTCACTTTTAATGCATATTAGAGCTTAAATACATTTTGAAATTATTTCCGTTTTCAGTGATTTTCCCTTCGCTGGAAAGCGTAGGACACTGAACTTCAATCCGTCTAAACACATACAGTACTCATGGATTGAAAAATTCGATAATAGCAGATGTTACACGATAGCCTAATAGATAGAGCAACGGCACGATACGATGTTGTTGGTTCGGAATTTGCATGTTCCTTTCAACTTACTGAAAATTTACTGGTAACTCTTGTTACTAAAACGCTCTGGTTATTAAAACGCTGTAAAATAATTATAAATCAACTAATGAATTACATAATTTATTGACCTGCTGGACATTATGGATGACTTGTACGGGTGCAGCTTTCACTTGTTCAACTTGGTAGTGGGGCGGAAGTTCTTGGCGATACTGAAGAGGTTGCTGCGCGTACTGCAGATTATCTGGATATTGTTGATACTGGATTAGGGGTTGGTGATAGTTCGCTGATATCGGTTGCTGCTGCGTCGGCGAATTGTCATATTGCTGGTAAACTTGCGGCTGGTAATTAGTGTGCAAGCTTGCCCTGGGTATCGATTGGATGTTCTGAGGTTGGATTGAGTGCTCGCTATACGCCAATTGGGACGGTACAGGCTGGGAAACTTCGTAAGCTGTCGGGAACTGCGGAGGTGAACAATACGCCAGTTACAACATAATTCTTAGTTTAACGGTTCTTTTCGGTTTTAATTTTTTTTCATTATACTAACCCTTGGTTGGTAGATGGAAACTGGCGAGTAGAGCTGATTAGCAATGGCGTTCTGGAACGGTGGTCCTTGAGCTAGCACGTCCGATATCTTAGCAATTTGAGGAACTGGAGTTGCGTATATTTGCTGCAACGACACATTCTATTTCTATAAATTATGATTTGAGCTACAGGTAGTAATATATAGATTTTGTTAAGTTAAGTTTGACTAGATTAAAAATACTATATCTACTGCAACAGCATAAAATTTTATCTTGTATAACCGTTGTAATTAGTTTGGTTCTATAAGGATGTATTAAAATCCTATCGTGTACATCGGTTTAAAGCACAGATAGCTTAATGTCACGCCTCAGAAGAGGAATTAGCCCCCCTCTGCCCCTCCCCGCCCCTCCTTAACGCCCTCCATCGATAAGCCGATTAGTGCCACAATTATGAAGGATAGCTAACCTACAGGGAAATCCTTGGAGATAAAATGTTAAGCTTTTTATGGTTAGCGGTAACATGGGCTGTTGCGATATTTTATGGAGATGATGATATTTCTGCATTAGTCGGAATTAGATATCACGTCTCTTTAGATATGTATTCAATGCGAAAGTGTGTGAAGTAATAGTAGAGCCGGGGAAGGTCTTGTAGTTCGAAGAGATCCCGATGGAGTCGAACAAGCGATTTGTAAACTTATAATTGGCGCCTTGAAGTCAACTAGACAAGAGGGCTGTCGCAAATAATAGCTGATAACTTACATTAACTTGATCTGGAATTGAAGAATAAAGCGATCGTTCTTCAAGAATAACAATAATTGAGCCTATATCATTTATTTTTCAAATATTAATAGATTTCCTCACAAATTACGGTAGATGGCGCACCGGGTGTTCGCTCTATCGATATATCTTATCAGTAAACAATTTTTGTACAATATAAATTAATATGTTTTTTACAATGCAAAGATTGTACAACGATAAATAACTTGCAAGTAGAGCCGTTCTCTGGTTGATTTGTAAAAACCGAGAATTTCAATTTGAAAACAATTTAGAGAAACGAAGGCATTGTCTCTATTCAACTGTCTGAAATTGATATATTAAAGTTTTGACTGGAGTCGAAACACTGCGCACTCATTTAAGGGTTGTAAGGCGGGAAGAAAATCCTAAGCCCATAATAGTTGTAGGTCTAAAGGTCGATTTTTGGAGGGCAAAAGGACGGAATAATCACATACACACGCAAAAATAACATTAGAGTGGCATAAAAACTAGAAATAAAACAAAAGTAAAACTCTTCTGTACAAGTTTTCAATTAAATGTTTTCAAAAATAAAACCAACTAATTCACAAATTCCTTTTAAAAATTAGTTTAACGATTGCTTTTCAGTGGAAAGTGGAAGGTAAGTTAGATGCAAACAATTTCAACCTTTAAAATTCATTATTGCCGGTTAAGAATCTAATTATTAATTATACCCCCCACGTTACCATCAGAACGTTTATACCTAACTTAATACGAAACATAAAGCTCGAGATATTTGTTTGTTAATTAAATTAAAACATTAAGCCGAGAGACGAGACGAGGCGATGTATCATTGTTAATGACATTTGCCTCTCCTGACGACTTTGTGCGTCTGATCCAAATTAAAACAAGCGATTAGTGGAGACTCGTTGCCCGATTTGTTGAGCGACTTGTGTGGTAGAAATCTACAATATATTTTCTTAGATGTTATATAGGTTAAAGTTATATACTTCTCCTTTCATACTTACAATCGATACTTTTTTAAAATTTTGAACATTTTAAACGGTTTAAAACGTGAAATACTTTACTTTTTAATTTATTTTAACTACGGCCTAAGGTTTCGAATGTTTTGCAGCAGCCGGGGTCACGACTTCACAATATTGCTGTATTGATTGTCTATACTATACTCTACTGAGACGTACTATAGTATTAAAGAACAAGTTCCAGGTGGAAATAATATGCGATCTTTCCTTACTCAGACAACAAATAAGTTCGAGAAGCGCGATTCAAGTTTTTCGTTCAAATGTGAATGAAGGACGCAATTTGTTTACTATTTTAAGCAGGCTTTCTCTTCGCTTGAACAAGCCAATTGTAATATTTTTTAAAGTAATGATCTAAGTGCTAAGATTAAATTAAAAGTCCAACGCTATAATTTGCCAATCATTCACTTTTCGGAGTCACTAGGATAAGGTAAAAATGCAGTGAATTTACTGTTAATTAATTTTCACCGCTCCGTTTGTATTACTTTCTGAAAAATACTATTCATTTACGATTTTAATAAATTACTGTTAAAAATGTATTTTAAGAAAGAAAAAGAAAAGAATATTATCTCCACTTAAAGCAGTTAACAAACTTTAGATAATTAATTTATTCTTAATCTGCTTAAAAACATTGAATTTCGGTTAGAAATTAAGTGTTTCTTATTTAAACGTTATAAAAGACTAGATAAAAATGACGATTTAAACCATATGGCTTTGTACTACGTTTGGCATGGATGTAAGTTTTAGAATGAGGTTTTTTGTGGTGCTGCATGACTTTATTATGTCATGTAATTTTGTTCAAATGAAGCTAATTTCCGTAATCATGAGAACGAGTAATTAACAGGCATTAGGAAATGGCAGAAAGAGTGCCATTGTGACTCGCAAAATCGTGAGATTTGTCTTTATTCATTTATACCGTACACGTAGAGCGTTTTTCGACATTTCCCCTCGAGTGAAACAAAAATCGTTTGATTGTTTGCACTTCTACGAAATGTATAATTACTCTTGTAGTAATGGAATTCAGACGACGCACTAAAGGATTAAACTCATTTTATCTATTTATTATATGAGGATACAAATACAATAAGGACATTGCGAGTATAAAGAACGCTTGAAAGTAAAAAGTAACTTCAAATCAAAAGGTTTTTGATTCGTTTTGATAGTGTTAAATGTACTCTTTCTTGGCTTCGCCGTTGTCGGGTAAGATTCGAAGTTTTACTTAAACAGAGTATACATTGCCATATAGTTTAGATAACGGCAATGAGCTGGTCTGGGTACATGTAAACTTGTTAGTCCTTGTAGAGGCAATATTCTAATAAATATGTGAGCCTTACGTAACCCACGCCCGGCAGACACGAAAGTGGAAATCTTAATCAGAAGTTAAGTAATAACATCACATATGACTCATGATTTAAGTGAACTGGCTAACTCAGCGTTGAGATAAGAAAAGTCGGTCGCTGTCACCTACCCGCCTGACTGCCGTCTATCGTTCTGATAATTGCGGTTAAATAACGAGAGGCGATAGTTCGAATCGATGTCAAGAAGGGCGCACGAAGGTGTATAGGTAGGAATATGTCTATAGGTACATGAAGTAATTTCGCGGGCACACAGGTATCTGTTGATCCGAAATATATTAAAACCTTTTGAGTAAAGCCGGCGCTGGCGGAACGGTTGAGAAATGAAATTTTTCGGTCTGCCCGGAAAAAGGCACAGGGTATAGAGAACAGTACGGATTTTATAAGGGACTTAAGATTGGTTTTGCTACTGAAATGCGCAAATTATTATAATGCGCAAACTATTATAATTAAAACTTAAACAAGATTATTCGCATTTTTGTGTCTTGTTTTGTTTAACACTGAAGTTAGAATTTACACCAAAACCTGCATAGTGCGAGTATTAACAGCGTCCTTACTGTTCGAATTCCTGCGCGGAGTTATATTGAAGGGACACAAATTAAATTTGCGACAAGTGATCCAATCCGTATCGAGATTATGAGATTGTCTAGATTTGCGAAACGTCTTTTATTTATTTTGTAAATACGACTCCGGCGATTTTATTCTGAAAAGGTGATCTCGTTTAATTTTGACGAAACACAAGTAATTTATAAAACTGCGTGATGAGTCATACGACGAGATAGAATTGGTCAATGAAACTGTCTTTCTGGGTATAACGTTAGACTCCAAACTACAATGGGGATCTCATATCGGGAAAGCCTCGAGCAAGCTCAGTTCTACCGCCTAAGCCGTAAAAAAGATCAAACAATTAACAGACATTAAAACAGCGCGTCTAGTCTACTTCAGCTACTTCCACAGTGTTATGACATATGGCATACTACTGTGGGGTAACGCTGCCGACATTGAATGTATCTTTGTGTTGCAAAAAAGGGCGGTCCGGGCTGTCTATGGTATGGGATATCGGGAGTCATTAAGAGATACCTTTAAAAATATCGGCATACTTACTGTGTACTCGCAGTATATTTATGAAATGCCCATAATAATAAAAGCAAGTTTAGCGAGAATAGTGATAGGCATAATTTGAATTTACGAAATAAGGATAACCTAGCTATCCCCAAATATAGGCTCCATAAAATATCTAATTCATTTGCGGGGAATTGTATTCGTATGTACAATACATTGCCAGTTGAGGTTTCCAACTTATCGATAAATAAATTTAAGAAAGTTATAAAACTTAGTTTGTCTCAAAAGGCGTATTATTGTCTAAACGATTTCTTTAATGACAAGACCGCTAGGCAGTAATACGAATTGCTCCAAGTTTTTTTTTATTTAAGTTAATAAATTCACAATGTTATAGTTTATAAGACATGTTTAAAAAAGCCTGACTAAATTTCTTGGATGTTCTTCTCAGTCATGTTGCTCTTTGAACACTGTAAAATCACGACAAACAGACAGACAAACAAAAAGAAATTTTGACGAATCTAAATAATTTTTAAAATTGTAATGATAATAAAGTATATTTTATTTTATTTATTTTTTATTTAGTAAAACAGAAAATAATTTGACCCGACCTCGTACATAGAATGCTATAAAAATAATTAATAGTTTATATTTTTATTAAGTTTTATGCGACCGCGATATTTACTGTTTGATAATTACCTGCGTCGGCGACTGATCTGATACGGTTTCTTTGGTGTCAGCATATTCAACGCCAGGGGTCGCCGACGAGGACACTGCAAATACCATTAAAGAGTATAAATATGTGCTCAGATTTATACATTTACAAAAACAAAATCACGATAGCTATAACTTCTGACCTGACGGCAAAAGTGGCGTTCTCTTTTCAATAGCATTGTTCCCGTCATCTCTCTTTTCCTTTTCTTCTGTCTTACCCTTACTTCTAGCACTGGATACTTTGGCAGCGTGGCCCACGGTCACTAGCAGCAGAATAATCTGATGATAAAAGATTCGTAGACTTGCCAATTGTTCTTTGTCACGATCATTTGCATTATTTGGAACTCAAACAGTATGTAGATTTTCGAATTAGTATATTAGAACTAGACTACTAGAATTAGGAATATAGGACTAGAATATTTTTAACGATAGGTAAAAACATTGCTAGACGTACAAATGTAGATTGGTTTACTGCTTAATGTTTAATCAATATTAGTCTACTAACCGCGAATCTCATTTTAACACTGTTCTCCGTACTTGAACACTTTCTACTGAGCCGGCCGCCTTAAGCGACTACTTATAAAGTACGTTCTGACATTACACACATACACTTGTGTCAAGCGAGATTATATCATTCGATGAAACAAGTAGGGAACAGGCTATCACACGCAGAGGCTCGTATCGCACGCGGTACGAGCTTCGAAGCAAGCGTTCGGTTGGAATTAAGTCCTCTTGGGGTATAAACAAAAAAAGTTTTAGACCCAGCCAGAATTGGTATAGGAGTTGCTATTAGTACATACAACTTATAAATCGAATCAGAAATCTTGACTAAGTTTTGTTCAACCAATTGATAATTAAGCTGTATTGAGATTTTACTGATAACATTAAAAAATAAAGTGCCCCAGTATATGTAAGGAGGTACTTTAACGAAGGAAAATGCGCCCAATTTCAACAAACAACAACGATTTTACTTTAGTTGTTTGCGTGGGAATAAAGCATCCAACTTTGCAAGAAAAGTATACGAAGACCAATTCGCGCGAGTAGTGCGCGATATTTGTAGGACGAGAGAAGTTATTGTGTTACGAAAGAGCTTTTAGATCCAGTTTCTTTTTTGTCGACATTTCTACGACGAACAAATTACAATTCGCTTTCACTACCATTTATTACAGAATCAATCATGAAGGCATATTGGAATAATTATAGCACTTCACTTCCGCTTTGTATTAATCGCTATTGTTTAAAAGGGTCTCTCGAATTGAGGTTCTCGATCCTGATAGATTTTCGAGTGTATTTAACAAAGTATATGTAATCGAAATTCACTACTAACTTCTCCCATCATAAATTCTTGTCGTAATCGATAGGTAGGTAAGTATATTTCCTTAGGAAACGGGGCAAAGTATTGTTAATTATTTATAGTACGCAATAATTTTTACGACAAGATAATTCTCATATGTACCGAATAACTTGAAATTATGAGGCAATTATATTCAACGTATTCCAGTTGCAACTGTCGCGTAATAATGTTTGATAATTGAGCTTTTAATCATTTTATAATTTACTTGCTCAATTAAAATAATTAGGTGTGTCTTTTAAATATAATTCGGTATTAGCTAAAGATGCTTTCGGAGGTTGCATCTTTAATACAATAAATAGCACTTTTCTAATTGTGCAGAATCTTAGTCGAAAAGAAAGAACTCAAGCTTTGTCTTAAAAACGGTGTTAACAAGACACCACCGATCATTTTGGAGGGTCTGATCAATTGATGTTCACGAGTGGTTTACTTTTATACCTTCAATGTGAGTTTTAGTTGTCTCGCTCTAAACCTTGTCTATTTTTGACACCTGCAATACCTCGATGAACTAATAGCATTGTTTGTAATGTAATTACTAATTGGCGAGACAGTGAGCATACGCGTCGTAATTAAAACGTTTCGCCGAAAATGCACAAAGTAACTTGTCGTATTAGGTCTCGATAAGGTACACAGAGTGTTTTTTGCCTCATATTTTGTTAAGGATACTATTTCGCTAATTAGCATTGATACAGGTCTACGCTTTATAATAGTTCTATTGGATGTAATTTCTATGAAATTTGTGCGGATATATCTATTTTTAATTTGATTTTAATTTCTTGTTTTGAGAAAATTTCGACAATGCTGTACTATTAGAACAGCTTTAAACGTAAGTCAAGTAATGATTTTACATAATATTATTTGATTACAACAGAATACCAATCGTAACCGACCGATTCTGCTAATATGGAATGGCGCCGGTCAGACAGACAAGACAGAGCGATTAGTCGATTTGGGATGGCCGGCAGTCATCAACCGTGTCATAACTAAAATAAGATCAACTTTCACTAGTGCTGCCCCACATAGTGTGTAAACAGGTGTTCGTTACGTCACAGAAGCGCGCGCCCCGCGTCCGGTTTCCGGTCAACTCTGACTCAATTTGACCCCACTTTGACGTGAGAGGGTTGATCTCAAACGGGCATTCTTCGTTTTTCAAAGGAAGGTGGCTTAACCGAGTCTTTTCCCGCATTAATTGTTTAGAATTTTAACAAAATGCACCGTGCATTGGATTAAATCGTTTAACTTCTCGCATTATTTTGAGAAATTGTAATTATTCTAAATATATCAATAAAAATATATATTGGCCATAAAAATGAATTCTTACTAAAACAATGTTATTCCTAAAAAAATAAAGATATATATTTAGCACAATATGGTTAGGCACAGTGAAAGCTAACAGGTATGAAATCAAACTCCTTTCACCGCCTTTTCTGATCCTTTATGTTCAGTATGTCTTACTTTTGCTGAAGCGCTAAACGGCGTAACATTCAACCGATGTCTTAATTAGTCGTAACGCGCGCAATTATGACGCGGCCAAGCCCTCGAGGTAAAAATATTTCGCCTTTCATTAAATTTGAGCAACGCGTCGTGAAAATAAAATTTTAATACGGCAACACCGCGCAGGGAATGTAGATAATAAAGCAGCGAAGTTTTTAGACGTTGCCAGCTAATTTCATATAATTGCAGCGTGTAATTTGGAAGCCGCGTACGTGTAAAGGTAACTCTCCTTAGGGTTGTCCACGAGAAAAATCAAAACAACTCACTTTACCTAATGTTGGATCCGAGTGTTTTGCGGTTGGCTGAGTTAGGGCTATTAATCGTATGACACTCCGAAAATAGGCGTTTTTGGGATTAATAGGCGCGATCTGAATTGTAAATAGTGAGGTCTGTATTATTTCATTCATTTTAGTCACTATTGAAAAATAAAGATGTTTAGTTACTGGCTCAGCAGATTTAATACGCCATTTCGTTTCGGACAACCCTACCGCATAAGCAGGGATAGGCTTTATCGTTCATAAAATGATAACGAGAAGGCGTGCGCCTCAGCGTTTATTATGTGACAGCGGCTTATTTGTCTCGGAATTATACCAATTTGCCCGAAGAGCACTCTCATACCTGAATAAGGACTAAGGAGTAAGGAAAGTCACTTTTAATTTGTTTAGCAATATTAGACATATGGTAGTATATATTACTACTGTTTGTTTTGTGGAAAAATAGTCCAGTACATTTTCGAAAAGATCTGAAAGTCTAGACTGTAGTGCTCTGGGCAGCACGTACTAAACTACATTGGCATTCGGAAGTTTTCAAAACATCTGCGCTGCTTTGCTCCGATCGCGAGAGAAGTGTGGTGCCATTCTACTGTGTGCGACATCACTAAATATGAGGAGAAGAAGTTGTGCTTACACAGGATGTCCTAATCGTGGGTGTCTGCGGTAGTGGAGTACCTTTTCAAACGCGTTTTAAACAGTCAAGAGTGTTTTATTTAAATGTGTACTACTCGAGTGAAGTATTGTCTCCAATACTTAACTAAATAGTCTTAAGTTTTTTGCAATTTTGTCTGAATAAAAGGACATTATGCAAGATATAAGTTTGAAATGTCACTCACGCGAGAATTGGGCCCCGACAGAACTAATACTTGTGATATTTTACTGAAACGAAAGTGAGCAGTTGAGCAAAACCCCCGGCGCCCCTTGCATAAATCACCTCGCTCAGGCGTGCCTCTAAAAATATTAATACTAAAAGCTTCTAACTGTTCAAGTTGTCTTTTAATTTCGTTCGCTTTTCCGGTTGCCGGCGCGTTAAGCTTAAGTTTTTAGTATTTTATACATTTTGAATTATCCATTAAGTTAAGACACGAATGATTATAAAAAGAAACGATCGTTAAAACGAATTAGCCAAGTTATACCTGTCAATGGAAAAACGTCTTCCTCAATATCTCTACAAACGTACTTTTGAAAGGGATCACTAGCGAGTTCCTTATTAAGGGCAATTGAATTCGAAACGGAGTAAGAGCGAATCGATTCATAATACCGAGATCCAATCTATCGAAGTCCAGAGCGAATCCCATCGAGGAGTTCAGGGCTAAATGGGGACAAATTGTATACTAATACTCGGCTGCCCAAGACCGTGTACCTCGTACAGTCGACGACAGAGTGTCTATCGGCTTTTATTCGATGACTAGGCAGATGACAGTGTACGCATCACTCGAGCACACATGCAATATGCTATAGAGCGAGAACAGGAAATGGTGAGTCAGTGAATCATTTTACTTGTAATGATGACCATTACAAGTAAAATGATTACAATTTGAGAAAATGCCATTTCTAAATAAGGACTGTATCAATAATTAATAGTTGAAAGTTGCGTGATCCGAATACAAGTAGGTATAATATCGTTTGAATGCGACTGTACCTGCTACAAATTTCGCCCAGCTATTTCGGTGACATTGCAATAGTTGACCTCTTATTATCTCGATCGCACTCGATTACTTTATTCGAGGAGAGCTTTAATGATTACTTTTAATTATGATCATCATACAGTTAAACATAGTCTCACGTCGTGAGTAGTGTTATATAGGGCCTTGCCGTAATTACTACTGAAAAGATATATCCACAGCCTGGAGCTGAAAGCGCAGCACTTTATTAAGATAGCGAAACGAGTCGAACACTGTAAAATTATTTTAAGTGAGAGGAATTATTCATGACGTAGACTTCTCTCCGTCTCATGGAGTAGATGCACAAAATAAAATATTAAAATCCTTATAAGAACTACTCTCGAGTCTCGACTCGGCTGATGTATGTAAATGAGTAAGAGTTAAATTCAAACAGCCGCAGAGTTGCATCGCCGCCTTCTTCAAAGTTTTGCATTCATTTCGACATAACTGCGACCACACGTCTGGGATATGGGCCAAGGGGCCCAAAACAAGTGACTAATAATTGTAACTAACATCCGGAATGTCGTGTTTTATTAAAGAATAAGGACATTATTACCTTCTTTTTTCAAGGTCACAAAGCGCGTAAAGGTTTGAGAAAAATTGTCATAATAGTAATAGCTTGAATTGAATTATATGTAATATCTAAAAAGACCTTCATAAGCTCTATAAAGATCAGATCAGAAACGATTCGAGCAGATGAAGCCATCTCGACTGCCGGCGGAACAATAAATATAGTCTAAGGACTGAGGAGGGGTATTTTCGGAAGGCCACGCGAAGTGCAGACAAGATGGCTCTAATTTAGCGGTCGTCTGCACTTCGCTTTATTTATTGCCTGGACTCACTCTCGAGACGCCCCAAGTTAATTTAAAATAACATATTTCTACTATATGGCTTTGATACTGTTTGCTATATCTTTCCGAAGACTTGTAACGTTCGAATACATTAGCGTCAGTCTTTACTGGAAAGTTACTATAAATAAATAAAATAAAAAAAATAAAAAAGCCTTTATTTCCTTTAAATGACTGTTTACATCTTTTAACTTAATCTAGTTTGGACGAGCTTGCATTATTTAAGTACAAATATTATTTAAGATGATTCAAAATAAATTTTTAGGTAATTAGGAACCCTCTCGGGTGTAGGCCTCCTCCAAAGTTACTATATTAGGTACATAATAAATAGGTATGTAATACACATAGGGTAGTTTAAATGATTAGTTTTTGATTATTTTAATTTCTCATTTTGATAAGCAAAATTAATGTTTAATCGCAAAAAACTACTTTATAATTATATAAAGACCTTACATTTACACGACGGTCTTAATATTTCGTGGAACCATATTCCCGGGCGGACACTAAAAGATGTCGCGAAAAATGACAACACTTCGCGGTCCCCGGGGGGAGATTATAATGTCATATTTTTCGACCCTCAGACGGGAAAAATCGACGCCGCATTCTTGTAATTTATTATTTTGGGAATTGTTTTTTTCTTGGACACGCGAATGTCGTTTATTACATGATCGGTTTTTACTATAAAAATTTTGCTCGGGTTGTATTTTGGAATCGCTTCAGTGTATGCAATGCGGCGGGAAAGAAGATTTGCATTCTGTCACTGCGACACTTCATAATTACAAAGTACATCCAGCAATATCTAGAAACGGTAGCGTGAGCTGGTGCACTATAATTCTTTATTTAAAGTCCTGTCATCGACACTATCGAATGTGGCCAACTTTTTCTTTCTAGAGTTGTGGCAGTTGTCGCTAAGGTCACGTAATACGCAAAGTGAGTTTAGGCGAATATTTTCCTGCGACAGGAATGGCTCGGCGCGAATCGCGATGCCCTCAGAGGAGGCTGCGCCTTGATTTTCAATTCACACCACTCTAGCACTCCGGCTGACAGTTCTCTCGTAATTCGATTGCACGTTACGGTTTTTCAAACGGCATTTTTGCCCGAAAATAACGAGGCGCCATTATCGAACCGTCCCAAATGTTTGCTTCACTCGATGCGGACTGAACTAGAAGTAGTCCAATGTATTATTCGCTCGACGGATAAACGACACACGGTATCACAAAATAATCATAATTCTCTGGGTTAAGACCGTATTGTTTTTTTTGATACCTCAAACACTTAACTTTCGAAATACTTAATATGGCCAAAGAACTTTTGTCTGGTCAGCTAGTTGAGATTATAAAGTGTAAATCCCTCGCTCACTTTCTCTTTCTTTTTTAACATGCTGTACTTACTTTATAAAAAACGTTCTACTCTGTATCTCAAGATTTTAGGAAGACATATTTATTTACTTTTTAGGCTAAACCATGAAAAGAACTCTGTAAGGCCTCGTTAAATATAACCAAGTACACAGTTTTCGATCTTCTATTGTTTCGCCGTTGCAACCACTGTCACTTATATTGATTATTGTAATTTTAATAGTTAAATAAATATTAATAAATTGTACAGAAAAAAGTACTCTCGAATGCTTTTTAAAATATCAACAAACGTTATTCCAATTGCCAAATTCTATCACATTGTTTGGCTTCTTACTAAGCGAATCAACTAATAAATTTAAAAAATAAAAATAATGATCATTGTTATAATATGCAAAGGAGGTTATTAGAACGTGGAGAATTCTCAACACAAAATGTAAATCACATTACTTTGTGTGAGTGCAAAATAAGGTGTCGATTTGCTGCTCTATCGCGTCCGCTTAACGCTTGCGTTGGACGTTTAAGCTTATTTCGCGGGATTTTGGCGACGTGACAATGTCTTCGTTAAAAATCGTCCTCCTATCGAAACTTGTAAGCAAAATGGAAATTTATAAAAGAAGTTCACATTTTATATTTAAGTAAGACGGCTTCGTTGATCTAATGTAATGTATTAATCATTTGCAATAATCAACAAGTCGTGGCTTCGGCCCCTTACATGCTTAACATGTTTCTTGTCAAAGTATAATTTTTCTACAACATGTTGGACATCGTCTGGCAGTCTATACAAAATAGGTAGTAGAAATGAAGAACCGCAGATGAAAGAACGGTGAAGTTTAATAGGGCTACGATATCACCTTAAAAACCTATAAAATAGCCTATGCTTGTCTCATAAATCTACCTCTGGCATAAAAATAGATTTCTTTACTAACAAAATATAACCTCTCATCGTTGTGTATTTCCATGATTTGTCGTTATAAAATAAATCGAGATATAATGGTAGGCAGAATATAAGTAATTGTCTTTGTAGCTCAGTTAAGATACTCAGACTCGAGACGCCTATAAGTAAAACAAAGAGCTTGTCATATTGAAAGACTCGTTCTTTACCCGCTCGGAACGCTACGGAGTTACCTATCTAAAATTCTAACAGCGAAAGGGGCGAATTATTTGAGTTGCAATTCAAAAACCGCCTAGATCACGATTATTACTATCGAAACTCGACGGTTTCACGTCGTTCGCAACTTCCTTACTTGAAATGTTCTACATGTTACGAACATCTTTTCAATTAAATAAAATCTAAAACCATCAATAAATTATTCTGTTAATGTAAGTAGTTTGTAAATTTAACTTGCAGTCTTTAAAAAAACATATTTTTAACAATAACATTTTAGTGACTAACACATTCTAACAAATAAAATATTATTATTATTGTTATGATTTCAATGTATACAATAATGATTTGTATCTGTAAAAAAACCAGTCTCTCTAGCTTGTCCAATGTCGTAACAATATTTGAGGTGTTCTTCAGTTCTTCAGGCTATGATGGTTAATTCCACCCTAAGAATCGAGTTTCGGTAGTAAGAGCCGTTACGGATCTCGAGTAAAGTTGGTGTTTAAGTTACCTAAGTTACCTGGTGACTGGTGGTTAGAGTTAGAGGCTCGTGACACATAAAGCCTTTCTAAATTAGATCCGAACTCGCGAGGCTTTCAGCGTTTTCGGTAACAATTGTAACTCGTTTGCGCCGGTTTTAAAAGTTAGCCTCGTTTTACTTCGAAGTGAATTCTCGTGTACCCCTCTAGGGTTCAAGGGGCCACGCACCTACTCTGCGAGTGCTTCTACTTTCACTCTATCGATTATTGTATTCTGAGAAACAACTTCATCATCAACACTATTCATAAGTTCTCCCAGCGTCAGAATCTTGTATTGACGTTCATAAAAACGTGGCGTTTGTTAAGTGGGATAATGAATAGGCCCGCGCCATATTAAGTACGGTGCGTTATCCAACCCTTGCCATTCATTTAACGAGATTACACCGAGAGGGAGGTGTCTCATAAATTCGGGAGATTTATCGTACATCGCCTACCTGTGATACCCATTTTGTGTACTTTTTAATGTGCCCAGGGAACACAATAACAACTGGGGCTAGTGTTTGAAGATTTAAAAAAAACTTGCCACTTGTACTGTTTAAGTGTAATATGAATTAACAAACATTTTGTATAATGCCATATAAACATGTTAAAGTTAAGTTATTATGTTTGTCTCCAATAACGTAAGGAACGAAAATTGTATTTTACTACTAAAATCATAGCACTTTTATAGTGATTATTAATAAACTGCACAACAGTGTTCAAGATTTACTTTTGCCGGCACCGCTCACCCCGTATTTCTTCCAATGTACCTCTTAGTTTTTAGTACTAGATAGATATACCAATACCCAACCAATTAATTATTATTACTAATTAAGGGGGTTTAGAATTTAGGGATTTGCAACTAAAAAGTTTTTCATTGGCATCAAAAGAAGAATAACGCCACGCGCCTCACAACTTTGACGCAACGCCAAGCATGTCACGTAATTATGTTCCGTTACATTTTCTTATGTTTACTCTTTGTAAATATCGCATTGTGTTATGACTACGTCGATGTAGGCCCCGAGTATCGAAATGGTCAGAAATCAAGAAGTTCGAAGATAAAAAGACAACAGAGGACGAGTGCAGACAGTGTGGACGATAGGAATATGGCTCAAATTGATGTAGCTGGCTTTATTCACGACGACGACAGATTGCGTAGTGATCGATTCGAGGACCGCGTTGACAAAAGGTAAATAATCGAAAAAAGCATCTACTTTGATCTTAATAATTATTTTAATATAGAAAGACTACAGAGTGTTTTGTTGTAGAGAAAATTTCGATGCTCTCGTCGAAGCAAACTTGGAAGACTATCAGGATAATAATGACGAATACCTAATTAATGATGCAGCGGAAGAGAGCTTATTTGAAGTCAAACCTCAGAACTATCGCAACGATCGTTCATCGAAAGATCTCGGCCCTATAGATAAAGAAATTCCAAAATATCATAGCGAGTTTTTGACGCAGAGCAAATATAAGAACTTGCACAAGAAATGGTAAGATATTTTTAAGTAGATTATCTGAGTTTTTCGAAAAAAGTTGAGCTTTTAGCCCTAAAAAATGTTTTTTACTAAAATATAATTCTTAATGGGCATTCATTTTTTTCGTGTCTGTATTTAAAATAAAAGTATCTATAATTTACTTACAGTGCATTGAAAAACGTAAAGTTTCCGTTTTTTTCCCATGACAAAAGAAAGACCACATCCACTAAGAAGAACAAGAAAAGAAAATTATTTAATTTTAGTTCGAAAAAGCAAAAGATCAAGTCACAAAAGTCTACGACATTTTTGAAGTCAACTACTCAGATGACTACAGATACGACTCAATATAAATTAAATAAGAGATCTTACTTAGAAAGAATATGCCCGATCTGTAGACGGAAATTCATCGGTAGAAGGTCGCATGAACGAGACGATGTAATTCACAACAGCAGACAATACTACGACAAAAAGGACAATATGAACTACGTTGACAATTTTATTAGACCGGTATCAAAAGATACAGACACAAAAAACTCAAAGGAAATGATACCGTCCCATAGAATCGATTCGAACATGAGAAAGTGACTTGGAAGATTTGACTGTTTTGATAAATCGTCGTAACGTATTAAGCGATTGTGATTTAGGTGTACAGAGTTTATTAGTCGTTTATTTCTTAGTAGAGTTGTATAAGTTAATAAATAATTTATTTTTGAGTTTCGTGTATTTTAAGAGACGTTCGAACAAAATTTAAGAGTCAATTAAATATTGACCTCGTGAAGCGCGGTGCTTTACTTTGACACGACTGGTTATAAATCTTTTCCTGACTTTAAATTAATTTATAACATAACTCAACGTTGAATATTAAAGAGAATGTTTTCCTTTCCCACTGTGTTATATTAATATAATGCACTATAATGCCCCTTTGTAGAGGGAAAATTATTCGTCTTTGAGGATTTTCATTTTTTTTACGTTTCTAGATACCCAAAAAAACGTATATTACATAGGAATATCCGCATCTGTATTTTAAGAACTCAAAAACACCTTTTTTGTGATAATTAACTTTTGGTCGAAATACTTCATGAGGCTAAAATACGTTCGGCAGGTCAGCATTGCATTATGAGTTGCTAGGTTTTTTCTCTTCTGAATGCTGCTATAAATAAGGCATGGTCCACTGCACAAATTTAAGTCATTTACCAATGTTCCGAGGAATCTAAATGATACAATACCTTTTAAAAGAAAAATGCTTTAAACTTATACGTCATACAACTCAAAGTACGGGAAATTCCGATTGAGCAATTGTAGAATAACGAAATAATTGTATATGAAACTTAAAAGTTCTGTGAATATATTAATTTCACTAGTAATATTTAAATTCTTTAATATCTGTACACGACGTTAAGCATATCTTTTCGACGGTGTGAGGGCCATCTGAAAGTAAAGAAATTTAGTTGAGGGCATTCGTCTAGGAGGGACCAGAAGTTCAGACATTTTCAATTTCATTCTTTGACGTCATCACATTTTTGTGTTCTCGAATAATGAAGGTTTACCTATTTCGAACCACTCGGTCGTCGGTTTGCCTGCATCACTCCTGGCTGATGCGATAGCTTCTCGCATCGCAAAGGGCACCACGACGCCCATCACAGTTGCTGGCTCACCGACGGCTGCGTCCCATTCGAAGAACATAAGATTTTTTTGTTATAAATTTTAGTCGCAAAAAAATATTGCAAACAATGTAAGCCATTTTTAGAATAGATTAATTGTCTAATGCGTTATTATAACAGCTGTGGGCGACTTAAAGGTACTCTTTTGTTCTGATCAGGTTTTTAAGGTGCTCAAATAGACATTAGAATAACAGTAATAATAACCTTTGGATCCAAGTACGATGTCGCTCCTATAGGGCTTTGGTTTGAAATATACTCTGAAGTCGATTGGAATATCGAGCGCTTGAAGTATTTTGTAGGTCCACGTCCGTTCTGTTAATAGTTCTCCTGAATAATCGTAAATCAAGTCTTCCATCGTGAAATATCCTACTCCCATAATAAATGCACCTTCTATCTAAAAAAATGTAATTACTGAAAATGTAAATAGCAGCGACCGGTAACCCAATTCATTATTAATTGTTGCAATAAACCTAATACTTATTTGCTAAGTAATGTAACATCAAAATCAATCCAGCAGATTTTGAGAGACTCGACTATATAAGGATATGCGGTCTTATTAGGCTTTAGCTTGTTAATTGTTAATGGTATGGTGAGTCAAAACTACGTATCGCGTTCGTTGTGGAGGCTAGAAGTGCAATAAATATAAAATTTCTATTTTTCAATACATACTTGTCCGATATCTATGAGCGGATTAATACTTCTACCGACGTCTTCTAATAGGTCTACTCTGATTATACTCCACTCCCCCGTTAGAATGTCGACTTCCACCTCGGCTAACGCTACTGCGTATACATCGAAATTGTGCACGTCAGAAGTATTGACGAAGCCGTGGCCCTGCAGATCTATTTCCCTCGCATACGCTGCCTCTACTAGGTCTTCCCAGGAAGGATCATCGAGATCTCTCCTTACAGGTGCTATTTTCACGAGTAAATCCTCGCACGCCCTCTGCACTCCGATAGCGGCGGTCTGTGACGTAGCACTGCCGACAGTCGGCGCAGAGTTAGGTGTTATTGTAGTATGGCTTCCTTTCACCTTTATTTTATCAACGGAAATGTTCAAAAAATAGGCACAAACTTGTATCATCTTTGTGTTTATGCCCTGGCCTATTTCTGCTCCGCCGTAAGCTATCACGACCGTTCCGTCGCCGTGAAGCACGGACACGGTCACGTCCGAGTAGTACGGTGGCTTGGAATTCCATTTCATCATCGCGAATCTAATGCCTCGTTTCTTCCAACGATTTTCGCTATTATAATGGCTCACTTGACTCTTTCTATTCAGATAGTCTGCATCTTTTTTAAGTTTGTCGACCATGTCTGTTAACACTTGTCGATATTTCCCATCTAAATTCGCCAGACGAACTTCCAGCGGGTCCAAATTTAGTTCGTACGCTATTCTTTCCAATATAAATTCGGTGGTTGAAATAGCTTCTAGAGAACCTGTAGTGTAGAATTGTTGTCATCAAACAATGGGTTGTCAAATGTAATTAATTTATTATATTACCTTTTACCTAATACTTACCTGGAGATCGACAAAATGAGTTGGAAGCTTTATCCGTTATTGTGTCGTAGGCCTTAAAGTTGAATAAATGCTGTTTGTAGCAGTTGAAGTAGACGTCGTAGGTGTGCTCGACAATTCGCTCGTTGACTATGTAGCCGTTGTCGCTGTACACGGTGTAATTTATGTATTGAATGTCTCCTTTTTTATTGACGCCAACCTGCAGAAAGCATAATCAGTAATTTTGGTAAAGTAAAGCTTTTTAAGAAGTCGTAGACAGACTCGGATTTAAAAATCAATAAGGCAATATGTATGCTCACTTCATAGTCGATAGATGCCGAAAATCTTTTGCCAACACTTCTCATTGTCGTTCTGAGAGGCAAGATAAAGCGACAGGGGCGGTTCAATTTGTAGGTGACCAAATTGCACGCAGCGGAAACCTGGAGACTCCGTGTTATTTTCAAACCGAATGCACCCCCGCTACGGCGGTTTTCTACATCGATTCTGCAATGCATACATCGAAAAAGCTTAATATCTAAAATCTTTTGGCTAAACAATAATAGAAACGCCATATACCTGTTTTGGTCGATATTTAAGCAGCGCGAAGATGTAATTTGATCCGAGTCGGTGCTTTGAGTAGCAGCTCGGGCAGCTATTCCGTCCTCAGTCGGCCACGAGACGCAGACTATATTCTCGTAACAGAAGTGGTACTGGCCGTATTCAGTATTATTGCCCCTTATCACGCTTACGACGTCTTCTCCTTGGTTACTACCATTTATGATTTTAACGAGATACGTTTTATCTTTGAGATGTTTCGCCTCCTTGACATCAATAACAGGTTTCCTGGTGTTTCTGTATGTCACGCACACTAAGCTCGATGCCATCTGAGCTATGTGGTCATCTTCGGCGACAATTATGCCTATAGGTTGATTGAAAAATTTCACTTTACCATCACATAGCAGCTCTTCGTCGTTGGTGTTACCGCTAGCGCCACTCGTAAATGTATTAGCTCCGGGAATATCTTTCGCTGTATAAAATGCTATGACGCCTTTTACGGCCTGGAATAATGAAAAATACCTACAATGTAGAGAGAGAGAGAATAGTAGAGTCAAATATATTATAAAATTTATTTCTTTTACCAATGCTTTAGTGTCATCAATGTGTTCGATTTCTCCTATTCCGACCGTACTTAGCACAAAGGCAGCGTACACTTGCCGAGGGATTTTGGGCACATCGTCTGAGTAGGGTGCTTCACCAGCGCATTGTATCTATTTAGGATTTTGTTTTTATATTAAATGCTTGTAAATTATGCAGATTTTATAATCTTAAACTCTACCAACGTCTATAGGGTTCCACAAATTGTACTGATTTGGAGATGCATTCAAAATATGAGTTGTTTTTAGAGTCAGAATCTCAGCTCAAATCGCTAGGTTCACAAATTCGGTGAAAAGGCCGAGATTATAACTAGTAGATAGTATTTCATGAATGATGAAAGCAATCGATTCTCACCAGGCCTTCAACCTTATGTATAGGTTGGTTCACAGGATAAAGAGAGCTGTCTGTTGTATAAATTTGTTTTCCACTTGAAACACCTCGTGATTCGTGTAATTTTATAGCCCCTGAACGATATCTGGACTTCAGGATGTTGGATGGACAAAGCGACAATAGGCCCTAAAATGCAAAGTATATTATTTCTTAGAAGATCGACATATGACTTAGCTAAACTACTTTTATGTATGGAAAGAAATAAGAGTAGAGACCTTAATACGCAAGTGTTAAGGTTGTAATTACATTGCGCGAGAGGTGCATGTATCAATAAGTTGAAAAAATTCGACGATGCCGGTCCTGCCCTAGTCGAAAATTTTTTCAAATTATTTTCGATTTAAAATTCTATAGTGCCTTCATGTGCACTATAGAATTTAATAATCGAAAAATGTAAAAAATAATAAAGTTTTCAAAAATGTACTTTTTAAATTTTAGTAACGTCACCCACTTTATAAAAGAGCCCAATAGCGAGTTTTCTCCTATAATCCACGGATCCTTCCACAGGGGTTTTTGTAACCACAATCTCTGTGACTAATATCTGGACAGCTGCTTGTAAAGTATCATTGCTGAACAAATTTTTGCCGATCAAGTGGGCCTCACTTTTATATCCTCTCGTGTATCCAGGCTGGAGGCCCGAGAAGACGATTCGGGCAGATATTACTCGATAACTTGGATCGATTTTGTATACAAAACCTGCGTTTACGATCGCAACTGCGTTTTGAGACCTTTTCATGACCTGCAAATTCAAAACCGGTTAAAATTCGTGATGTGCACATGTGCACGTGTTCATAGCGGCGTATGAAATATTTGGTCTTATTGTTACAAATAAAGTTTTACCTTATAAGTGACGACACGGTTATCTAAGCCGAGTGGCGGTAATATCACATTGTAAACAATTTTGGAAGTCATGTCTTCTTGTAGAAACTGAGGAAGGGACATTACTTTATTGGCGCCGTACGATTGCACTAAAATTATTTTATTATTTGAATATACAATTTTTGTGTAATATTAGTTTAATAAAATTGCCTCGTTAATTTTCTATTCTACACTAAATAACTTATATTAAGACTGAAAAACTATTACGACGACCGCGACGGATGGGAGCTTAACCGGTCAGCGCTCTGTGCTGCTGCTCTAACCGATTGAGCTTCCGAGTTCTACACGTCATAGTCGTATTTTTTTAAACCATTGGGCATTGATACATGCACCTCTCGCGCAATCTTATAACCTTAACCTCAATACATTAGTGTGAGGTTAAAATGACATTAGTTTTTTACTCACCTATTGTTATATCCGCTCCCACAGTTTCTAGGATCAGAAATACGTCAGAAGTGAATTCTGGGTCTTGGTGCTTTAACATTAAGTTACCAGCGACCGTTCCCAGCTGAAAAAATATAGACAAAAAGTAAAGTAAACCAGTTGTTACAAAAGATTTAGGAGGAAGAAAGAAAGACTTTTTGATTTCAAGCCTTTTTTAAATAAGTAGCACGTTATGTATTACGAGTAATTCTTTTTTAAGAATTTGGCGCATATCAAATATGTTACTTGTTGGGTAGGTTATGAATTATTAAAGAACCTTGATCAGAGCTTCACTTTCAAAAGAAAGAAATTATCAATAGCATAATTTAGATGTAGAAAATACTATTTATGTAACGGTAGATGTTTCATCTGAGTTATAGACAAGTTGAGCTGAAGTTTCACTTACATTACGAACGGGTATGTGTGCCACAAGCTTTAGATGGTCATTGAGAACTGAAAGATAGCTAAAGTCTTCTCGCGTCTGGGACACATATTGAAAAATGTTCATCAGTTCAGTCAGAGTGGAACCTGCTCCAATCACCAAGTTCTGGTCGAAGTAATAACCTTTCAGCTCTGACACCTCACTGATGTCTATCAATATTCTAGGATAGTCAACTATTGGGATGACGCCTGGAAACAAACAGTTTTACCTTGCTTATTGTGTATTTTTGGTCGCGGTAGTTGCTCTGTCTTTCTGCAACTTAATGTCAAACTCAATTATGCGTATTAAACTCAGTTGTAAGATGCTTTATAGTTAAAGGGGAGGTTGAAAACCGGAGGCTAGCACTTGAATATTACTACAAATGTGATTTTATTAGATTTGTTGAGGAGCAAAAGTGTGTCTGATACCTTTTCCTGTATTTCCAGCGACCAACATATATGAATCATCACCCTTAGCTTGCAGTATGCTAAAGACTTCCGCTGTTGTCTGTACTTTGAACCATTCCTTATCATCTTTCAATTGTATATAAATCCTGTCTTCATCGACAGTTTTGGGTAAAAAGCACCAGTCGTACTCATCACAACTGGTCCTGGAACATCGTTTATCCTTACACGTAGCGAGGTCTTCGATGTCAATGCTGAGTTTTGCAGCGGGAGGGGCATCGATAGCGAACTGTTTGAACGCTTTTAAGATCGGTCTGTAGCCAGTGCATCGACACATGTTGCTCGCTAATGATTTTTCTATTTCCAGCATCGTCATTTTTTTCGTTTTTAAAAGTCTATAAATTTTAAATCTATGTAACAATTTCTATTCCACCCGATCAAATGCAAAAAGTATTAGCTCTTAGAACAGTACCTTTTTGTACTAAGGTACATCCTTTTTACATACATAACTGTGAACACGGGTACATTATTTGAAAACTTTATTAACTTTTACATGTTATTGCACATGAAGGCACTATATAATTTAAAAATTGAAAATGAATTGAAAACATTTTCTACTCCTGCAGGACTTGAACCGGTTATATAGTGCCTTCATGTGCAATAACATGTAAAAATTAATAAAGTTTTCAAACGTTATAACTTTGTAATTTCATCTTTAATGATTTCTTAAGCTGCAAAGCATAAGACATTGAACCTTAATACGCATGTGTTAAGGTTGAAGTTACATTGCGCGGTAGGTGCACAAGTTGAAAAAATTCGACGATGAGGTGTAGGACTCGGTAGCTCAATTGGAGAGCAACAGCACGGAACGCTGACGATTCCGGTTCAAGTTCTGCCCGAGTCGAACATTTTTTAAATTTATTTTCGATTTTTAAATTACATTATTTGATTTAAACTCACCCATACATAGCCATGACCCAGCCGGGACTGCAGTATCCGCATTGTGTTCCATCATTGTCCGCGAGAGTTTTTTGTAAAATATGGTAACCCTGTTGTTTGTTGCCGATACCTTCTATTGTGGTGATTTGCCACTTGTCGCAGGATGTCACCGAAATCAAACACTAAAGAAATTGTCATATGAAAGAATGTAAATTGTTTAAGGCTTTTACCGTTACCGTAAGGCGGTTATCGTTCAGCATAACATTGTCTTTCGGGCTGTTCGGCTCGAAGATTCTTCGAGCAATCGAGGGGTTAACATCTGATGATGCCGCCCGCACGTGATAGCGAACCGTCCAAAAACCTCTTCACGCTCACGTCGGCCGAACAGTCCGAAAGACAATGATATATAGAAAAGAATGTGTCTTTTATCCTTCAAAGAACGTCTAATATAATTTTGGTACGATGTAATAATAGAACCTTCAAGTCGACGTCTTTTACGATCATTTTTATTAATTAATGCTAAATCTACTAAATTCAAATCATATTCACCGAATTGACAGAGTGCGTACACCCATCCGGCCGAAGGACGCTGACGATGCAGGCCCCGCAACCTCCTTCCAGACACATGTACTTCGTTCCGTGGAGCTCTAGAGTATTTCGGATGTAATTCAGAAGCGAAGTGCTCGAACTTACTTCTGAACCCACTGAAATTATCATGGTTTAGTTTGCACAGCTTTACTTTTAAAAACATGCTCAATTATTAATGACTCTTCGTAAATAGGTCGTCGTCCGAAGCCAAAATTGGATACCGATAATTCATCCACTTTCTAATATGAATATATGGCTTAAGTCAAATTGTTGCTAACCCAACTAGGTGTTAATTGGGTTAACAACAATTTGACTTTAGATTAAAGAAGTGGTTCGACGTCTGTGGTCTAATAAATTATCGTTATACATTTCAATTGCATAATTCTGCAAGTGTATAATATTTTTCCCGTAATTGAAATTATTAATTGTAGTCAAGAACATTTTTAACCCAACAGATGTTTTTGAAAAATCTTCATTAAAAAAAAACACAAATCATTATTTGAAATTGTAAAATAAACTAAATTACTAACTAACGTACGAACAACTGTGTACATACGAGATTTACTTCTGTCAGTCGTCTGTCGCAAATTAGTTGAATATCAATAAATCCTGTATTTGTTCAACGCATTAGGTTGTACTCGGATGACTCACAAACTAATTTTGTCTTCCCGTGTAGGGTAAGATCTAAAGTTGAGCAAATAGTAGGATACTCACAAACAAAGCTAGGTTGATCTTTACGATATGTGATTTATGTAGTATACATCAACTTTGTTTCTCTATCCTTTCTAAAGACTTGTCTACGTTTTATTCTCTAATGTTATTATTGCCTTTAGTTATCATATTCACGAAATAATGCAATAAATTAAATTCCATGTCCTCACATATAATTAATACGAAACGATATCAGCATTATATAAGTTGTGTACGAGCGAACAGTTGAAATTAGATAAGTTAATCATTATACTGAGGTACAACCAAGTAGAAAATCGGTTAGGTTCAGTAACGTGTTAATAAACTCTCTCTAATATTACTCTACAATCGTATAAAATACAATAATGCATTTTTCATTATAAATTTTATCAATATATCTTAGTCTTGTATTCAGTCTACTAAAGAACCTAATTAGAAAATTAGTGACTTTGTACACTCGACTGTACAATAACTTTTATTGCAAGTAATAATTTTCAAATAACAATTATATTATCTTAATGACAGGCACGAGTGAGGCTCTTGCGAATAATACCGTTATATATATTTATTTATGACTTTACATCGGTTAATTTTTTATTACTAATATGTGCCATATGTAAATTGAGTTCGTATTGTTTTGCAAAATAGATTAGACAGTACTAACAGAATATAATTATGCAATAATGATCCATTTTGATGTTGCAAAGACACTACACTACTACACTATCCCTTAAATAGTGAGGTAAATCAATCTGGTTCAAATATAAACTAAAGTTTATGAATTCTAGAACAATATCGTGTTGACTTTACATCAGAATATATATGGTTGTGAATGGATTTCTGTTATTGACATCACTTTTACAAATTTTATTTGTTTGTTTGCGGTTAATGCAATTGTTTTTTTCTAAGGATATATGAAATTTAATGATGTCATTGCTTTTCCCTCTACATTTTTAAACATCACAACGAGCTACTAATTGTAGGTAAGCGGATGACGATATTGTTCAAATTGATTGGAACTAGTAATAATAAGTAGGAAATGTAATGGTGAGGAGCTATGTTTTTCTAGTTCGCCATCATCGTTCGTAAATGACAGATACGTTAATATTCTGTAATTCTATTATTATTATTACGTCATCGCGTCGTAATCAAGATTTTTTTTAACCGCTAAGTAATTGACTTTTTTATCGGTTTTTAGTGAAATAGATCTCATCCGGAGTTAATTTTTTCAAACCTAACTTGGAAAAAAAATTTGGTTGTCGCTTGGAATTAGTGCAATATAAAAATAAATAAATAAAATAATCTAAAAATATGAGAGACGGCGTGGTGAGAAGCGCCGAAATCAGTTTTCGTCAAACTTTCTAAAATTTATAGCGCATATACTATTGCAGACTCGAAACAGCAGTAAACGTGAGACCCAACATTTTCAATTCAATCACAGTTGACGAGGAATATACATATATGAGTAAGTCACAGATTTATGTTCAAAATAGTTAGGGCTTCCGAGCAGTAGGAACTCGTAACTGCATCTCTTCGTACTTCAGAACAAAGCAAAGATTTTCTATAAAAGGAAGGTTCGCTTACCGGTGCACTGTATGTCGTTCACTGTAAACGAAACCGTCGCCATGTCTATTCGATGCGAAGAATTTTAATACACTAAATGCGATCTTCATATATTTTATTAGAACGCATTCATTACAGCGAAGGTCACTTTTTATTTGTCAATTTCGCCTTTTTAATATATTTTCTGTAAATGTAACTTAACTAAATGTATGTAATGTGGTCTTTCCCGCATTACGTCCTCATATTGATTCTCTTAACTCTATTAAAGCATGATGATCAATTAACCTACACGAAGCATGTTTTACACCAATCTTGTTGAAGAATCGAGAATCGAGTTGTCCCATACCAATTCTTTGAAAATTGAATTATGTACTTGATTTGAAATTAATTAATGGTAAGATAGACTAAACAGCGGTCGACAACAGATCTTCAGTGCGATTCAGCCGGTTGCCTTTTAATGGAATCTCGGTGTGTTAAACTGCAAAGTGATTAGGCCTGTGATATCGCTGACCACTACACCACAAAATGAAGACACGTAGTTACACACTTGTATTATGAGTAGCAATTTAGCGCATGACCGAACGCGCGTTGCCCATTGTTACACGTACTAGTTATGATAAATTAATTACGATTGCTCTTCAATTTCGAAATATTGGAGAACGTAATTACGCCTTGTACTTAAAATGACTGTTAGGCGAAATTTGTCTCTAACCAAAGTCCAGACGTGTCATGAAACACTCTAGTGAAAAATAAAAAAAAAAGATTTTCATTTTTCTTGTTACAATGAATGGCTTCTATGGGTAGGTTATTGGACCAAAATTGATATAATATAAAGAGAAACCATTTATATTTGTCTGTGTGTATTCTTTCACCATTAGAAAGCTACATTCATGAGTAATATAGGCTACAATTATTGCTAGAAAAGATTAGAGATCCTTAAAACAATGCGAAAAAATCGTCGTCGCATGTGCTATTTGATGAAAAATAAAAACAAGTCTGTTTCCTATCCAAATAAATGAAATTTTTATCAATACTGTTTCATACATTTATATTACTTTTTGAAGTCAATCGAGCGGTATTATGAGTGTAAAAATATAAAATATAAACGTTGTCGCATTGTGCACGTTATTCATATATTTTCATTCATCATATTCCAAATAAATTATTTCGCATTTAAAATTGTTTTAATACAAGTCGATTGCTTTGAAGTTTTGAATTTAATTGAATTGCAGTTAAAATAAATCATAACGATATAAAATACTTAGGTTCACCCATTTCACCCCAGCTGGAAGAGACCGCTTCATATGACAAAATCTCTTTTCCTTCCAAATCTTTTTTCCTTGTTGTAGTCAATCAAGTGCTTAAGAGATGCCAACAGACGACACTGTCTACAACCATCTTAATACGCAAGTGTTAAGGTAGAAATTACATTGCGCGAGAGGAGCATGATTGTATCAATTAGTTGAAAAAATACGACGATCAAACGTAGGTTGCGGTAGCTCAATTGGCAGAGCAACAGCACGGAATGCTGACGATGCCGGTTCAAGTCCTGCCCGAGGCGAAAGATTTTTCAATCTATTTTCGATCTTTAAATTATATTGTGCCGACTACAAATTTACAATTATTGTGAAAATAAATATTTTTGTCCGCTCGATATTTATTTATTTCATTTATACCAATATCTTCGCTACAGCTCTATATATTTCATTTACCATAAATTGCTAGAAGCACTCTTTCAAAGCCAAACATAAGTATAAAGGAACAAAGAGAAAATAAGACTACTTGATAATTCTGTGGGCAAGTCATACTTAAAATTGATTTATAAGTATATAGTAGTAGTTTGATTACGGGTACTCTCAATAGGAACGAGTAAATCTATCTATTATAATTACTCGACATTTCTGTTACGGAACCCCAAACATTTTGTATAATTACTATTTAATTATTTTGTATATTAACTTCGGTTTATGATAATGTGTAACATATACTTTGCGACACAAGGCGTGCGTCACGCGTCGAGAGCGGAGAAAGACATTTTTGGTCTTGAAAAGATTTGCTCCTCGGAGAGAAGAACATGGACAGTATTAAGTTTAAAGTGAACGGCGTCGACCAATGCGGTATGTGCTTACGAAAAATTATATAAAGTACTTCTTTGTTTTCTATAAATTGACAATACACAAGCCACATCCGTTTATTGTTCTTTAGGCTTCTTACGAAAATACTTTACTACATACTATTTGCAAAAAGCTATCTGAGTGACTGAAAAGAGAACAGAAGAACTAGTGATCGATTTTAACGAAAGAAGTTAAAGCAATAAAATCGTCTCTCCGTTCCCCATTTAATTATCTCTGACGATTTCAGACAAAGTTCAATTTAATTGATTTAGTTGCACGAAAAATGTGTGAGATTTTCCTTCTGCGTGTATATTTAATGGTTTTAATAATTGGCATTAATTTTGGTTGTAATTGGATTTCAATGATTTATGAAATAACACATCTAAAAATAATTATTTGAATTTTTTTTGTTTTACATGGAAAAGAGAAACTGTACTTATTAAAATAATATAACTCGATCTTAATATAAGTACTGTCTGTAGTTTACGCGAGTACACCTCGTTTAACGGTTATTTACAATTTATTTTAATTATGGTTCGAAGTTTCTGAAGCTCGTCAATAGCCGGCCCCTCATGACATGGCGGCTGCAGTTAAAATACATTTCGTGTTCTAAACCGTTAAAAGTGATTTCCTAAAACTAAATAGACTAACTGAGACGCAGCCTATTTCAGTTGCTGGTGAAGTGAGTTCGGACGTGACATTATTGGAATACCTTCGTAGATGGATAGAGCTGCGAGGGACCAAGTACATGTGCCTGGAGGCTGGATGCGGAGCCTGCATCGTCAGTGTCGTCAAGTCTCCCGGAGCGCCACCGGAGGGTGTCAATGCTGTAAACATCAAATGACATTTTTTTTAAATATATTTTTTAAGCTTTGCAAACTGTCTTTATGACAGAAGAGGATAAAGCAGCGTGGGACTTACTCGTTGGAAGGTGAAAGTCAACTAATAAGATGTGCTATCAACATATCTCACAGACTGAAACAGGAAAGCGATGGGAATCGAATCTACGATCTGTTGATTAATATCAGTCATACATATGGACTGGACAGAGTCCGCAAAAATTTACGGCTAGGCGATTGTGTGGGTAATAATACTACTAAATTACGTAGTTGTTTAAATTTAGGCTATAATCTTGTACGCTACGTTTACACACACAGCTAGAATAAAATTCCTTTACGTGTGGTAAAGAATACAAAATTAAAAATCTTATATCTCGAAAATGATTTGAAATATCTGAGCATCGATTAATGAAGTGTGAAAATAGTAATAAGGTAAAAAGTAAAGAGATTTTCGGCAGTGCATGGTTACTGTCACGTCGTGTCACGGCTGGGAAATCACTACGATAGAGAAGATCGGCAACAGATCGGACGGGTACCATCCTCTACAGAGATCCCTGTTTGAAAACAACGGCTCTCAGTGCGGATACTGCAGCCCTGGATGGGTCATGGCTATGTACAGGTATACGTAAAAGCGGAACACCTGCCGTCGAGTAAACTTTACAAACGTCTCTCCTCTTTGCCGTGAAATGCATATTTTGTTTCAGTCTTTTGAAAAAGAAAAAGATGACGATGCTCGAAATAGAAACGTCTTTAGGCAGCAACGTCTGCAGATGTACTGGTTATCGACCGATCTTGGAAGCGTTTAAGAAGTTCGCAACCGATGCCCCTGATCCCCGCATTCTCGATATAGAAGACTTGAGTATCTGTAAGAAAGGCGGCGAACGATGCTCTAGTGATTGCGATGACTACGATTGGTGTATTGTATCCAGGGATGACGTTCAATCCGGCGTAATGCATATTAAACTGAGTGATGACAGGGACTGGTACAGGGTAAACGATATCAAGGACATATTTAATGTGTTAGCTTTGCATAAGAACAAATCCTATATGCTGGTAGCTGGCAACACTGCTAAAGGTAAAGTATTTTGGCTTTGATCTTTCGAGCTGTTTCGCACTAAAATAGGCAAAATGAATGCCTGATTATCTGTCCACATTTATCAGGTTTCGACAATATCCTTTGCAGTCTTCAATATTTTTCACATTTTATTGCACGCGATGGCAGTATATAAAAAAAAGAATTTTAAATTGAATGTTCGATCGATCGGTTTTTAATTTATATAATGCCTTCGAGTGCATGTAAAAAAAATAAGTTTTTAAAGGTTAAGCAATTCGTCTTTAATGACTTTCTTAAGCCGCAAAGCATAAGACATTGAATCTTATTACGAAACGTTAGGGTTCACAATTACATAGCGCGAAAAGTGCATGTACCAAGAGGTTGAAAAAATCGACGATTACGTATAGGACACGGTAGCTCGATTGGTTAGAGACACAGCACGGATGCCGGTTCAAGACCCGCCCGTGTCGTAATTAAACTTAAAACGATTTTTAATTTTGACAATATCTGCTAAGAGTGATGTTTATTCTAGGTGTTTATCCGATACTTGAGTACCCTCGGGTGTTAATAGATGTGTCGTCGGTGGCAGCTCTCAAAGGAAAGTACATTCAACAAAACCTAGTCATCGGAGCTGGAAACACCCTCACAGAGCTGACAGAAATCTTCGAGTCAATGCGTAAGAGAGATGACTTTGAATATCTGAAAGTCTTTGTGGACCATTTGAAGCTGGTTGCAAGTATTCCTGTTAAGAACGTGAGCAGTTTTACGAGATAAAATAAAACACTTTAACGGTTTGAAACGCGATATATTTTAGTTTTTTGAATTTCTTTTTAACTACGGCCCGACGTTTCGGATGCCTTGTTCGTTGATATAATATATATAGTTGCCTGACTGTCACGGGATTACATTCTTTGTATAATTTTGAAGTTGGATGCCGAAGCGGTTTTTATGCAAATATCTCTTGGTAATCGATTTTTATGCGATGCCGGCCATTGTTACTCGACATCGTCGTATTATCATCGACATCGTTGGAGTAAAAAAATTGTCCGATGAATGTCGAAGGTACTTGGTTATAACTAGTAACTTTACGCGAATTTCGTATGTGGAAGTTCTAGTTTCGGAGGTGAGAAGTTATGATATCAGCTGTATTTTATCAAATTAGGAAATTCGTATTTAAACTGTCTCTTTTAAACATAAATATAAGTTCTTTTTATTGTCTTTGTTTGTACAAGTGTTAACCATCTGGTCATATAAAGTCTCATTTGCTCCCTATCTATTCTAAAATTATATAAATGAAGAGTTTGTTTTATATTGTGTTTTTGTTTCTTTGTTTAAACGCGCTAATTTCAGGAAATACCGGTTCCGTTAAAAAAAATGGGAAAATTAATATTATCTTTGAAGGCTTCCATCGCTTGCGGTCCAACAATTTATGAAAGAATGATTCTTCTTTAAACAATCTAAAATATGTCCGAGGTAGTAATTATATAACTGTCCAATCTTTTAAGATTACCGTGGGTATATAGGTAGGTTGTTTGCAAAAAAGATATAATTTGATGCCCAAAATAATTACTGGTCGCGGACCATGTCGCAGTATGTACATAAAAATATGAAATGCGTTTAAGATAGCCTTTTATATTGGTTTCGATATAAAACAGGTAATTGAAGAGTAAAGATCTTCCGGAGAAGATCAAACACAAATAAAATAAAATAGTTTTGATGTAGCAATAATTTGTTTGTAAAAGAAATTTGACACAAACGCTGTTTTGACGTTCGTCACGCTTATTACACACAAATTAGAAAATTAAGGAAATAATTTATTTTAAAAATAAAAACTACTACAATATTTTTAAATCCGCAAAGTAAAGGTAGAATACTTTTCTTAGTTTTTGATTTAAAAAATAAAATAAAATATACTTTATTTTCTATAAAAAATCAAATTATAATAATTAAATTGATTTAAATTAAAAATGAATTAGTCAGGTTAGTTTGTCTGTTCGTCGTGATTCTACTGCGTGTTCAAAAGAGCAACATAACCGAGAAGAACATCCAAGAAATTTAGTCTGGCCTGTAGTACACAGTTAAGATACTAATGAGAATGATTTTAATCATATAAATAAAAAATTAACTAATATTTAATTAAACAAATATAAGTTAAATAATTCGAACCGTTACAAGTAATAACAAACGTTGACATTATTTTGTTTAAAATTAAAGGTTTAATAATAATTTCCTTCGTGTCACGATTTTTGCAGATTGGAACGATAGCCGGCAATTTAATGATAAAGAATAAACACAATGAATTCGTTTCGGATTTATTTCTCCTTCTGAATACAGTTGGCGCAGAGATAAGCATTGGTAAGTTTTAAGGATTTAAAAAACAATACAAAAACAATAATCAGAGTGACTGTTACAGCTTCCCTGCTTACTCAGTGACGTGCCCTGTAAACGAGTCCTAGCCGAAATATATAAAATTATATAGTACAGTTAATATTAGGATAAAGGTTTTCTGTTTCTATACTATACTATTTATTACGCAATCTACTGATTGCAATAGTTATAAAATAACATTAAATGAAAAATAATTTAATCAACTTACTTTTGAACTCCAACCGGCATTTTGACAATTGCAGTAGCAGAGGTGAAGTGCATATTACGCATTAAAAATGTTTTATTCAATGTGTACTTTCATAAATTACAGACGATACGCGATTAAATTCATGTGTTAATAACTGAACCTAATTTTAGTCAATGAAAACGGCTTCACGAAAAAAGTGAACATGGAAACGTTTTTGAAAGAAGACATGGACAGGAAAGTGTTACTAAATATTTTGTTACCACCACTCAACGAAGATTTTGTCAAAATAGTTACTTTTAAGGTAAGGCAAAATCAGGAAGAATATGCGTGTCCATATGGTCGTCTTTCGTGCTCACAATTGTGCAAGTCATTAATGTGATGCATTCCAGATAATGCCTCGATCGCAGAACGCGAAGGCTATCGTCCACGCCGGCTTCTTCTACAAGCTCAGTCAGTACAATAGAGTTCTACAATGTAGGATCGCTTACGGCGGTCTTTCGGGAGTTTTCTTCAGGGCGAGAAAGACGGAGAAATATCTCACTGGAAGAAAGCTGTTCGACAATGATACTTTGCAAGGAGCCGTGCGTCAGTTGGACCAAGAGATGGTGGTGGTGGAAAATCCTCCCGACATGTCAGTGGCGTATAGACGAAAGCTTGCCTTGGGTTTATTCTATAAGGTACGTAAAATAATGTTATATTTTTTCGCAATCTGTTAAGAATTATAAAAATATCCTATGATTAACCGTGTCAGCCGCCGTAGCCAAATGGTTAAACGTATTTTTTGGGTATCTTGAATCGTTCTCGCAGCGCACGCGCCGGTAACCCACAGAGATGAAAATTTTTCTGTTCGTTTTTTTACATTTCCCGCTGCTTCTTCGCTCCTATTAGTGCGATGTTTTATAGCCTTCCTCGATAAATGTTCTAACTAATACAAATGCATTTTCAATTCAAACCAGTAGTTTCTAAGATTAACGTGTTCAAACAAACAAACTCTTCAGCTTTATATATTAGTTAGTAGTTAAAACATAAGCCATTACGCTACGTCTTTGGATTTTTTATTCCTACTTCCAGGGTCTTTTATCGATATGTCCTCAAGATATTCTAGACCAGCGGTATAAGTCTGGCGTGGTGAGACTTCGGGAATCGAGAACTTTATCGAGCGGAGAACAAAGTTTCGACACGAACCCGTCTATTTGGCCGCTCAACCAGCCTTCCCCAAAATTTGACGGACTGGTAATTACGATTACGATACGATGTGTCGTTATTTTGCCATTAACGGACGATGATTAGATGGAAACCTACTATTCAACGTTCAAACCATTTCATTATTTCCAACGCAGGTACAATGCGCTGGCGAAGCACATTATTCGGAAGATGTTCCCTCGCTTCCGAGGGAAGTGTTCGCTACTTTCGTTCTGGCAACTGTTGGCTTAGGCACGATTGAAAATATTGACGCTAGTGTCGCATTGGTAAATTTTTATTTATATTTATACGATACAAATTCCTGTTCGATGAATTAAACGACTACGGATGAATTAAATTAAATGGGTACAAGAAATTTAAGCGTGAATATATTTTATGGTATTATTTTAAATAATACTTTCGTACGTTTTAAAATTGTACATTATTGAACGTAAATAAATAAAATAATTAGGAAATATTTCATACAACGAATGAATTTAATTTTTGATTTTTGATCGTGAATTTCTATTTTCCAGAACGAACCCGGTGTAATCGCCTTCTATTCTGCAAAAGATATCCCGGGCGAGAATACCTTTACTCCGGCCGGTACTACGTTTTACACGGCTAACGAAGAACTTCTCTGCGAGAAGGAAGTGAAATTCTACAACCAGCCTCTAGGCATAATCGTCGCCCAAACGCAAAAGATAGCGGAAAGAGCTGCGACATTAGTCGAAGTGACATACTCAAAAATTAGGAAGCCCGTGCTGGATATTAAAGTCACCAAACACGATCCGAAGAGAATCAAGCTGTTCAGTTCTTCGAAAGCGACGCGGACGGGTGATGATGTAGCCAAAGTGATAAAGGGCGAAATGTCAGCGTACACTCAGTACCATTTTTGCATGGAGACGTTAGTTTGCGTCTCCCATCCGACAGAGGAAGGAATCAAGTTATATTCCGCGACGCAGTGGATAGATGTAGTACAGCGCATGGTTTCTAGAGTGTTGAAGATACAGCAAAACAAGTAGATTATTTACGACCAAAAATTTTAATTATATAAGTTTGAGTTAAATTTGTAAGTATATATTATGTAATTGTTTTAGGGTAGACGTGTTTTTGCGCCGGCTCGGTGGGGCATATGGCATGAAGATATCGCGAGGAACCCAGTTGTCCATCGCTTGCGCTTTCGTGACGCACAAGCTAAACACACCGTGTCGATTCATCCAATCCCTCAGTAATAACATGAGATACGTGGGCAAAAGATTTCCTTCTTCTATAACTTTTGAGGTAACATAACTCGAAAGTTATATGTTTTTTTATTTAACTAAACTTAAGCATAATTTACAAGACGAAATGAGAGCAGACAGTGCCAATCTGTCAGCTGTCTTTTTCTGCCTTTCCTTAAACTATGAACAAACGAATTAATCGCGTTACCTGACATTTTAGACGGCGGTTAATAAGGACGGTGTTATACAAAGCAACGATTACGAGTTATTCGAGGATAACGGATATGTTGTGGACGAGCCCTTAGCAATGTTGGCGTCCGACGCTTTCAACAATTGCTATGACAAGGCGCCGTGGGATTTCCGATTGTACGACGCTACAACAGACACGCCCTCTAACACTTGGTGCAGATCGCCGGGTACTACTTTTGTTTCGTTTTCCTCTTAATAGTTTGTAATAAGTCAAGTTCAGCTTTGACGGGCTCGATGAATGGTAGCTGTATAGTTTATAGTGAATTTGGTTAACACAGCCACTAGATGGCGCTGTTTGGTTGTTTTGTCATTTTGCATCGCGGTGATAAAATGTATGGGTTATGATAGAGGGTCGCGAGTTCGATGCTCACCGGATCTATCATGTTATTAATGATTTGTATATTTTTTTACATATTGTTCATATTTGTAAATCTAGACATAAAATGAATTTAAGAAAAAAATAAATGCCATCCGGCACAAATCACCGTCCGCAGATATAAAAGCCGTGAAGTTTAATCGGTTTATGTTTCAGTCTGTGAATTTCCGAATATCCAAGGCCAACATATATATATTATTGACTATTCTGTATCAGGTTCTTTTGAAGCAGTTTCCATGTCGGAATTATTCATGGAAAGAATATCTTACGAAATGAACTTGGATCCGCTTAAAGTGCGTTTAGCTAATATAGATCGGGAAAACCACAGTGAAATACTTGAACTAATAAACACACTGAAAGAAAAATCTAATTATGAAGCGAGACGGCTCGAAGTGGAAAAGTTCAATGTGGATAATCGATGGAAGAAGCGTGGCTTGAGGCATTCCCTCCTAAGATGGACACCGGTCGGATCGCTGTATCTGCCCGTAAACATTGCCGTATACGTCGACGGTTCGGTGGTCGTGACTCACGGTGGGGTGGAAATGGGACAAGGACTAAACACAAAGGCGGCGCAGATTTGCGCATATTACTTTGGTATATCCGTAGAGAAAGTACAAGTGAAACCGAACGACACCACGATCTCACCGAATAGCTTCACATCAGGCGGTAGCCTTACATGCCAATTCGTGGGAGTCGGTATAATGAAAGGTTGCAACAAGTTTCTTGAGAAACTGGAGCCGATCAAAAAGAAGAATCCTAACGCTACGTGGGAGGAACTCATCAAAGCGGCTGCTGTCGCTGAAGTCGATTTGCAGACGCACTCTATGACGGGCATGGCAGACATACGAAACTACAATATTTACGGCGCCACCTGCGCCGAAGTAGAAGTGGACGTATTGACCGGAGAGTGGAATATTATAAGGGTCGACCTAATAGAGGACGTGGGGAGGAGTGTGAATCCTGTCGTAGACGTTGGACAGGCAAGTGGAACTGATCTAACAATCATAAACAATATATTCCTGAAGTTTAAAGTACAGAAGTTAAAGAAGTCGGGGAGTAAACTTTTAGACTTTTAGAAATAATAGAAATTACTGCAGCTATGTTTTTCTTTTCTTAAGTACAATTAAGCCAACGGCTTGGCATCTTACTTTAAAGGTACACTGTTTTAGGTCGAAGGTGCCTTTATCATGGGCTGCGGGTACTGGACGAGCGAGGAGTTGATTTGCGACCCGAAAACCGGTGAAGTCCTGACCGATCGAACTTGGACCTACTGGGTACCGCAGGCGAGAGATATACCCCAGGATTTTAGGATATATTTCAGGAAGAAATCATTTAGCACTGAATATATATTAGGAGCAAAAGGTGAATTAGTTAATATGTCATGTGAAAAGTCAAAGTACGATTACACTTTAAAATAATATGTACCTACATAATATATTTGTAGGGACCGGTGAGCCTGCGACTTGCATGGGAGTGGTGATACCAATAACAATGAGGGAAGCTATCGTCGACGCCAGGAAAGAGTCGGGACTGGCCAGTGACGTTTGGTTTCCGATAGGTATAGTTATGGTATAATATAAATTAAAAAATGACGATATTATTTTACAGACGGTTACGGTTTCAGATATAAGCTAAATAAAGCTATGAATATACTTAAAACACTAACATTATATTAGAATATTACTATGAGGTACAGCGTACAAGGAGTAAAATATTAAAAATGAAAACTGTATATTCTGTTTAGGAAGCACAACACGCACTAATCAAATATCAAAGTAATAACAATGTACAGTAAGGACAAACTAGAACAGAGAGAAAAACCATTGCAGGTTTTCAAGGTTATTGACGAATTAATTTCCGCGTGGATTGCTTAACCCGAAACCGGATCTGTGCCTCCTGATTAATTGTTATCCAACGTCTTATTATGAAATTCAAATCAAAACGAAGCAACGATTAATCTTCTTCTCTCAAATATTTATGCTTTAGTAGAACAGTGGTTGCATAGCGATACCCACGAGACCAGCTCAGGTCTCGTGGGTTTAATGGCATGGCAAAAATAAATAGTTCACTTAGGTGAGATCGCGTCAGTTACATAAAATAAAAAACAGAAGCCGTCGGTAGATTGTAATCTAGCAAATAACGTCCGGAGTTATTTAAAAAATATAAGGAAAAATAACTTAAGACTAATTTGTTTCAGATGGCCCATACACAGTGGAGAAAATTTGTCTAGCTTGCGAAACTGATGTAATAGATTTTAAATTTTATTAAGTGGGTTAATAATTATAATAATAAACTTTTATTTCAATTATAACGACTCTTGTCAAAACGACATCCACATCAACACATCGCCATTGCGGTAATCCAAGCAGAGGCCGATGCCCTCTTCGGGGCACCTAAATGCATCGTGCTAAGTACAAGAGGTTCTGGGTTCGAATTCCGGGGAAAGAATAGATTGTTTTGGTCGGACAGGGGCAGAAGTCTGATCTACTTGCCTGTCAATAGAACCAATGGTGAAACGGACACAGAAATATATTTTGCCCGTGACTCGTGAAAACAGGATTTCACTTTCTTATACGATCTTCTAAAATGATGGCTGTCACGGGTTTAAGTCCCGGCCGTAACTTTTTTTTATTCTAAAAATATTACAAACGGGGCGGCTGATTTAAAAGAAAATAAATCCAGAAGTATTTTTGTGTCTCATCCAAATTAATCGCGAAATTGTGTGTTTTGGTAACAAAGTACAAATAAATTGCTAGCGTGCTAATGTTTAATACGTAAGCTGCGTAAGAAGTAGTCTTTATATACTCCGACAGATATGAATTAATAATAGCTTAATTCTCAGACACACTTATACTATAAACATAGAGAGATTCATGTTTGAACAAACAAAATAAGATAAAAGACCGAACAACGATAATTATCATCAGAGCGAAGCGTTTAGAATAGCATCGTATATCTAAATGTATTATATTAAACAAATATATTACGATGCTTAGAACATTAGCCGCCGGTATAGTTTATAGCAACTTCTAGAATCGCGTAGCCCATCATGCAGTTCTTGTAGATATTGCTGGAACATTTTTTTAACAAGTACATATGTAAGCTTTAGATTGATAGAGCTGGGAAGGAATCCACCGCCGACAGCGAATTGTGCCGCCATCTTTTTTTCTAATAGCGGAGGACACGTAAACCGAAATGCGATTAAATATCAAGTTTATGGCCAGAGGTTCGTCACCTGATTTAATACCAGATTTCTAGACGGAGTCCAAAATGTTTCAGATAAATGATAAATTTAAAATTAGAAACACATTGTACCCCATTGTAAGTGGGGATCGCACCCCCCTTTTTATTAGCTATACATTGCTCCCATTAAATTGGAACCAACGAGCCAGTCTCTACCAATTGCACTATCGTGATGTGCCCACCCATGTTCACCCTAATGGTTGTGAATTGGAACTTAATAATGGGGTCACCTTTTTAAATTACCTAGTTAAGTTTGTGTCAAAGTTTGTATACCTACTTAAAATTACAGCATACACTAGGTAACGTCGCGAACCACACTTACTGTTGGGATACGTATATTAAAATTATTCTATCTATACTGATCTTATTATTGAGCGCCCAAATACGCACTCCGTTGTGAAACTGGCTTTATCACATTCGCGAAGTGAGGAATCGAAAGCAGCTCAGCTCAGTCGGTGAGCACGTAGGTTGAGTGGTGGAAGCGCTTCGTGCCATGGACAGGGTTAAGTTTAAGGTGAACGGAGTCGAGAGAACAGGTGCGTATTTAGAGTTAGCCCAATTTATAATAATAATAAAAAATGGGTAAAGCTGTTCGTAATTTGAAGCACTAAGATAATTCTTAAGAAGAAAGATATGAAATTTCTGAAAATATCTAAAAACGATGCTAAGAGCTAATTTTAGTTAATACAATAATATTAATTTCATGTTTTGTGGATTTTGGGGCGATTATATCGATACTTTATATGAATGTTTTCAATAATCAATCCATTATTTCAATAAAACACTTTAACGTTTTAAAACGCGATATATTAGTCTCCCCGTGACCATGGCTGCTGCAAAGCATCCGAAACGTCGGGGGGGAGTTAAAAATCATTTTCAAATATAACTAATATATCGCGTTTTAAGCCGTTAAAGTGTTTTATTTAAATGTGTACTACTCGCGTAAACTATAGACAATATTTAACCCATTGTTTGTCAAAATTGTGTTAGCTTTAGGTATTTACTAATTTTACAATCACCCTTGCGTGCCTTACAACACCAAAACGAGTAAGCGTGAAGCGATCGTGGAATTATAAAAAATGTATGGTCAGGCTTCTAATGAACTGTATATATAAAATAAGCGTATTTTTTGTTACGTCAATAAATTACAATCGCTTTTTGCGTGACACTTAAAAGCATGAATATTTTTTTAATAATGTTGAAGTAAATATACTGTATATTACCAATGTTAGGCCTCGCCTAGCGTAATCACTGGAAATGTTACTCAATTGTGGATGTAAATAATTGGATTCCTTTGAATTATTAAATATATTCGCGGAATGTTCATGTTTTAATACTGAGTCTGATGATTTATATAAATATAATGTTACAACCCAATTGCAAAAATTATTGAAACACCTTAACTTTTACCGACAAATAATCGAGTCCATATGGCTATAGTGTGCATTTTGACAACTGAATTAAGTATGTCGAATTATTTTTTAAAATTCTCCATAAGTCCTTCTACGTCCCTAAGGCTAAAGTGTCAACGACGTCGTGTGACCATTTGTGATTTTCAATACAATATTGTTTTAATTTGAAAACACCTGTCAATTTGAATTAGACAATAAACAGCTCTACTTGTCAAACGGCAACGACGGCCTTGTATATTTAAACTCTCCACACGTATGCCTATAATACCTCCAAGTAACTATTCACATGTCTCACAAAGAATATTGAGATGATATAATAATTATATATAATAACTATAATATAATATCTCTTATTATTAAGTATATGTTCTTATTATTAATGAGAAAAGTAAAAAGAACTGGTCAAAAATGTAATAATATGAAAGATGCTAGTGATTACATTGGTGTCGCATACAAAGTCGAACAAGTCTATTTTATTGACATAAGTGCGGGTAGCTGTGAAATTGTAATCCAAATGTGAAGCTTTTTTAACCTTAGGCGTATTGATCCCACGAGTCTAAAACCAATAGTTTTCGACCAGAGTCGGCCGCAAAGGCTTTGTTCTGAAGAAATAATAAAACCTATTCTCATATTATCAATAGATGACATAATAAGTCATCGTTATATTTTTTAATCAGGAAAAAACGACACATTTTTTAGATACCGATCTTGACATGCAATGACAAGGACAATATACAGAGTCAAAAAAGTGACTTAGACCGGTTAGTTAGGAGCTCGAGGGCTTAATTTTGACCGGCACTCGTGCCATTGTAGGTCATTCGTGAAAGGAACTTTTTAATGTTATGTTAAAACAGTAAGAATTACAGTTAGGTAATGAGCGAAATATGATCTCACTCGTAACTCAACGTAATGTACATTTAATTTTTTAACTCGCTGCAGCCGTCATTTTAACCGCTTCGGCATTTTATATAAACTACAGTATAGGAAATCAAGTTTTGATACATTTTACCATAATAAAAGTGTTATATACATTAATATAATAACGAATCCAAGATCTCAAACGACACTTACATACAAATGACTTATTATTACTGAGATTGTCTGATTTGTGAACATTACGAAAGCAACCAAGCGAGAGATAACGTATATATTTTATATTTTTAAATTTATGCCTCTTTGTGACGCTCATTAAATCATTTTTTCTTATTTCTGTACCAAGACAGCTGGTGACTAAATAAAAATCTTATGATTGTTTAAAATGCGCGAGACATAATTCTAACTGGTTTACTAATATTACACGTTGCGTCTTTTTTTAGTGAGAATGAAAATTCTTTTACGCGTTGAGTGGACTTCTAGGACATTGGATTTTCTGTTTGACAGTCTTGCTTTACTAGAGAGGTATTACCCACTACAAACGATCTCACTAGGCCGCCATTACCGCATAATGGGGTCCCCGGAATAGGACTGTGCTATTCATTCCTGAGACCCAGCGGATAATGAACACCAGACTTTCAGGTCTGATGAGTTCCTAGAAGGTTAAACCTCCTTCTTCACACCCCTCCTCTCCTAGCCCTCATAGGATTTGCGGCGTCAGTCTCTCGCTCGGTCATATCAGTGACTCGTTCATAAAATCGAGTCACTGATATGATGAATGATGTCTGGCAGGTCCAGACAATACCCAACTACTAACTGGAGATTGTGCCACTCCCTTCACCAGTAAACACACTCCTCTTGCATGTGTTGAGCCGTATCTTCTTCTTTTTCTTTCCTTCCAAGTACCGCCCAAAGCACTTATGCCCAAGTAGGAAAACGTTGCGTCTAACTGAACTTTATTTATTACTGAAAGAAAGATTCATTACCGAAGAGTACATCTTCGCGGAACTTTTGACGAAACGAAGCACAGAAGGACAAAAATCTGTATACAGTTCGTATTCTTATACCGCTTACTATACAGACGGTCTCTACTGCTATTTTATAGCTATTTGATGTTCATACATACCGAACTGATGATAATAGTTTTGGGATCGTTTCAGTCGGCTGCGAGGTGAGCTCACATGTTACGCTACTTGATTACCTTCGACGATGGCTCGAGCTACGAGGGACGAAGTACATGTGCCAGGAGGCTGGTTGCGGCGCTTGCATCGTCAGCGTCGTTAAGAGTCAAGGAGCCCCAGTGGAAGGGGTGAACGCTGTAAGTATTCTAACTTTCTTTTACTTCAACACTAACGCTTAACTCAAATTGCTATTCTAACAACAGTGCATGGTATCCGTGACGTCATGCCACGGATGGGACATCACCACGATAGAGAAAATTGGCAACAGGTTGGATGGATACCACCCGCTGCAGAAGAGCCTTTACGAGAACAACGGCACTCAATGTGGGTACTGCAGCCCGGGATGGATCATGGCTATGTACAGGTAATTATTATCTACGTCGCATTTTACCATCTCGTAAATCATCTTATTTCAAATGTGGGTAAACGATTATTTATTACCAGAAGACTGTACAAAATTGATATTGCTTTTTCCAGCCTCTTAAAGAAAAAGAAAATGACGATGTTGGAAATTGAGCAGTCCTTAGGTAGCAATATCTGCAGATGCACTGGCTACAGACCGATTTTGGATGCGTTCAAAAAATTCGCTGCCGATTGCCCAGAGCCGTATCACGTCATAGATATTGAAGACTTGAGCATTTGCAAGAAGAGTGGTGAAACCTGTTCCAAAGATTGCGATGACTTCGAGTGGTGCATGGTATCTAAAGAAGACGTAAAACAACCGACTGTGCTACACATTAGGCTCAGCGATAATAGAGACTGGTACAGAGTTGAAGATGTTGTCGATATTTTTAGGATTTTGAATATACACGGTACAGACTCTTACATGCTTATAGCTGGGAACACCGCTAAAGGTAATGAAACTCATTCAAAGGGCACTCACTCTCTTGTACAAAGTCCTTTCACTCTCAAAATAAGTGAATCAAATTTCAAATTTCAATTTGGTTAAGCCTTCACGGCTGTTTTAATTGATTTTAATGTAAACTATGTCTAACAAGTTCTTAGAGTTTAAAAAATGGTAAACTTCTTCAAAATCTTCAAAACATAACTTTTGTTGTCCAGGTGTTTATCCGATTCTCGAATATCCTCGAGTTCTAATAGATGTGTCCGCTGTACCGTCCCTCAAGGGCTACTTCTTGCAACAGAACTTGGTGATCGGGGCTGGAAATACCCTTACGGAGTTACTGGAAATCTTTGACACGATGTGCAAGAAGGATAATTTTGAGTATCTAAATGTGTTTATAGAGCATCTAAAGCTAGTTGCGCATATCCCGTTGAAAAATGTTAGTACTGTGCCATAATTAAGACCTATGCTTGATATTTTGAACTGAGAGATAACTAGGTAAATTTTAAATGTTTTATTTTCGACGTTTCGGGAAATTAATTCTTCGAGCAATCGAGGAGGCTGAACAGCCCGAAAAACCATGATATACGATAACCGTGAAAGCCTTACACATTTTACGTAAATTCTGTTGCAGATCGGCACAATCGCTGGCAATTTGATGATTAAAAACAAGCACAAAGAATTCAGTTCTGATATTTTTTTACTTCTAAATACGGTTGGGGCAGAACTCGCTATAAGTAAGTGAATTGTGATAGAATTTAAATTTTTGATCGATAGTGGATTATAAGTTTTTGTCGAATATTACCTAATTTTGTTTTTCCTTAGTAATGCTAGGATGTCCGCATTAGATCTTCACAGTTTTGCGCACTGAGTAAATGTATTACAATTACGTTATTAAGTGTATAGTGAATGATTTGACTTTGACGAGTTCTGTACTATAAATTCCACTACCTACTACTACGCGACTAAGCAATATTCGCTAAAACTAATAAATTCAAATGTTCAAGTTTTGTTACCTCAGTTTGAAAGTTTCCTTTAAAAGGTTGTAATTTTAAAATAACAATAAATGTTTATTACAAAAAAACACTTATCAAGAAGCATTTAAATAAAACCCTAGTTTTTTTTCTTCAGTGAATAGCTCAGGAGCTGTAAACAGAGTGAACATGAACGATTTTCTCAAATTGGATATGAGGGGAAAAGTTTTAATGAATATACTTTTGCCGCCACTTAATAACAATTATATTAAAATTGTCACTTACAAGGTGAGTCTGTGTACACTTCTTACGTGGTCGTACTACTTGAAGTTGTCTTGTAATATGATACAAACTAATAAGATAGAAGTTTGGATTTATACTAAATACATACAGAAACATTATTTATACAATTTCAGATAATGCCACGATCTCAAAGCGCTCACGCAATTGTGCACGCCGGTTTTACTTATAAGATCAACGAGGGCAGGGTCCTGGACTGTAGGATAGCTTATGGTGGTTTGTCGCCAGACTTCACCAGAGCTCTCAGAACAGAAAGGTACCTCATCGGGCGGAACCTCTTCAACAATGAAACCTTGCAAGGAGCTATAGCAGTCTTAGATCAAGAGATGGTTGTCGACGATAATCCACCGGAAAAGTCAGTGCCGTATAGACGGAAATTGGCTCTAGGTCTATTTTATAAGGTTTCACTTTTTTATTTTAATTGTCTCTCTTAAAACCAGAAGCACAGAGGTAACTTAAAGATTTGTTATAGTTTTTGTAATCAAAATTCTTCTAATTATTTCAGGGTCTTTTATCAATATGTCCGCCAGAGGTCGTATCTCCTCGATACAGATCAGCCCCAATTAAGCTTCGGGACGCGAGGACTTTGTCTGATGGAAGACAAATTTTTGATACAAACCCCACTCTTTGGCCTCTGAATAAACCTTCACCAAAATTTGACGGACTGGTAATTTAGTTTACTTATTATTATAGAGCAACAGAACGGAACGCTGACGATGCCGGTTCAAGTCATACCCGAGTCGAAAATTACTTATTATTTTTCTCTTAAAATTGTTTAAATAATAATAATAAAAATAATTAACTTAAAAGTTGCTCACAAAAATAAAGCTATGAACTAAGATTAACTTATACATATTATACAAAATATACAAGGCCTTAAAAAAGAACTATGGCAACTCCTAAAACAGGATCAACTCAGCATAATGTTACAAACATACTTGTGTTGCAACACTGATTTTCAGTGGCCCCTGGCTTGATAGCTGCTGGAAAAACAAAATATATGTGATTTGTAAAAATAAATATGTGTTTTATAAGGCGTTGTGTAAAATAGAAATAGGCTCTACATTAGATAGCTATTGTGCGCTGTACGCCACAACTGATAGTTACTTTTATCAAATCTTGGTAAATCACAGATCCAATGTGCGGGCGAAGCTAAATATTCTGAAGACGTTCCATCCTTTCCAAAGGAGGTGTTTGCAGCATTCGTCCTTGCTTCAGTCGGTCTAGGAACTATTCAACAGATAGATGCAAGTGTAGCATTGGTAAGTCCGTTTTGATTACGTACGTAGGTGTCTTAGAAAACATCGCATAAATTTTAAACATCAATTTCAGAATGAACCCGGTGTTATTGCATTCTATAAAGCTTCTGATATCCCGGGAACAAATAGTTTTACACCGGGAGGTAGCCCATTCTTTTTAGCAAACGAAGAAATTCTTTGTGAGAAAGAAGTAAAATTTTATAACCAACCACTTGGAATCATAGTTGCAGAAACACAACACGCAGCCGATAAAGGTGCAGTGTTGGTTAAAGTGACTTACAGGAATGTAAGAAAACCAGAGATAGATATTAAGAAAACTAAGAAGGACCCCAAGAGGATTTCATTGTTCTCTACAATTCCAGCGACTAAACGAGGGAACGAGGTTGCAAAAGTGATAAACGGAGAAATGACGATATATTCGCAATATCACTTTTGCATGGAGACGTTAGTTTGCGTTTCTCATCCGACCGAAGAAGGAATAAAGTTATATTCAACGACGCAATGGATAGATTCAGTGCAGCGAATGGTCGCGAGAGCGTTAAAAATTCCACAAAACAAGTATGTGAAATTAAAATATCAAATTCATGAATTTGTGAAAAAATATACTAAAGCAATAATTTTGTGATATTTGCTCTTGAAGAATAAAGGTAGAATTTTTAATACATCTGCTTAATCATGTTATACGTTTGGAAATTATTAAGAAAGTTACAAAATTTAACAACAATATTACAAAATGTAACATAGGCCTATTACTACGAGAATAAAATGGTAATATGATTTATATATATATATATAGCTGTTAAGTTAGTATGACAAAAAGTCATAGAATCATATTTTCGTGAAAATATTGTATGATAAAAGCAATTATAATTTTATTTCATTGTGTAAGGCTTTCACGGCTATCGTTCAGCATATCATTGTCTTTCGGGCTGTTCGGCCATTAAGAAGAGGTTCTCGACGTTTTGCCGTCACGTGTGGACAGCATCATCAGGAGAAGTTAACTCCTTGATTGCTCGAAGAATTATGAGTTGTCCGCCGCGGTCTCAGATTATATACACTTTGACAAGCGCGGATTGTAGTGGAGTAGTGGGCGTGGTCTCGTCATTACTCATAGAAGTCTCACCGGCCCGCCGCGATCTAAGGTTATATGTATTTAGACCCGGTCGCATATCGGCGGTTTGTTGTGTGTTATTCTGTGAAGTGTATATATGAAGTGTGTATGGTATTTCGCAGAATTGGAACCCATGTTTTGTTAATTTTTAGAGATTCCTCGGATCTATTAAAATTCAGTTCATGTTTATGAATCTCTATCGCCTCTCTGTATAGTCTGGGGTAAAAAGTGCGATTAGAACATAATAATTAAGTATTTTCGAAAATTATTCCATGATTGTCGTTATTTAAAGTATGGTCCGCAACCGCAGATTTGTCCGTATGTCCCAAGCGGCAATTAGCTTTATGTTATTTAATTCTCGTATTCACAGAACGCTTAGTGGTACCAATATATACTTCCCCACAAGTGCACGGGATACGGTATACGCCTGAGGATGATAATGGGTCCCTTTTGTCCTTTGCAGATACCAAGTAATTTTCAATATCTTTGTTGGTGTAAAGATTGTTTTAATTGTTCTATGTACATACACAAATCATCGTGTTTACGACGAGTAAAAATAGAAATCGATGGTATGGCTATGGATGGATGGTTTTTGCCATTGACTTTTTATTGTCCAGAAACGGCGATATAAACTCTTATGTGATAATCATTTTAAAGAAGTCACAAAATAATGGGACTTCTTTGTAAACATTGTTCTAGAAAAATGTTATTATTTTTTTAGAATTGACGTATTTCTCCGCCGCCTCGGCGGTGCTTACGGAATGAAAATATCTAGGGGGACGCAAGCATCAGTTGCCTGCGCCTTCGTAACACACAAACTTAACCGACCTTGTCGATTTATTCAATCGCTCAAAAATAACATGAGATACGTTGGGAAGAGGTTCCCTTGTTCAATTAACTTTGAGGTAAATACGAAATATTCTATAAATCATCATATTAGAAGAAATTTTGCAGTGTTTTTAAATTAATTAAACTCTAGTTTGCAGTTAACAGTGAAGGAGTCATACAATATAACAATTATGAATTATTCGAAGACAATGGATACGTGGTGGATGAACCTATCGCCATTTTAGGAGCCGACGTCTTTAACAACTGTTATGACAATTCGAGTTGGGAGTACAAACTCTACAATGCTACGACAGACACGCCATCAAACACTTGGTGTAGGTCACCTGGTACGCACACAAATTATTACTTAGTTAATTTGCATTATATTAACATAATTATTTAATGTTATTGAAAAATACCTCAATATTTATGATAAGACATTTTTTTTTTATTTCAGGCTCTTTAGAAGTTATTGCAATGGCTGAATGGTTAATGGAAAGGATCTCGTATGAGATGAACTTGGATCCTCTGAGTGTACGTCTCGCTAATTTAGACAGAGATAATCATAATGACATAAATGAATTGATAAACACATTAAAGCAAAACTCTCAGTTTGAAGAACGACGGCTCGCTGTCAAAGAATTTAATTCTGCAAACAGATGGAAGAAACGAGGCATCAGACATTCACTTTTAAGGTGGACACCCGTTGGATCATTATACCTCACCATAAATATTGCTGTTTATGCTGATGATGGTACCGTTATTCTAACTCATGGCGGTGTTGAAATGGGACAAGGAGTCAACACAAAAGCAGCGCAAATTTGCGCTTATTATCTAAAAATACCAGTTGAAAAAGTTCAAGTAAAACCTAATGATACCACTATATCACCCAACTGTTTTGTGTCTGGAGGTAGTATAACGTCTCAATTTGTCGGTGTTGGTATACAAAAATGTTGTCAAGAGTTACTGAGGAAGTTAGAACCTATCAGAAACAAAATGGAAAATCCTACTTGGGAGGCGTTAATAAAATCTGCTGGAGAAGCAGAAGTGGATCTACAAACTCACTCTGTGACTGGAATGACTGATGTACGAAATTATCATGTGTATGGGGTGACGTGTGCTGAAGTAGAAATCGATGTACTGACTGGGGAATGGAACATAATAAGAGTGGACCTGATAGAGGATGTTGGACGCAGTGTAAACCCTGAAATTGATATTGGTCAGGTAAATAAAAGTGTCAAGTATTCATAATTAACTTTCTAGGTATAGAAGACAAAAAATATGTTATTGTTCCAGGTGGAAGGTGCCTTTGTTATGGGCTGTGGGTACTGGACAACAGAAGAATTGGTGTTCAACAAGAACACGGGAGAACTTTTAACGGATCGAAGCTGGCACTATTGGGTGCCTCAGGCGAGGGATATACCGCAAGACTTTAGGATATACTTTAGGAAGAAGTCTTTTAGTACCGAATATATTTTAGGATCAAAAGGTATCTTTAAGGCAAGATATTGTATAATTTTAGTTAATCGAGTACGATAGTTTTTTTGTGGAATCAAATTCTTTTAATGTCTGTTTGTGATTCAAAGTGGACATGCTAATAACTTATTTCAGCAACTGGTGAGCCTGCGACTTGCATGGGAGTAGTGATACCAATAACAATGAGGGAAGCTATCGTCGACGCCAGGAAAGAGTCGGGACTGCCCAGTGACATTTGGTTTTTAATAGGTACAAATATTGTATGATATAACAAAAGAATGTCAATTGTCGTTTACAGCAGACATTTAATGCGTACCACTCTTTAAGTTTAAAAATAGTACATTACTGCAACGGCCGGTTAGTTTGGCATTGATGGACGAATGTGTGAATTTGCGCCGAGCCGATACACATACGTAAGTCCATCAAAGCCTAGTTGAGACGAAGGCTTGACGAAGAATTAAAACTCAGTAGTACAATTCAGAACTTTTACTACGACTGGGACGATATCGATAGTTTTTTACACGCCAAAGTATTTTGTTTTTCACTAAACCGCTTTCTTTATGAAACCCACTTCGAAATTTAAATAAAACTTTCGGTAAGTTACCTTTTTGGTCGATTTGCTAATCTCAGGAACTTGGGGTTCGAATTGAAAGATTCTGTTAATGTTGGTTAGAGCATTTATCGAGAAAGGCTCTAGTGCTCTGTGACTGAGACGCAAGAAAATGAGAAATAAAAAAAATCCTGCAACTTCGATCCCAAAAATATAAATAAAATTCATAATTCCTCCCTAAATTATCAAAAAAAAAGTCCTCGGCATGTCTATCTTTTAAGATTAACTTGCAAGAACGACGGGAAGGGACGCGACCGACGTCGTGGGTAAAAGTTTATAAAGATGAAGTGGTTTGTAAAATCGAATTTCACGGTCGAAGTCGCTGACACGGCTAGTATAAGACAACTTAATTTAGATATTTAATATTTTGTTTCAGATGGCCCTTACACAGTGGAGGAAATTTGTCTAGCTTGCGAAACTGATGTAAAAGATTTCAAATTTTATTAGGCGGGTAAATAAATAGATAAAATAGAATAAAGAAATAAACTCTTTTTTTTTAATTTTGGCGATTTCTGCCGCCGCACATTGCGATAACTCAAGTCGAGGCCGATACCCCCTTCGGGCGTCCTCGGTCTGTCCGCAAACACAGTGAGCTGCGCTAACTACGCGTAATCATTTTTTTTTACGAAATACATATAATGACTATTATTTACATTTCCCTTAAACTTCTACGGATTGTCTTGTTGTTTCAGCCGGACAGGGCACAGAGGTCTGATCAATTATGTGCCTGTAAATGAAACAAACCACCCATATCATTGATTTGACAGTCATCATTAGACTTATGAATCCTAAACTAATGTTTTTCATCCAAATTTATCACAAAATTTCTCATAGAGATGTAAAAACCAATAATAGTCAATCATAGAGAGGTTCATTGTTTGAACAAAATAATATAGGATAATACATCCGAGTCAAGTTACAAATATTTATATACACATTTAACAGAAGCGATTAAAATAGCAGCGTAATTCTAAAACTCTAATATTTGTTGCATGTTATTGCACGTGATGGCACTATAATTTAAAAATTGAAAACATTTTCGACGCGGGCAGGACTTGAACTGGAACCGTCGGCGATCCGTGCTCTTGCTCTACCAATTAAGATACCGACTCCAACACCACACTGTCGATTTTTTTTCAACTTATTCATACATGTACTTCTCGCGCATGCACCGATTTCGATTTTTGAATGTAATTCTAATTTTATTAACTTATATGATGCACAGAATGTTATTTTATGTGCGACTTCAAGAATCGTCTATCCCTTCATGTTTTTCTTGTAGATATAGCTATAACATATATATAATATTTTTAAAGGAACACATGCAAACGTTAGGTTGATACATTGCTCCTATTAAACTAACGAGTCCAACTCTACCAATTGAGCTATCGTATTACCGACTAGGGTTGTAACCGTTCATCGAAACTGAAGGCGAATTCGAAGATTTTTAATTTGATTTATCGGAATCGGAGTTGGAGGTAAGAAGTGGTGGCATGCGAAATAATTTTTTATCAAGGACAATTAAAACACTATTAAGCCAATTTTTACATTGTACTTTTTTAGTTATAATAAAAGCAAACTAATTAAATAAATTGTCGTATTGTAAATATACAGGATATCTTAGAACATTGCTTGACCCCCGGGTCCCCCCTTTGGTGGGGGGTTTTTTTTTTTCGGGGGGGGGGGGGGGGGCGGGGGGTCCCCCCCCCCCCCCCCCCGCCGCGGCGTTTTTTTGGGGGGGGGGGGGGGGGGGGGGCCCCCCCCCCCCCCCCCCCCCCCCCCCCCCCCCCCCCCCCCCGGGGGGGGCCCCCCCCCCCCCCCCCCCCCCCCCCCCCCCCCCCCCCCCCCCCCCCCCCCCCCCCCCCCCCCCCCCCCCCTTTTTTTTTTTTTTGGGGGGGGGGGGGACACCCCCCCCCCCCCCCCCCCCCCCCCCCCCCCCCCGCTTCCCCCGGGGGGGGGGGGGGGCCCCCCCCCCCCCCCCCCCCCCCCCCCCCCCTTTTTTTGGTTGCCCCCCCCCCCCCCCCCCCCCCCCCCCCCCCCCCCCCCCCTCCTTTTTTGGGGTCGCCCCCCCCCCCCCCCCCCCCCCCCCCCCCCCGGGGTTTTGGGGGGGTCCGCCGGGGCCCCCCCCCCCCCCCCCCCCCCCCCCCCCCCCCCCCCCCCCCCCCCCCCCCCCCCCCCCCCCCCCCCCCCCCCCCCCCCCCCCCCCCCCCCCCCCCCCCCGGGGGGGTGGGGTGGTTGGGGGGGGCCCCCCCCCCCCCCCCCCCCCCCCCCCCCCCCCCCCCCCCCCCCCCCCCCCCCCCCCCCCCCCCCCCCCCCCCCCCCCCCCCCCCCCCCCCCCCCCCCCCCCCTTCGGCGCGGGGGGGGGGGGGGGGGGCCCCCCCCCCCCCCCCCCCCCCCCCCCCCCCCCCCCCCCCCCCCCCCCCCCCCCCCCCCCCCCCTCTTTTTCCCCCCCCCCCCCCCCCCCCCCCCCCCCCCCCCCCCCCCCCCCCCCCCCCCCCCCCCCCCCCCCCCCCCCCCCCCCCCCCCCCCCCCCCCCCCCTCTTTTTTTCTCTCCTCTCCCGGGGGGGGTGGGTTTTTTTTTTTTTTCCCTTCTTTCTCCCCCCCCCCCCCCCCCCCCCCCCCCCCCCCCCCCCCCCCCCCCCCCCCCCCCCCCCCCCCCCCCCCCCCCCCCCCCCCCCCCCCCCCCCCCCCCCCCCCCCCCCCCCCCCCCCCGCCCCCCCCCCCCCCCCCCCCCCCCCCCCCCCCCCCGGGGGGGGGGGGGGGGGGGGGGGGGGGGGGGGGGGGGGGGCCCCCCCCCCCCCCCCCCCCCCCCCCCCCCCCCCCCCCCCCCCCCCCCCCCCCCCCCCGGTGCTGTGTTTTTTTTTTTTTTTTTTTTTTTTGTTTGGGGGGGGGGGGGGGGGGGGGGGGGGGGGTTGTGTGTGTTTGGATAATATATCGCGTTTTAATTAAGTGTTTTATTTAATATAAGCCAAGTTTTTACATTGTACTTTTTTAGTTATAATAAAAGCAAACAATGAAATAAATTGTCGTATTGCTAAATATACAGGATACTAAAATAAAAATATTTAAACCCTAAATACACAAAACCAAATCACTTATACTAATAAATAAAGATGAAGAGTTTGTTTGAATGCGCTAATCTCAGGTACTACAGGTCGGATTTGAAAAATTATTTTTGTGTTGGTTAGAGTATTTATCAAAGAAGGCTTTAGGCTAGAAAACATCATGCTGCTCCTAATGAGCACATAAATAGTGGGAATTGTGGAAAAAACGAGAAAACTATTGCGTGCGCTGCACTCCTCTTTAAATAATAAAAAAAAATATCGACAACACTATAATCTTTTAAGATTAAGCGAAGCTAGCTAACAGGCTAAGCAGCCAGGTAAGCTAATTTATAATGAGCCGTAAAGATCAAAATATATTTCTACAATTTATTAACGTGTCGACGGCGTAGCAAATTGACAAGTGGATTTGAATTGACAAGGATTCCCCGCGCGGCATGTATGTATGTACCCGTTCATAACAATCGACAAAGATCGCCGCCACCGCTACGTTTTGTTTAGAGCTGGATTTAAAAGTTTTGGAACCGACTATAAAATAATCATCGGAAGTTCGGAGTCGAAGCTGCGTAACATCCCTGTTACTGACAATATTCACCCATATGTAAATTAGAACTTAATACATGGGTCGCCAAAGTATCTCCAGCTACTGTTGGTAGCGGATTCGATACCCGTTCTATTTTTTGAATTCCCAAGTTAAATTTGTGGCTGAAGAAGGTGCAACGTTTGTAAACCTAGTAAAAGATTACAGTATACCCTAGGTAACGTAGTAAGGCACAATAATTATTGTTGTGAAATACATGTTCTTGGGATACCTATATTAAAATTATTCTATCTATACTGATCTTATTATTGAGCGCCCAAATACGCACTCCGTTGTGGAATTGGCTTTATCATATTCGCGAAGTGAGGAATCGAAAGCAGCTCAGCTCAGTCGGTGAGCACGTAGGTTGAGTGGTGGAAGCGCTTCGTGCCATGGACAGGGTTAAGTTTAAGGTGAACGGAGTCGAGAGAACAGGTGCGTATTCGATATTAAGCATTCTTTAGTATTATATTTAGTGTTAGGACAATGTATAGTAATAAAAAAAGGGTAAAGCTCTTCGTAAGCGCAAATCTTGACGACAGCTAAACCTTAAATATTCTTTGATTAAATATTCGTTGAAGTACCTACTAAGATATATCTTACGAATTAACTAAAATGTCTTTCTATATAAATAATGAAAAGTTCAGGTTAACTTTAATACAATAATATGAAATGCGGTTTAGTGATTTGTCAAAAATATAAACTTCATTTACTAGAATAAATATAAAATAAATTGGTACTATAGTTTAGAATGAAACTGTGGTAATTAGTTGTAAGTTGTAAATTGTTGATGATAATAGTTTTGGGATCGTTTCAGTTGGCTGCGAGGTGAGCTCACATGTTACGTTACTTGATTACCTTCGACGATGGCTCGAGCTACGAGGGACAAAGTACATGTGCCAGGAAGCTGGTTGCGGCGCTTGCATCGTCAGCGTCGTTAAGAGTCAAGGAGCCCCAGTGGAAGGGGTGAACGCTGTAAGTATTCTAACTTTCTTTTACTTCAACACTAACGCTTAACTCAAATTGCTATTCTAACAACAGTGCATGGTATCCGTGACGTCATGCCACGGATGGGACATCACCACGATAGAGAAAATTGGCAACAGGTTGGATGGATACCACCCGCTGCAGAAGAGCCTTTACGAGAACAACGGCACTCAATGTGGGTACTGCAGCCCGGGATGGATCATGGCTATGTACAGGTAATTATTATCTACGTCGCATTTTACCATCTCGTAAATCATCTTATTTCAAATGTGGGTAAACGATTATTTATTACCAGAAGACTGTACAAAATTGATATTGCTTTTTCCAGCCTCTTAAAGAAAAAGAAAATGACGATGTTGGAAATTGAGCAGTCCTTAGGTAGCAATATCTGCAGATGCACTGGCTACAGACCGATTTTGGATGCGTTCAAAAAATTCGCTGCCGATTGCCCAGAGCCGTATCACGTCATAGATATTGAAGACTTGAGCATTTGCAAGAAGAGTGGTGAAACCTGTTCCAAAGATTGCGATGACTTCGAGTGGTGCATGGTATCTAAAGAAGACGTAAAACAACCGACTGTGCTACACATTAGGCTCAGCGATAATAGAGACTGGTACAGAGTTGAAGATGTTGTCGATATTTTTAGGATTTTGAATATACACGGTACAGACTCTTACATGCTTATAGCTGGGAACACCGCTAAAGGTAATGAAACTCATTCAAAGGGCACTCACTCTCTTGTACAAAGTCCTTTCACTCTCAAAATAAGTGAATCAAATTTCAAATTTCAATTTGGTTAAGCCTTCACGGCTGTTTTAATTGATTTTAATGTAAACTATGTCTAACAAGTTCTTAGAGTTTAAAAAATGGTAAACTTCTTCAAAATCTTCAAAACATAACTTTTGTTGTCCAGGTGTTTATCCGATTCTCGAATATCCTCGAGTTCTAATAGATGTGTCCGCTGTACCGTCCCTCAAGGGCTACTTCTTGCAACAGAACTTGGTGATCGGGGCTGGAAATACCCTTACGGAGTTACTGGAAATCTTTGACACGATGTGCAAGAAGGATAATTTTGAGTATCTAAATGTGTTTATAGAGCATCTAAAGCTAGTTGCGCATATCCCGTTGAAAAATGTTAGTACTGTGCCATAATTAAGACCTATGCTTGATATTTTGAACTGAGAGATAACTAGGTAAATTTTATATGATTTTTTTTCGACGTTTCGGGAAATTAATTCTTCGAGCAATCGAGGAGGCTGAACAGCCCGAAAAACCATGATATACGATAACCGTGAAAGCCTTACACATTTTACGTAAATTCTGTTGCAGATCGGCACAATCGCTGGCAATTTGATGATTAAAAACAAGCACAAAGAATTCAGTTCTGATATTTTTTTACTTCTAAATACGGTTGGGGCAGAACTCGCTATAAGTAAGTGAATTGTGATAGAATTTAAATTTTTGATCGATAGTGGATTATAAGTTTTTGTCGAATATTACCTAATTTTGTTTTTCCTTAGTAATGCTAGGATGTCCGCATTAGATCTTCACAGTTTTGCGCACTGAGTAAATGTATTACAATTACGTTATTAAGTGTATAGTGAATGATTTGACTTTGACGAGTTCTGTACTATAAATTCCACTACCTACTACTACGCGACTAAGCAATATTCGCTAAAACTAATAAATTCAAATGTTCAAGTTTTGTTACCTCAGTTTGAAAGTTTCCTTTAAAAGGTTGTAATTTTAAAATAACAATAAATGTTTATTACAAAAAAACACTTATCAAGAAGCATTTAAATAAAACCCTAGTTTTTTTTCTTCAGTGAATAGCTCAGGAGCTGTAAACAGAGTGAACATGAACGATTTTCTCAAATTGGATATGAGGGGAAAAGTTTTAATGAATATACTTTTGCCGCCACTTAATAACAATTATATTAAAATTGTCACTTACAAGGTGAGTCTGTGTACACTTCTTACGTGGTCGTACTACTTGAAGTTGTCTTGTAATATGATACAAACTAATAAGATAGAAGTTTGGATTTATACTAAATACATACAGAAACATTATTTATACAATTTCAGATAATGCCACGATCTCAAAGCGCTCACGCAATTGTGCACGCCGGTTTTACTTATAAGATCAACGAGGGCAGGGTCCTGGACTGTAGGATAGCTTATGGTGGTTTGTCGCCAGACTTCACCAGAGCTCTCAGAACAGAAAGGTACCTCATCGGGCGGAACCTCTTCAACAATGAAACCTTGCAAGGAGCTATAGCAGTCTTAGATCAAGAGATGGTTGTCGACGATAATCCACCGGAAAAGTCAGTGCCGTATAGACGGAAATTGGCTCTAGGTCTATTTTATAAGGTTTCACTTTTTTATTTTAATTGTCTCTCTTAAAACCAGAAGCACAGAGGTAACTTAAAGATTTGTTATAGTTTTTGTAATCAAAATTCTTCTAATTATTTCAGGGTCTTTTATCAATATGTCCGCCAGAGGTCGTATCTCCTCGATACAGATCAGCCCCAATTAAGCTTCGGGACGCGAGGACTTTGTCTGATGGAAGACAAATTTTTGATACAAACCCCACTCTTTGGCCTCTGAATAAACCTTCACCAAAATTTGACGGACTGGTAATTTAGTTTGCTTATTATTTTTCTCTTAGAATCGTTTACATCTATGGGATTTGGAATATGTGTTTTATTATTAGGCGTTGTGTAAAATAGAAATAGAATAATACTTTTTACATAGCTAATGTGCATTGTACTTCACATCTGGTGATGACTTTTATATTGGAAAATCACAGATCCAATGTGCGGGTGAAGCTAATTATTCTGAAGACGTTCCATCCTTTCCAAAGGAGGTTTTTGCAACATTCGTCCTTGCTTCAGTCGGTCTAGGAACTATTCAACAGATAGATGCAAGCGTAGCATTGGTAAGTCAGTTTTGATTTACGTACGTTATGTACGTCTCTTAGAAAACGTCGCATAAATTTTAAACATCAATTTCAGAATGAACCCGGTGTTATTGCATTCTATAAAGCTTCTGATATACCGGGAACAAATAGTTTTATACCGGGAGGCAGCCTTTTATTTTTAGCAAACGAAGAAATTCTTTGTGAGAAAGAAGTAAAATTTTATAACCAACCACTTGGAATCATAGTCGCGGAAACACAACACGCAGCAGATAAAGGTGCAGCTTTAGTTAAAGTGACATACAGGAATATAAGAAAACCAGAGATAGATATTAAGAAAACTAAGAAGGACCCCAAGAGGATTTCATTGTTCTCTACAATTCCAGCGACTAAACGAGGGAACGAGGTTGCAAAAGTGATAAACGGAGAAATGACGATATATTCGCAATATCACTTTTGCATGGAGACGTTAGTTTGCGTTTCTCATCCGACCGAAGAAGGAATAAAGTTGTATTCAACGTCGCAATGGATAGATTCAGTGCACCGTGTGGTGGCGAGAGCGTTAAAAATTCCTCAAAACAAGTATGTAAATTTTAAATGTTATGTTCATGAATTTCTGGAAAAATATACTAAAGAAATTATGTTATGATATATCGTTGTACTTGGATAATAAAGATAATTTCGTTATTGTTATTCTGCCAGAAGTTATTAATTATGATACTAAATCGTACAATCGTATTCAAAGCTTTAACATAATGCTACTATTAAGAGTAAAGTGTATAATACTATAAAAATATAGTAATGACAATAGTCAAAAAATCATATTATTTTCGTCAAATTATTGAATTTGTTTACAATTTTTAGAAGTAGAAACAAAGTTTTTGCAATGACTATTTTGATAATAAATTTAAATCATTGTAAATATTGATTTCTAATAATGATATTTTTTTTAGAATTGACGTATTTCTTCGCCGCCTCGGCGGTGCCTACGGAATGAAAATATCGAGGGGGGCGCAGGTATCTGTTGCCTGCGCCCTCGTAACGCACAAACTTAACCGACCTTGTCGATTTATTCAATCGCTCAAAAATAACATGAGATACGTTGGGAAGAGGTTCCCTTGTTCAATTAACTTTGAGGTAAATACGAAATATTCTATAAATCATCATATTAGAAGAAATTTTGCAGTGTTTTTAAATTAATTAAACTCTAGTTTGCAGTTAACAGTGAAGGAGTCATACAATATAACAATTATGAATTATTCGAAGACAATGGATACGTGGTGGATGAACCTATCGCCATTTTAGGAGCCGACGTCTTTAACAACTGTTATGACAAATCGAGTTGGGAGTACAAACTCTACAATGCTACGACAGACACGCCATCAAACACTTGGTGTAGGTCACCCGGTACGCACATAAATTATTACTTAGTTAATTTGAATTACATGAAAAATACCTCAAAACTAGCTGTATCAACGACTTCGTCCGCGTAGAATAGATATTTTCGGACATCAATTTTTTTATTGTTGTTCAACAACTGAAACAAAAAATTTCAAAGTTTCTCTCTCTCTAAAATCTATAAATTTAATTATAACATCGTCCGGTCCGTCGTCCTTCAAATTAATTTAATAGAGATGCATAATATACTGTCGCATTTTTAGATCAATTAAAGAGAAATCATACATATTTTTCAGATTTCTCGTATCGTTTTCGTTCTTTCACATTTCCCGGTGCTTCTGCTCCTATTAGTCACAGCACGATGTTTTATATCCTAGCTCGATAAAGGTTCTAACCAACAAAAGGAATTATTCAATTTGGATAGAGTTTCTAGATTAGCACGTTCAAGCAAACGAACTCATCAACGTAATATCTTATGATAAATTTCAAATAAAAAGGTATTTTTGATTTTAGGCTCTTTAGAAGTTATAGCAATGGCTGAATGGTTAATGGAAAGGATCTCGTATGAGATGAACTTGGATCCTCTGAGTGTACGTCTCGCTAATTTAGACAGAGAAAATCATAATGACATAAATGAATTGATAAACACATTAAAGCAAAACTCACAATTCGAACAACGAAGGCTCGCTATCAAGGAATTTAATTCTGAAAACAGGTGGAAGAAACGAGGCCTAAGACATTCACTTTTGAGATGGACACCCTATGGATCATTATACCTCACCATAAATATTGCTGTTTATGCTGATGATGGTACTATTGTTTTAACTCATGGTGGTGTTGAAATGGGACAAGGAATCAATACAAAAGCGGCGCAGATTTGTGCATATTATCTAAATATACCAGTTGAAAAAGTTCAAGTAAAACCTAATGACACCACTATATCACCAAACTGTTTTGTGTCAGGGGGTAGTATAACTTCTCAATTTGTCGGTGTTGGTATACAAAAATGTTGTCAAGAGTTGCTAAGAAAATTAGAACCTATTAGAAACAAAATGGAAAATCCTACTTGGGAGGCGTTAATAAAAGCTGCTAGAGAAGCAGAAGTGGATCTACAAACTCACTCTGTAACTGGAATGACTGATATACGAAATTATCATGTGTATGGGGTGACGTGTGCTGAAGTAGAAATCGATGTACTGACTGGGGAATGGAACATAATAAGAGTGGACCTGATAGAGGATGTTGGACGCAGTGTAAACCCTGAAATTGATATTGGTCAGGTAAACAAAAGTGCCAAGTATTCATAATTAACTTGCTAGGTATAGAAGACAAAAAATATGTTATTGTTCCAGGTGGAAGGTGCCTTTGTTATGGGCTGTGGGTACTGGACAACAGAAGAATTGGTGTTCAACAAGAACACGGGAGAACTTTTAACGGATCGAAGCTGGCACTATTGGGTGCCTCAGGCGAGGGATATACCGCAAGACTTTAGGATATACTTTAGGAAGAAGTCTTTTAGTAGCGAATATATTTTAGGATCAAAAGGTATCTTAGAGAGATTTTGGCAAGATATTGTTTTATTTATTCAAGTACGATGTTTTTTTTTTGTGGAATCAAATTCTTTTAATATCTGTTTGTGATTCAAAGAGGACATGCTAATGACTTATTTCAGTAACTGGTGAGCCCCCGACATGCATGGGAGTGGTAATACCAATAACAATGAGGGAATCTATCGTCGAAGCCAGGAAAGAGTCGGGACTGCCCAGTAACATTTGGTTTCCGATAGGTACAGTTACTATTAAATCAAATGAAATAAAAATAATTTTTCCGTGCAGTTAACTGGCTTAACCTGAGAACGATTTATGCTACTAGTGTTTTGAAGGTTTTCAATCCGTCGTACGTGAAAGCAAACTTGAAAGTTGAGGGACGATCCATCACAACGGTCGAACAGCTCAAAAATTCAAGTAACATTGTGGTAGAGCCCGCGAAAGTCTCAAAATTTTTCATACTTTATGTCCAAGCGATTTTATGAATACCATTGCTGAAGTATGTTACACGCCCATTATAACTGTGTGAATTAATGCGGTACAATATATTAGGTTTCTACGATGATAGTGCACACAGTACTTGTCCGTAAGAGTATAAATAACATATATTTATTCCAGATGGCCCTTACACCGTGGAGAACATATGTCTAGCTTGTGCATCTGATACCAAAGATTTTAAATTTTATTAAATGCAGTAAGAATAAAAAACAACATAGAATTGAATATTTATAAGAATATGCATTTTGGATTCTTTAAAGAATATATAACATGCTTCATTGTTTACCTACTCTGTCCATCGGACATGAGGTTCCCAAATAATTGAGCAATCAAAACGAAATAAAACACCGGATACGGATAATTATGAGACTCCAGTTACAATGCCATTAAATCAGGTAATAAAGTAATAAGGGTAACAACTTAATTATATTGTAGTTACGATAGAAAATAAACAGTAACTAGCGAGTATCCGCGATTTCGATCTTTGAATACTATTATTGAAATCATACGGGTGGGGGGACGGGGTGGTGTTAAGTTAAGTTCTTTAGGACGCACTGGTTAAATTGGTAACGCAATGGTAAAAACGCGAGAGGTCCTAGGTCCTACAGTGTACTACGATAAATTGTTTCCGTCAATAAAATTTTTCTATTTTTCTCTTCATCGTCGTGTTTCCTTAGAGCTCTCTCTCGCTCGCCTTCTGCCTATTTTTATTATTATATTTATATTACCCTAATTAGTAGATTAAAATGTGTCCGTAGATGTGTTAGCCTTCTCCATATTGTGACTTTTCTTCCACATAGTGTCAATGGTCTTGTAATTATTACTTTTAATTATTTTTTTTAATTTATTACGGTCAAACGCTTGACGCCCCGGAAGCCACTGAAAATCAGCGCTGTTACATATCGCAGTCTGCTTCAGCAAAAGTTGGGTGGCTTTTCTTTTTTCATAGAATACAATTTTGTTCTGACTGTCCCGGTCTCTTTTAATGTATTATATCGATACCTAATATGGTATTAGGTGTTCCATACTAGTTTTTTTAGTTTTCAGTCTATATTCATCAGCCAACGTGGGTAAGCGGAGCAGGTTATGGTGACTAAGAGAATCTATAATAAATGTATAATATCTATAATATTATAAAATAGAAGTTTGTTTGTTCTGTATGTGTTGGTTAGAGCATCTATCGAGAAAGGTTATAAGGCTATAACACATTGCGATGTGACTCATACGAGCGAAGATACAGCGAGAAATATGAATAAAACGGGGGAATTTTTTCATGTCTGTAGGTTTCAGTTGCGTACTGTTATATATAGGCTATGTATGTATTAATGCTGATCCCTCTGTAACCAATGCCGAGTCAGTACTTGTGACAGCTCATAGGCTTTGTCTTTAGAAATTAGTGCAGTTCAATCTGATCATCCGCGCGTGACACTTGCCATCCTACTTTTATTCTAATTGACTAATAAAGTCTTTAATTAAAATAATTTCGTTTTTTAAAAAGGCCTTCGGCTGAATCCTTATAACAATTTGGTGGCAGCGGTGGGATACCGATGGTGAAGGTATCCTCGGTACGTCTCCGTCCTAGTTCGTTAACAAAAGTGGAAAAGTGATCTTTACGCGAGTGTCATAAAACGCAAAACATTGAACTCATATCCGAATTCATTTTATCCAAAAACATATATATGTGAACATTGAATCTCTGAATAATCAAGTGTTTAAATACCAAATCGTAATCGCTTATTCTCATCCGCCAAAGTGCCAAAACCTGTAAAGGAAATTTGTGTAACCTGTGTAGAATAATCACCGCGCAATCTTACCGCGGAGCTGTGTGTGTGTAACCTATAACCCTACGTCGTTCCGGAAGGATCTTCAAATTTTGACACTATTGTGTCCTTGGAAGGTGACCATGTTCCTGTATTTTATCTGCGCGTTCCTGTAAGTTCTATTTCAAATACTATACATTTTGTGAAAGTGAAACCGGTGAATTTCTAGTGTGTGTGTTTTTCAGTGAAATAATACGTACTTCTATAAACTGTTTAAATACTTATGTTCAAAATTTATTCATAACCAGCACTGTCGTTCTAGATAAGGAAGCTCCGAGGCTTATCGTTTTCTTAGAACTCGACTCGCCTCAGTACTAAACCATAACATAGTGGCCGTCTATTACACCGTACTGTTATTTGATTATTTTATTTGAGTTCTGTTACATTTTATTTTAAGCAAAATGTCTTTGAGGGAATTGAGTATTAAACACGAAAAGGTCGACATAGAAATCGGTACTTTATTTAAATTTATAAAATCATTTGATGGTACACGTGAAAAATTAAACTCATTTTTGTCAAATTGCGATAACGCAATCAGTTTAGCATCGGAAACACAAAAACCTATTTTGTTTAAATATATATTGTCACAATTGAATGGTAAAGCTGAAACGGCCTGTTCAATTAAAGAATTCGATTCGTGGGACCAATTAAACCATTTCCTTAAAACACAATTCGGGGAAACCAAACATTATACTCACTTATTAGCTGATTTGCAAGAGTGTCGTCAACTTAATATAGAACCTGTAAACCAATTCGCCCTACGAGTTGAGACTTGCCTGTCGAAACTATTAACCGAAGTAACTTTGTCCAACAAGAAGAAAACTGAGCTTCTCGGCCGCACAGCGGCAATGGAAGACCTAGCACTCCACACTTTCCTACTTGGTCTTAAACCTGACATTTCAAATTTAGTCCGTGGCAAAAACCCATCTACTCTTAATGAAGCTATTAATTTAGCTACATCCGAAGAAAAAATTCTCAATCTTTTCGCCAAACGCAATTCTCACACATCGGTTCCTCAGCGCCAAGGTTCAAAACCTAATTACTCTTTCAAGCCTTTTTCTAACACAAATGCCAGGCCCCAGATGCCGAAACAACATGATCGACATGACCCAATTCCATTTTGTCGGTATTGCAAAAATCAAGGTCATACAATCGAAGTTTGCAGGAAAAGAGAGTATAATAACAATAAATTCAAAGTTTCCCAAATCCCTCAATTCCAACAGCGCCATAATCAAGATTATAAACCTGCTCGTGTCAACTGTGTCGTTGACGAGAACGAATATTGTGACCTCAAGCCACAACCATCTACCAGTACAGATAATACTCAGTTTTATAACGACGTTTAAACGAATAGTGGGTCAACGGAGGTGTCTCGTGAGACCCAAAAATTTACCTTTAGCTATAACCTTAAACCATAACGACACCGTTTCTATATCCAAGGACCACACGGGTAACCAGCCCCAAGCAAGTGTCCACATTTCCAAAATCAGGGACCACACGGGTAACCAGCCCCAAACAAGTGCCCAGACTTCTATATCCAAGGACCACACGGGTAACCAGCCCCAAGCAAGTGTCCACACTTCCAAAATCAGGGACCACACGGGTAACCAGCCCCAAACAAGTGCCCAGACTTCCAAAACCAGGGACCACACGGGTAAACAGCCCCAAGCAAGAGTCCAATATCATTCAAAACCCACTAAACCTGTTCATAAAATTCTTGAAAATGAGGAAATATATGAAATTTCATCCATTCCTAATAAAATGTATTTGCCATATGTTGTTGTGCAAACATCAGTAGCCAATAAACCCCTTCGGTTTCTTGTCGATACTGGATCTTCTATATGCCTCATCCAGAATTCCTCCATCGAATCCTTTTCTCACCTGCTACTTAAAGGTAACATAATTAAAATTAAAGGTATAAACAGTCGTGACGATACCATGGCCACTCTCGGTGATTTTGATATGAATCTCATATTTGGTAAAGAATCTATTCCCTTTACTTTCCATATAATAGAACAAGTACACTTACCTTATGATGGTATTATAGGAAATGACCTACTTACCCGTTTCCAATGTTCCGTAGATTACAACCGTCAAATCCTCAACTTAGAAAAAAATAAAATCAAACTTAATTTTACTGATCCAACTTACCAAATACCTCCTCGTTCTGAAATCACCGTCGAGTGCTCTGTCGTTAACCCTGAATTAAAAGAAGGTCTAATTTTAGATCAGCATATTAGTGAAACCCTTTTTATTGCTAACTGTTTAGTTAGAGTAAAAAGTAATAACCGAATTAACTTAACCGTCCTTAATACCTCTGAAACTCCTGTTAAATTAAATTCTAATCTCCTACTTACCTTACATCCAGTAGATTTTGAACCTTGTCTATCGAATTATATTTCCAATAAGTCTTGTTTAGATAGGACCAATGAGGTCCTTAATCTCCTTCGGGTATCACACTTAAATACCGAAGAACGCGAAGCCCTTTACGATCTTTGCTCTAATTATTCTGATATTTTCCACTTACCCAACGATATACTTACCTCAACGGATGCCATTCAACATGAAATAAGAACATCCTCAGACCAACCCATTAACGTCAAGTCGTATAGATTTCCCGAAGTACACAAAGAAGAAGTAAATTCCCAAATCAAAAAGATGCTTGACCAAAACATAATTCAACCTTCCATATCCCCTTGGTCCTCTCCAATATGGATTGTGCCGAAAAAAATTGACGCTTCCGGTCAAAAGAAATGGCGTGTAGTAATAGACTATAGAAAATTAAACGACATAACTATCGGTGAAACTTATCCAATTCCAAACATTGTTGAAATTCTTGATCAATTAGGTAATTCTAAGTATTTTTCGACCCTTGACCTTGCATCAGGTTTCCATCAAATTACAATGGCGCAACACGACGCCTGTAAAACAGCCTTCAGTGTTCCCCAGGGACATTTCGAATTCACTCGAATGCCATTCGGCTTAAAGAATGCCCCATCAACCTTCCAACGTTTAATGAACAACGTCCTCACTGGCCTTCAAGGAGAACGATGCTTTGTGTATTTAGATGACATCGTTTCGTATGCCCATAGTCTCCCAAACCATATCAAAAACCTCACAGAGATTTTCGAGAGACTCCGATCCTTTAACTTAAAACTTCAGCCTGACAAATGTGAATTCTTAAGAAAAGAAGTTGGCTACCTAGGACATATCATTACAGAAAACGGGTTGAAACCCGATCCAAATAAAATTAAATCCGTACAAGAATTTCCTATACCTAAATGTCCTAAAGACATTAAATCGTTCTTAGGTCTCATTTCTTACTACAGACGCTTTATATCTGATTTCTCAAAACTATCCAAACCACTAACAAACTTATTAAAAAAGGATACTCCCTTCGCATGGACTAATGAACAACAACTATCTTTCGAAAAGCTCAAGGAAAAACTCGTCTCTGCCCCGGTTCTAATATACCCGGATTTTACAAAGAATTTTAACCTCACTTGCGATGCATCTAACTATGCAATATCTGCTATTCTTTCTCAAGGTCCTGTTGGAAAGGACCACCCTATAGCTTATGCTTCCAGAACTTTGAACAAATGCGAAACCAACTATAGCACAACCGAAAAAGAATTGCTGGCTATAGTATGGGGTTGTAAAACTTTCAGACCATACTTATTTGGACGCAAATTTATAATCATAACAGACCATCAACCATTAAAATGGCTCTTTAATCATACCGATCCCAGCAGTAAATTGCAACGTTGGCGTCTTCAACTCCAGGAATTCGAATATGAAATAGTATACCGCAAGGGTAGATTAAATTCAGCAGCCGATGCCCTTTCTCGCTACCCTGTTAACCCTATATATCCTGAAAATTCTCCAAATTCCCCTAATAATGACTTAATTGATCCTAGGCTCTTAGACATTAGCCCTTTTAACGCTGAACCTTACGATTTTAGTCCTTTAAATATCCCAAGTCCAGAATACTTACCCGAACCTCTTCCCGCAATACTTCCGTCATCCGAAAATGCGACGTTAGACATTGTTCCAAACTCTATTCCTGAAAATATTGAAATCGAAAATCAACCTCAACCTTCTACTAGTACCGAAATACCAAATATATTATACCCGCATCCTATAATAAGAGAACCTACAATTGAACCTGCCGATACTTACACAAGATTTTTGAAATTACCATTATCTGTAAATCACGATACAATAATTACTGAACATAATGACAGCATACTAAAAACCCAAAATAAAATTCTAATAATACCTACATCCCTTGACCTCGATGAGTCTATTCCATATGTTCAAGAAATTCTTTCAAACTCATCAGATTCCGAATCATTTATTGCTTCAGAAAAAACTTTACATTCTTATAAACTATTTTCATACAACAATAAAGCCTACTATTTTTTATTCACCAAGGTGCATCACTTTGATACCTGCTCGTATAGTGATATCTTTGAGTCTATTAAAAACCTTCGGAATTACTTAATTTCTAATAAAGAACCTATCAATAAAGTGAGCATTACTGATTTCAAGAACCCGTTTGACAAACATGTTTATATTAAAATCTACAATATATTATCTTACCTGTTTCACAATACCAATATTCAAATTGACATGTACCATAATAAGACATACTATCCCAGCCCGTCTGAAGTACCAAAAATCCTACGAGAAAATCATGACATTCCTATCGCTGGACACTTAGGGTCCAATAGAATGTTTAACAGAATCCGTGAACAGTATTATTGGAAAAATATGCGGAGTGAAATAGAAACCTATGTAAAAAATTGTATTCCATGTCAAACAAACAAAGCTCTCAGAAAAATCAATCGTGCACCAATGCAAATCACAACCACTTCCACAACTGCCTTTGAAAGATTATCCCTTGACATAGTTGGTCCTCTGCCCGAATCCGGTACAGCCAAAATAAAATATATCCTAACTCTTCAAGACGATCTGACAAAATACTCTGTAGCATATCCGATCCGCAGCACTACCGCTGAAGAAACCAGCGAATGTTTAATTCATTTCATTTCCTTATTTGGCATACCAAAAACTATCCTTACCGATCAAGGCACGAACTTCACTGCAGAAATGTTTAAAGAAACCTGTAAATTTCTGAAAATTAAACAACTTTGGTCCTCGCCTTATCATCCACAAACACAGGGAGCATTAGAAAGAAGCCACTCCACCTTAAAAGAATATCTAAAATCATACATATGCGAAAACCAAGACAATTGGCCGCAATATGTATACACGGCCATGTTAGCCTATAATACTGCAGTGCACTCGACGACCAACTACACTCCTTACGAGTTAGTTTTCGGTCACAAACCCTTCCTGCCTAACTCAATATATGAATCAACTTCTAACGTCACTTATCCTGATTATATTAGAATGTTACAACATAGACTAAAGATCACCCGAGAAAAAGCCATTGAACATATTAACAAATCTAAAGAATCTTCAAAAAATTATTATGATGCCCATAGCCGCCCTATAAGTTACAATATTGGCGACTATGTTTACCTAAAAAACCATCTTCGTATGAGAAAAGCTCTGTCTCCAATTTGGAAAGGGCCTTTTAAAGTTATCAAAATAAATGGCAGAAATAGCTTAACATTATTGATAAATAGGCGACATGTAATCCATCATTTTGATGAAATAAAGTTAGCTCGCCGTCATAATAGCTAACTATATAATATATCTTATCCAACTATATCTTAATCTAGATAACCAATATTTTTAACATTTTAACATTTATCTCAGATATATCATAAGTATAGAATAGTCCAACTTATATATACAATAAGAGATAAGATTATTTAGTTTAATTATTATTTACAGTTCCATGTCCTCCGCACAGGAAATCTTCATCGAAACATCAAAAAATACATCCGGCATTTACTTCGATCCTATCGGGTTACTTAAAATAGTAGACGGTCACCTTAGTGTTGTAATTCCCATAGACATTTCTTACATAGAATCACACATTAAAAATCTGAACGGTGTGATAGGCAGCTCTAAGTTCCTGTGTAAGCAAAATGAATTGTACACCGATATCGAATGTCTCAACCTACTACAGCCTTTATCTATTAGGTACCATGATATTATTCAGGACTTTGAATCCATATCACATTTAATCGAGTCCAGACCCAAAAGGTCGGCTTGGATCAGCGGAGTTGGTACCGTTTTCAAACATGTATTTGGAACTATGGATGAGAATGATGCCATACAGTACAGTAACGCTATTCAACTCATTGAGAAAGATCAAACCGAAATATCTAAATTAGTTAAACAAAATATACTCGTTACAACTACCACACTTTCAAGCTTTAAAGACGCTCTAAACAAAATCAATATCAACGAACAACAATTAAATAGCGCCATTGATACCCTAGCTAATTCTCAACAAAATCTCACAATACTTTCCAATAGTTTACTATTAAAATCAAAGTTTAACGAAATTATCACTATACTAGAAAGCAGTTTATTGACACTGTCATTTAAATTAGAAGACATAATTAATGCAGTAATGTTTAGCAAAGCCAACATTTTATACCCGTCAGTAATAACTCCAAAACAGCTATTTTTAGAGTTGGTCCAAAACCATCGATTTCTAGCTGATTATCACCAATTTCCTTTGAGCCTCTCTTTGGAAAATATTTACACACTCATGAATGTTTCTGAAATAGCTACATATTATAGTGATAATAAAATAATATTTATATTGAAGATACCACTTGTAAATACAAAAACCTATTCCATATACCATAACATTCCATATCCTGTTGTTGTGGCTAACAACACGTATACATCTATAATACCATCTACTAAGTATATTGCTATTACTAGAGATAGGTCATACTATTGTAAGTTAGATAGTTTAAGTAACTGTAAGATACTATATAACTCGAATTATATATGTAATGACTTAAATGTGTATTCTAGCTCCGTTAACCCGATCTGCGAATCGGAGATAATATCAAAAGCACTAAATACTGTTCCTAATATCTGTAAAACTAAATTTCTAAGAGGACATATAGATATTTGGCAACCATTATCTAATAACAAATGGATATACGTCATTACAAATCCATCTAAACTGTCCATAGACTGTAAGAACTCCACTACCGAAATAATATTGTCAAACACGGGCATACTGAACCTACCTATCAACTGTATAGCATTTTATAAAGACTCAAGGTTAATACCCAAATATTCAGAAACCCTTCAATTACAACCTATTCAAGTTAATTTCAATCTAATAGAAAACTCCTGTTGCAATTCTGAAACTTTACAAAAATCTGAACGGCAATTACCTATCTTAAACCTCTCCAATATTAACCTTGACTCTATCACATCAAAACAATACATGACAAACCAGATTGTTGATGACCTCGAGAATATTATTGAAAAGCCACATATTGTATTATACGGCGCATACTACTCATATACCACTATTGTAATTTCTGTAATCATTTTTGTTTTTATTTTAGTATTTCTTTGTAAATTTGTAAGATCTGGCAACTGTCATCGCTATCTCAATAAAGGTAGAGTTAAACACGAAATTGAAAACCCTGAAGAACTGTCAGGAGTTGCTGTCGGTTCCTCTATACCTGTACCCAGACTCCGTTCATCTCCTATATAAACTCAACCCTTTAGGGATAAGTTTATATCTATCCCCGGGGGCTGTTATATATAGGCTATGTATGTATTAATGCTGATCCCTCTGTAACCAATGCCGAGTCAGTACTTGTGACAGCTCATAGGCTTTGTCTTTAGAAATTAGTGCAGTTCAATCTGATCATCCGCGCGTGACACTTGCCATCCTACTTTTATTCTAATTGACTAATAAAGTCTTTAATTAAAATAATTTCGTTTTTTAAAAAGGCCTTCGGCTGAATCCTTATAACAGTACGCTGCGAAAACGGTTCAAGATATCTAAAAATTGTGTAGAAAAGAATGATTCCCCTTTAAATGATCTAAAGAAAATCCACGACGCTATATGCCTATCTTTCAAGATTAACTTGCAAGAACGACCCGAACGACGGGACGCGTACGACGAGATACGAATATCGTGGGTAACAGCTATCTACACTAATATTATAAAGACTAAAGATTTGTATTTTGTATGTAATGAGTAAACTCAAAAGGTACTGGACCGATTTTAATAATTCTTTTTTCATTAGACAGTTATATTATCATTGAGTAAAATAGACTTTACTTAGTACTAGATTACGATAGAAATCTTTAGAAATTTCTATTAAAAAAAAACGTTCATATATAACGTAATTTACAAAGAACTCCTTTAGTACAGATTATATTTATCCTATAGAAAATATTTTGCATGAATACACATACCTATTTTTAGTAACTGGCGACTCTGAACTGTTAATTTAAGACTGGTTTCAGATACCGTACCTAAAGTTACCTATCCCCTTCTAGCTTAAATATTAATTCCCTAAATAAGTAAATTATCATAGTTTCAAATTTAAATTCAATCAAAAATTACATCTATAAAAATATCCTCGTCATAAAAACGTATAAATTTAATCAATGAACAATACACCAATGTTACATTTTTTTATTTGTAATGGACACTAAATACACACACATAACAGGTCACATTTTACTTCATCTCCATCCAGTAGTTATATTAACTTGGACTCCCTGCCATCCCTCTCCGTCTCTCACTCGCCTTCCTTCTCTTTTAGTAATTTTACCGAACATGACGTAAAAAATTGCATAGTATCTATTTCTTCCAATGCTCTAGGCTGTGATCAGATTGGTCGTTCCATGATTCTTCTTATTCTTCCTATTATACTTCCCATCATTACTCATATATTTAATACCTCAATTACTTCTGACGACTTCCCCGTGTCATGGAAGGACTCTCTAATCATTCCTATCCCTAAAAAATCGAATCCTTGTTCCTTCTCTGATTTCCGACCCATTTCTATATTGCCCTTTCTATCCAAGGTCCTTGAACGTCTGATCCATGTGCAACTCAGTAATTATCTACATAAATACAGGATATTGGACCCACGGCAGTCTGGATTTCGGCCCGGTCACAGTACAACTACGGCGCTCGTAAAAGTCACCGACGATGTCCGTTTAGGCATGGAGAATAAGAAACTCACAATTCTCACTCTGCTCGACTTCAGTAATGCTTTTAATACCGTTAATATCAAAATTCTACTTAAGTTACTGCAAACGATAAAATTTTCTTCTACTGCTATCAATTGGTTCTCTAATTATCTAGTCGGGAGACGACAGTGCATAAAAAGCAACGATTCGTATTCCCAATGGAATCCAGTCGTTGCAGGGGTTCCGCAAGGCGGCGTCTTATCTCCCCTCCTATTTTCTATCTATATAAACTCCTTAACCTCTCGTCTTACTTCTCACTTCCATCTTTATGCTGACGATCTCCAAATTTACGTTCAGTCAAGCCCAGAAGAGCTCCCGCTAGCCATACAGGCCATTAATGATGATCTTGCACGTTTGGCCCAATGGAGCAAGGAATACGGTCTGAAATTAAATCCCGATAAGAGTCAAGTTATTATCCTTGGTAGTTCTTATTACATTGGAAGGCTCGACTGGGCACGGTTACCGTTAGTATCCATAGAAGGTGTGCCTTTGCCATTTTGCCAAACTGTAAGGAATCTAGGCATAACATTTGACCGAAACTTGTCTTGGGCTCCACATATTAAAAACATAAGTCGAAAATTGTACGCCGCATCAAGCATCCTCAGACGTCTCAGCCACTTCCTTCCAATCAGTACTAAAACCATGCTAGCACAATCCCTATTACTGCCTTTACTCGATTACGCCGATGCCTGTACCTCAGATTTAAATGAAGATCTGTTAGATAAGCTAGAACGCCTGCAAAACTTCTGCATAAGATTCATTTTCGGCTTGAGAAAATATGACCACGTAAGTATTTTTCGTCAGCAGCTCGGTTGGCTTCCAATTCGACTTCGGCGCAATGCTCATATCTTACACCTCTTATACACTGCTCTCTTTAATCCTAATACTCCTTCCTACCTAAAAAATGAATTCAGGTTTCTGTGCCCTCTCAACTATAGCCTACGCTCTTCCGACAGACTTATTTTAGAAGTTCCTTCCCATAATACTTCCTTTTTTGGTAAATCGTTTAGGATTTCAGCGATAAGATTATGGAATTTGCTTCCTGTCTCCATCCGTTTAGCCTCGTCACTTTCATCTTTTAAGCATCTCCTCTATAAGCATTATCTGTCAATATCCCATTCACAAAATTAGTACTTTTTAAATTTTTGTGTATATAATCATTTTTGTGTATTGTTAAGCTTCGCATATCTTGCACGTTCCTATGATATATCTTATTTAATTTTACACAAGGGTTGCCTGGAAGAGATCGCTCTAAAGCGATAAGGCCGCCCATTGCACTCCATAACTTGTAAAAATAATTTATCGTTTTAACTTTAAGGAATCGTTTTTTTTTTTTTTTTAAGGAAATATATTGTGTACTTGTGTGTTGCAATAAAGAATTAAATAAATAAATAAATAATAAATAAATACAAAGATCCTTTTACTTCTATAAAAAGATTAAAAAATATTGGACAGAAATCGTTTGAAGTTCTCGTTTATAATATTAAAAGTTTCTTGAAGCGCCATCTCCTGTAGATAATTAAATAAAACATGTTATATCGATTTTTTATAAATGTGGTTTGCGATCAATAGATGGCGCTGCTTAAAATACATACATCAATTATTACGATAATATTATCTTTTATTATGATTTTGTACTCCTTGAACTTAAATATTATTCTCATTCACGAATATTTAAACAAAACCAAAGTAAACTTGAAAATAATTATAAAATATCATAACTCGAAGCGAAACGGCTCCATTTCAACAAAGCCAGAAACTATTTCCGGTTTTCGATACCAATTTACGTTCATATCCGGTCCGTCTGCGGAGCGATGGATAGTCGTGATATTATAAAATATTTATGTTTATACGAGTATTTTCTTGATAAATCAGAGCCCTCACAAATCACATAAAATAGTTCTGCAATTTAATATCATCAGCGGTTTTTATTGCAATTTACTCAGACTAATATAATTCATTAGAGTAAGATTTAAACATTAAATAAAATATTATAATGTTTAATGACAATTGGATATTTTTAAGCATTAAACAACATCGACAACGCAATGTTTTATTTTTTACCACTTTTACTAGATGGCGTTGATATCGTCTGAAACTCAATATAAAGGTACTTTACCCGGTTATACTTAGGATTTTTACAATGAACAATAACCTGCCATCAGGAGGGTCTTAACTGACTCGACTGAACAGCGAATGATGAATTGGGAAATGATCTCTTTGATTACACCCCGCTCGCACGCATCTCAACTATCGCAGAGGCGCGTGTCGAAAGTCTGACGCTGCTTTTGGCCATTTTTTAATATTTCATTCAAATTGAATCTTGATGTATGTATAAATATATATATACATTTTTCCGGTAAATGAACTGTCTGGAAATCTGGATAATTAGGTAAAGAGGTGGTAGAACTATATATGTTTCAGTCTGTATAATTTCGATAATCCAAAGCCAAAATAAGTCAATAGCGCATCTTAGGTAGATTTAATATGGTTGAGGTAGTTCCAGTGAATCCTAGCCCTATATACGAACATCGACCCTAGAAAAATGTGGCACAGAAATGACAAAATAAAAATTGGATATATTGTGTATTTAAACTAAACCAAAGACAAGATCGCTAACAGCATTCGCATGTATAGAAATGAGCTCTGTATGTCTCAATAAGGCTACCCGTAACGCTTGTCATTGAATGAGCCGCGATTTTCACGCCTCTTACTCGTTCTATTAAACCACTCCACTCTACTTTGCGACTAACTATGGGGATACCGTGAATAGTGACCTCTCCAAGTGAGAACCTAAGAGAATATCGTAATGACATGTGAAAATAGTATTATATTTTAAAGCAAACGGTAAAACTTATACATTTAAAATTAAATGAGAATGTATCCTTATTGCTAAATATGATGCCGTTTTAATTGTTTAATCTTTTACGTAGCAATCAAGTATAATTATATTCATTTAAGCTACACTAAAGGTCCTGTTTTTAACGTTCTTATAAGTCAAAGTCACATTGATAATAATATGTTTTATGAAAATGATTTTGTCTTAAGTTCCAACCGTACAGAGCGTAACCATTTCTGAGATTATGCTTCTACGCAACGTGTTACATCTCGCAACATTATCACAACTGGCGCTTGTGACTAATAATGTTTATTATTTTAAGTGAATTTCTCTAGCTTTATTTATTTTAGAAACATTTCAGTCAATAATAATGCATTTCTATAATCTATATTGTATGTAATGTAATTATAAACACTATTTGTGGTTAGTTATATCGTCTGTTTTTTATCCGTAAATTGGCGATGTCTTTTTAATTAAAATTGTAACATATGCAAACGCTACCAATCATTTTATATTATAAAATCGCTTGACATTTTCGTAGCATTTGTCAGGCTACGTACGAAGAAAATAATTCCGGTAGAATTAAAAAAAGGTATGGTTGTGTTTTTGTAGTTTATTAGGACAAGCATGAAGTCCACATGATGGTATATAAAATATAGAGA